TAAGCCTTACTATTAAGACATTCCTCTCCAGGCCAGAATGAGGAGTAAAACAGGTCGATAGCCTCTATTTAATCAGAGACAGTCACGTGTGGCAAGTTGGAGTACCCTCTCCATTACTCCTTACCCCCAAGAAACATATATATATATATCGTATATATAGAAAGTCCACTGACCATGTAAAGCTGCAAACCACCAAAAATATCTTGACTGCCCCGGCAACTCAATCTTGGTAAAAATTTGTCGCACTGGAATTTCATTTATTCTGTGTGTGAGTTCTTCTTTGTTGTTGCGGTTTGTTGGCCAAAATCTCAAACCAGCTAAAACGCCACAAACTATCCAAGAAGAAGCCGGAGGACAAACTATTTAGAGTTGCTCAAATCCCAGCCAGAAGCCAGCCCAAAACCAGGCAGAGTTTTCACAGAACTTTGAATAAATCGCATTATTTGCGTCAAAAACTTGTGAAAGTTTGATCCAATTTTTGGGCTTTATTAAATTTGTTAACTTGAAATATTATTCAAGCAGCAGGTTAACTTTTATTTGTTTTTTTTTCGCATTGCAGAAAGGAGAAGGGAGAGAAGAGAGTGACAAAGACTGCCTGCTGGTTGGATGACCCCTTCCCTGGCCTGGCCTGGCTGTCTGCGATTGTAAATTAAAAACCAATCCCTGGCGTGACCTCTCAAGTGGAAGACCCCTGCGATTATAAGCTGGTCAGGAGGATACAGAGGAGGAGGAGGAGAAGCCAAGTGCACAATCAACAAATGCGAATCAAATTGCATTGGACGTCGATGCCCTCGGGAGGAGTACTAGTAGTAGTAGTAGCCGTTGGCCAATGTTGGACACACAGCCTAGACAATCCGCGCGAGCCAACAATTGTGGGTTCATCAGTGGGTTCATCAACCTGAGTCTACTCGGTTCAAGATCCTTTCGAAAGGCTATAGCAATTAGTAAATAGCAGCAAGCTGATGATGATGATAATGCTGCCGCAGGGCTATACAATATTCGTGGGCAATGAAAGTGTCTCCAGATTAGCCCGACCGGATGTGGCAGCTGTTCCAATTGAATTCAATCAAACGGGAAACGGGAAACGGCGAATGGCAAATGGCAAATGGCTATTCTCTCATCATGACCCGTGTTGGTGAGTGACCTGAGAACCCATGTGCCCGCAGGCACTAAACTTATTCCATTTTATTTTATTGCGTTTATTCTATTTATTATTAGAAATGGCCAGTGGTTTTGGTGGAAGCACGAACTCCGAACACCACCGAATCCCAAATCCAAATCCGAGAGCGACAATTGTCCTGGTTGTTGGTGTCAGCCGAAAGACATTAGGCCGCATTATTTAGGCTTTGGCTTTACATAATCCCCGCTTGTCGCCTGTCGACCTCGAGTGCTCCTCTGCCTTGTCTGTCAGCTGTGGTTCCTTCTGCCACAGAGAGAGAGAGAGAGGAGGAAGCTGTGTTAGTTGTGGCACAATGTGCTTGCTATGTGCCACCGGGGGGAAACACAAACACGTCAATGCCATAAGCAGCCCCGGATCCCACCACCGCATCCGGAACAATAAGCCGGCAAACAGGCGGACGTGGCACCGCCAGGCATCCTACTACTCACTCCTTGAACTTATTCTCGGGATAAATTAACAACCCAGCTTAGAGATATGGCGTCGATGTCGATGAAAAATGTCCCGTTAAATTGAGAGGCGGATGGAAATAAATATGAAGTGGGCGTAACGGCGTAAAATCAACAGGAAAAGTCTTCAAGTCCTTATGATAAATTCATCGATTTGTGACGGCTGTTGCTGTGTGATTTGTTGAACTTACAGTCTCCGATCATTTGTCAAGGAATATTCAAGGAAAATCTAGAGGAAAATCCAAAGGAAAATACTGGAGTATTCTGCTTATGAATATTCAATCATTTACCAAGTTCATTGTGGCAACGATTCGATTATCCCATCATTATTTCCTCCAACTGGGTGGTCGTTCGTCGGCTAGGATAACGATGGTAATCATGATGATTTTGGCTGCCCAGTCATGAAGATAATATGCCATGACCCACGCCCAATTAGTAGTTATGTGAAGAGAAGAATGGATGTCTCTCTCTTGAAGTTTCCATGGTTGGGGTATTAATGGCGAGGCTCATTAACCCAAGGACAAAGCAAAGGAAAGGGTGATCTGGGTTAGATATCCCCTCCTTTGTCCTTGACGCCTTGATGCGCGGATTTTTAATCAGCTCTTTATAGCTCGAGAAACGTTTGTTCCACCCACCCATACAAGGAATTCCATTGGCCAGAAGGCGCCCAGTTCCCCAAGGGGCCTACAAGCCTCCACACGTCCGCTTCATCGAAAGTGAAATTTGCGTGCGGTTTTGATTGTTTGTACCCCTTGACCTCTTCCCACATCATCGTCATCATCACCATCATCATCATCATCACCACCTTCATCGCCGTGGGTGTGTTGAGTAGGCCACTTCCTTTCTGGCCTCCACTGGCTACGCCTACTGTTCCACCACCTCCACCTCCGGGCATGGATCATCAAAACAAGCGGCTCAGCCACTTTACGGACATCCCATAGTGTTTGTGTTTTTCTGTGCCCCAGACAAATGCCAAACGATGGCCAGCGGCATTTCACTCACCATCAACCGTGCCAGGTCAAGAGCGTGTCGTGAATATTTATACCTATTTGATTAGAGTCTCCCAGGAGCAGGAGCAGGAGCAGGAGTAGGTGTAGGAGGAGCAGCCGGTGATGGTCGAACATCTGCAAGTTTGATTGGATCAACTCCCCGGATACTGATGAAAACAGAATTTATCGTTTAACGGACATTATAATTGAGAGGCAGACACCATAAGTTGGCCGAAAAAGCAGCGGATGTCGCTACGAGTGGCATGTTATGACCCACTTTTTCACATTTCTTCTTCTCTTCTATTTTTTTTTTTTAGCTATAGCCATAGTCAAGGCCAGCTCCTCACCTAGGAGTTCCCAACTGAGTAATTCTCTGTCAAAATATAATATAAAAAAAAGGCTGCCAGTTGCAGTTTGACAGCAAGGACATACACACATACTTATCCTTGAGCTGGTTGGAACTTTCTCTGGCAGAGCGGCATAAGAAGTCATGAATAAAAGAGAACGGCAAAGGCAACCCATCATCATCATCATCATTGGAGCCTGCCCCATTCCATAGCCGCAGCGTTCTCATCCACAACCGCAGCAAGAAGAAGTTTGTTCATGTCGTGGGCGTCATCAGATGAGATTGGTTCATGTCAAAGTCGCCGCACAACTATGTCCAACTCTTGGCAAGAATATAAAATAAATTAAATAAAAGCCAAACTAGACTGGCGGTCCGATGTTAACGATGTGATATATAGTTTGTGGTCAGCAGAAAGTATACTACACCCCGTAACGCAAGGCAAGTATTATAACATTCTTCTAGGGTATCACTAATTCGTATCCATATACGTAGATCTAGCTATCTCTGCGTCGTCGGCTTGATTATAAGGATGTGTCTCGCATGTTTCCTGGGCAGGAGGCAGGACATAGCCAGCCTCCGTTTGCCAATGGAGGATTCCCGCCCGCCATAAATTAAATTACCCGAAAAAACCCAAAGCAGATTTACTACGAACCGAGTCCGGGAGTCGGCTTGGCTGACAACAGCTCGTTTAGGGCCATACATCTTCCGGACGCGGGGCTATCCCCTAGACATCCAGTAGTGTGATTGGGAGAAGGGGGATTTGGATGGATTTCTGCATACGACGGCAGTTTGTCAGTGCACATTCGCCTTGCCAAAGTTAAAGTTATGTGCATGAATAAAACAAATTGCAGCTTTTCGTTCCGCTTCATTACTTCTAGCCTACTTTTCTTTCTTTTATTTTCTGTTCCTTTCCTTTTTTTCTTTTTTGTTCAATCTCTTAACTTGGCTGCTAGGCTTTGGGCCATGAAAAATGGTTTGGCACACTATTTGGCATGTCTTTGGTTGATATACCGTATTAATAAGGATGTCAATTTCATGGCTTAAACGCTATTAGGTTGGGGTTAGGGGAAGGCAAAACTATTAAATCCATAAATCTGTTAGGAAAAATGGGAAATAAGTTATGTAAATATAAGAAAATATTAACAAAAAGGCTTAAAAATAAATGATAATTAAAGGAGATAATGAAAATTTATAAGTTTTATATAAAAAATCTGAAAATCTTTAAGATTTTACCAATTTTACAACTTTTTTAGTTATTTTTAGTGACCCAAAAACTTTATGTAAGTTTATAAATAACACAACTTATTGCTGTTTTGTTAATAAGATTACTTATTTCAGGTTAATTAACCACTTCCTAGTCAACTATTAACATGAGATGGCCTTCTCCTTGCACTTCTACCAGCTGAAAACCCTTAAGGACATCAAGGTTTGCCTCGTTTCCAATTTAAAATAATCATCATGGCTCTCTCTATCCTTTTTTTTATATATATTTTTTGACCAGGGTGCGTTGCCTTTGGGCCTTAATTGTGTTCCCTCTTAACAAGGCGACGAACCGAGAACCGAGAACCAAGTACCCAGCAACACACCATCAGCTCCATAATGACAAGCGGATGGAGACCCAACCCACCATAACCAGGGGGCCATAAGCGGCTTGTGCTCAACTCAACTGTCGCCTTTTCAGTTGCCGTTACCGGCTTGCAATTAAAATACCCACTTGGGTACCATAAATTCTGAGGAGTAGTAAAAAACAAAAAAAAAGAAAGTAAAAGGAGTAGCAAAATAAGTGGACACCAGGTCCACTTAATGACCAGATACCAGATACTCACCAGATAGAGCCTTCCAGGACCCAAAAAGGATAGAGTGCAAACGAAGAGGTGCATAAGTTTAAGTCTGTTTATTTAGCAGCAACCTTAGGAAGTTCAATTGAAACACCGATAGACTAGCGTCTGAGTTTAGTTTACGAGTACAATCATAAATCACAAGTAGGTAAAAAAAATACATCCTCCACTTATACACAATCAAAAAAAAAAAACAACAAAGCTAACATACACTCATTTTCTTTATCATACATATGTACATCGATTTGAAGGACGAATCCTAGATGGCGCTGGCGCTTATAGTTGAGGACTATCAGCTGCACCGGCGGCACTGGTCACCACAGAATTAAGTAGTTCATGACGAGAACGACTCCTCCAAGTGCCCATACCCATGGCTAGGCCGGGATTTAAACTAATATTGGTGTTGGCATTCGTATAGACACCTGGACCTGGTCCTGCCTGGCTGGCAGAGTGTCCTCCAATGATATTTCCACCAATACCACCACCACGTCGCCACGGCATACCCTTAAACGTATCCACAAATGCCCGCCGGAAGCTGGCGTTCATGAAGCAATAGGTGATTGGATTACAGCAGCTGGAGGAGTAGGCCAGCAGCTGAAGGAAACTAATGGCCTTGTAGTCCACATACTCATACACCACCGGTCCAATTAGCATGACCAGTGTGTTGATCACATACAGCGGTGTCCAGCAGATGAAGAACTCCAAAACCAGAACGAACAGCATCTTCACCACTCGCTTCTTGCTCTCCAGGGTCTTGGCCTCGTTGGATCTACATAGGTTGGGTGAATTGATGTGGAAATCTGTTTGTTAGTCTTGAAATCCTACCTGCGAAGTGCCGCATCATGGACACGAATGCTTGGCGATGAGGCCTTGGCCAGGGTCACCGTTGTCGTCGTCGTCGCGGTCGTAATCACAGTTGGAGCCGTTGTCGCTCTCGTTGTCAAGGTTGTCGTTGCAGTAGTCGTTGCTCCTCCGGAAGATCCCTCGGCATTTCCATTGTTGTTATTACTATTCTCTGTGAGGAGAACCAGAAGGAGAGTTATATAGTAAGGGTATTTATGCTATCATGGATCTAAAACCATGATCTAAAAGTATCTAGATATATAATATTATCTCTCTTCCAGATACCTACCATTATAAACTGATGTGGCGGTCAGTACCAAGATGCAATTGCTACTGCTGCTTGTGCCTGGAGTTGGTCCACCTCCACCACCAGTCGCTGCTCCAGCTACAGGCATGGATTGCTGCAGAATTCTTCCACTATCCTTGGCCATGCCCACATATAGAGTCCTAGTTATAAGGATGTAGGCCACGCAGAGCACTAAAAGTGGCAAGACGAGCAGAAGGAAGTCCAGCATGATGTTATAGAAAAGCTCAGTGCCTTGGTCAGGCCAAAATTCACGGCACTTGCAGTAGCCTGGAAAAGGTGGATCTACCTACTACTGATTCCAGTTGGAGAATGGCAAACCACTTACCTGGTCGACTGGTGGGTATCAATTGACTAAAAACCGCAATGGGTGTCATGCACAAGATGCCGCCCAGCCAAATGAAACCGATGATCTTGTAGGCATGGCTGATTGTCTGCCAGGATCGCGAGCGTAAAGGATGACAAATGGCATAGTAACGTTCGCAGGATATGGCCACCAAGGTCCACGAGGAGACGGCCACAGAGGCAGCTAAAGAGATAGAAATAACAAGATAACCTTTTGAAAAGAACTAGGAACACGACACTCTCCTTGTCAAATCGGTTTCATTAGAAAGTCCTTTTAACCCGCACTTCGTTGCATTTTAATTACACAATTTGCATATTAAAACCAGACACCCACCCACCCACAAAATAACACACTCTCCGCCCCATTTTTGTGTGTGTGTGTGTTCTTTAACCAGAATGTGACAAACAGTACACAATGCAATTTGCTGAAACTGCAATTAAACAATTCCCTTGACACTCCTTTGGCTTTCAGTCAGCTACTCCTTTTTTTTCTTTTTGCCATTCCGCTTGTCATATAAACCTATTAGGGGATTCCCTATTATCAAGCAATTTTCTCCCGCACACATTCACCACATACCCTCGGGTGCGATTTCCACTGGCAAAGTAGAATCGATGGTATTATTGGTATGATATGTACACAAAAGCAGTTGCATACGGGCAAAGTGCATATGCATTAGAGTGGACCTGTTTGTTAGTTATTAGGGAAGTTTTTTTGATGTTGGAAAATGTGTATTTTATGTAAGATGATTGGCAGATGTGAGGAATGTTAAGATAATACTTTGAAATATTAACTCAATATTTAGAATATTCTCTTTCGTTTTTACTTTAACTTCTAAAATATCAAACTTATACCATCTTAAAGGCAATGTATCTTTAATATAATGATGAGGTTTTATCTTTAAAATAAGATATTTAACATTAGAATATGAAGGAACATCAAGATGATCCTTTTTAAGTTCAAAATAGTATAAAAAATGTAATATTTGTATGATAAACTGGTATACCTATATCTCTATATGTAGTTCCAATGATTTCTACTCCCAAATATGTTCATATTCATTATAGAATGTAGAAGAAGCCTTAGAATTTATATTTATTAAGCTATTTAATTCCTAATATCTTTCCAAAAAACATTGATAGATTATATTTTCCCTTAAGTTCCCTATAAGTTCCACCCTAAAACTACCTTGCCCTCGGGCTGCAATGTCACATTTGTTTCGCGCTCAGTCGCGTTTGTTGAGTTAACCCCCTGAAATTGAAGTTTACTTTTGATTGACAGCGGCGGCGGCGGCTTGTAGCGCTCTAAGCCATAAAATACTATAACACACGAGCATGTATGTGCTTAAACTTAAAACAAACAACAACAACAGCCACCATTTTCCATTTTTGGTTTTTCGCTAGCTCAACTTTAAGGCTTTTCGTGGGCTAAGCAGTTTGATTGATTCGACGCCTTGATGGAACATCTTGACAACTAAATCATTTCGAGATGCCAATACACAATCCGTAAGAGTTTTCCATGTGCTATATTCCGATATATACATATATGCATACCACCCACTTATCCACCCCGTTTTCAAGAATTTTCTTTCAGTGCGTAATTCAATTGGCAAATGCAAAACTGACGGCAAATAAGGCAGCGTCGGCGGCAAATGACGAACCCAAATTGAATTCGATGCCACCACTACCGCCACGTTCCACGTTCCACGTCCAAGATGTTTTTCTTTTGGCAAACTGATTGAATTTGATTTGTGCGGAGAGAAGGAAGGGGGCAGCGGCACGCCTTTAAGGCCAGCAAGAAACATGGACATGGCTGCGGGGGGCAGGGAAGAAAGGGGGATGATAGGACAAGCAGACGTGTTGAGCATATTACGCATACGACACGCAGTCCTCGAGCCCCGCATAAATATGCGACTCTGACAGGCCGGAATTTATAAGCGTCAGTTGGGTGATAAAATTTGATTGCAGCAAATAAAAACGACCACACTCAGCAAAAAAAAAAAAGAAAAAGGCATAGCATAGCATAAGGCAAAGAGAAAGCCATACTTTCATCTTCATTTGTCGAAATAATGTGTCCTTTTTTTCCCTAAACAGGATTTTTCTTTATTTAACAAAGCCATTTTTATTGTCAAAGGGAAGTGGGAAGAGAAAAATTGCTTATATCTTTATATTTTTTTGAAGTTTTTAAAGTCTTATGAAGGCACTTAAGGCAGCTGAGGAAAATTTAACTTAAGAGCTTGACTTTTAGAAGGAAATTTAGAGGACTTTTCTCAAATAGTAAAAGAAATATTCTTAGAATTAGTTTAAGCACTTTGTTTACTGCTAAAAAATGTCTAGAAAATTTCTATTTTTTATAAATAATTAATCAGTTTTTGGTACAAATTTTCTTTCCATGTACAAAAACCAAGACGTTCAGCCGAAAAAGACCACAAAAAATTTGCTTTGACCATGCTGCCCGTCGTGTGGAGTGGAGTAAATATATATATATATGGTACTATATACACTGGAGGAGAAGATGATTGCGTGCTTGTGGCTGGGAGAAAAGGAACTCGGGACCAGTGATTACAGCTGCAGGCGTTCCAGGTTCCTGTCACCCTGTCGCTGGAATCCTTAGATGACGCAACATATTGGCCTGGCCAACAGTAAGGTAAGGTGCTGAAATTAGAATTTCTACCAAGTTTTTCTTCTTTTTTTTTTTGCTAAGTCTTTAAATTAGTTTTGGCATCATTTCGAGTGACTGACAGTTAGGATGCGGTCGCTGATGGCAGAGTGACAGGGCGGAAAAATACACCTGAGCTGGGGTTGCCTGGTGTCAGATGAGAGATTTGCAAGGATGTTGACATGACCAACCAACCAGACTTCAAGGTGGAGAAGTGAAGTGAAAGTGATTGCTTAGATGACCAGGGGATCATGATGTCTCACTCAAAAATTCAACAAAAAATTTCAATCGAATATATATAATATAAAAAAAAAAAAAACATTTCACTTGCAAATTGTGCAGATTTGAGTGCGAGCTTAGAAAGAGTGAGAGTTTTTGAGAAGAGAAGATCTCTAAAAATACAATAAGCCAGGGAACAAACAACTTTCTTGTGGCGAAACTCATTTAAATTCAATGATTTTCTGGCTCACAAATGCATTCGTTTTTAATGCGGGGGATTGCCACACGCGATGTGGCAAGAAGATTTCACATCAGCAAAGTTTCACTTTTTTTTTGTTTTTTTTTTTTGAGTTTGCCTTCAAAAATTCTATTTAAGTTGAAAGAGAAACAAAGTTGCCAAAAACGCCCGACGCTTGCTTTTTATCGAATTAAGTACTCCGAAAGTGGCTAGGCGTTGGCCGTGGGTGGTAAACTTGGCTAAGCGCTATCACAGCCAGGAGATGGAAAATCTTAAATCTCCCAGCTCCCAGCTCCCTCTTCCAGCTACCTCCTGCACATGTCTGGAACAGATTTAGCCAAGCATCCAACGAGTACACTCTCTCTCTCTCTCTCAGTGATATTAATATTGTTTTTCAAGTGTTGTTGTTATTGTTTAGCATTCTGAATTGAAGAAATTGCTGCTGCTCTGCGGGCCACTCCACGTGCACATGCCACATGCCATCCTCCTACCCTCCCCTACTCAATGATATGAAAGTTGCCACCCGTCTTTAGCCGAATGTGCATTAATTAAAAAACTTCAGAGAAAGTTTTACCTAAACAAAAAGCCCTTGAAAGCGACAAAGTTTTCTGGGCCACTAAGAGTATGGCCATGGCTAAGACCAAAAAAACAGGCAGGCCAGGAGTTCTTCTGGGAAATATTAGCAACTTTATTTATGGACAACACTCATTCATAAGCCTGATAACAACAATTAGCCTTTGGCTAAAAACTCATCAGGCTGTTCGCTCACCTTTCCCTTTGGGCCAACTAATCCTAAGCCCCGTTTCCTTCTTGCCACCCCAAAAAAAACAGGTGGCTAATGGTCTGTGCAACACCACTATTTCCTTGCATGTGTGCCCCGGAACAAAGGACACGTTTTTTTTGCATTTCATATGTACAATAACGCACCCCCAAAAAAAAAAAAAGAACTGCTGTCGAACACATGTTCCGAAGCTTATATAGCCTATAACAACGTATCCCAAGGTCCAAGGACCACAAATGGTAAACAACAACAACAACAATAACAACAACAAAATACACAACGAGCTGCGTTGAAATTGGTTTTTGTGTTTAACATTAAATTTGACGCTCAGTTCAGGGTGAAAGGGGGCGCAGGGATATGGACATGTTGTGTCCTTTTTAAGCACCATCTCACAGTAAACTGAAAAATAATATATATATATTTTTATATTTATTGCTTAACAAGAAAAGGTCATGCCCCGAAGTTGAACTTTAACTCGTTTAAGTACTTTCTGATTTTAATGTCTTCGACAAGTGCTGCAGGCGAGCGCCTCTCTCCTATATACCAAATTCCAAAAACAAGAAAAGGAAAATGGATTATATGTTGCAAGGAATCAAAAGGAGAGAAACTAAAATTGCTAAATAAAAACCAGATTTTTATTAGTAAATATTAGATTTTAGCAAATCGTTTGATTTCCTAGTTTAAAGAGTTGATTTTCGTTTTATATAAGAACTTTATTTATGGGATTTGTTTATAAATATTTTAGTTTTTTATTCAATTTGTTATTTAGTTCAAATCAGGAAGTTAAATATTTTCAAATAGTAACTACAGATTAATAAAAATGTATATAAGAATGTTAAGGTCCGAAAACTACAGCAATTTCCACTCAAAATAATGTTAAAAAATATGTAAATTTTTTGCAATATGAAAAGGCAGATATTTTTTTATAAATATTTTATAAATTTAGTAGTCCCATAGCTAGACTAGCTAACTCAATTTTTAAAACATTTTTGAAAGTTATAGTTTAGCAGAGATCACCCTTTAAAAAGCAAACCAAAATTAAAACTTAAAAAGAAACAAAAAGCATTTTACTACGAGTACCTTCTAAAACAGAAAACTAACCCATATATAATCCTAAAAATCGTATAAATAAATAATATACCTTAAAAGCACTACCACTAGTTGCCAAGGCAAGAACCTTACCCTAAAACAATACCTGTTCCAACCAATCCTTGCCAGACTCATGCCTTGACTTTTTAAGTACAACAGTTTAAGGAAAAGTCCGGAAAGGTGCCGTCTCCTTGTGGACACAGACCCGCCCACGCATCGTTTGCGGCCCAATGACTCTCGTTTTTCTTATTGCCCCACATTTCCCCAAGGGCATCAGTGCGGGGGTGTTGGTTGGTAGCAGTGGCTGCCATTAGAAGGGAGACTGTGTACTATTTGTACAGTTTGCCGTGTTATTGCAGACCAACGTTCGCGACCCTTGTCACACGTTTGCTGCATGTTGCATGTTGCCCAGGTGCGTGACGTTTGTACCTGTCAGTGGGTATCAGTGCTACTGTTCCATGGCTACAACCATCTCCTGCTCCACCTCCTCCTTTTGGCAATTGAAATGGTTATTTAATTCGCAGACTGTTTGTGTGGATTGGGGGGCAAAAGTATGCAATGCTTTTTGCGCCCACTCGTACGCTTTAAATTGCGCAGCCAAGTATGCTACGCATTTGCGTTTATTTATTTTCATATACATATATATAAGAGAATATTCCCCCTCCTTTCATCATCAGTAGTTCTTTCTTTCCTTTTTTTTCTCCCCCTCTCCATTGCCATTGCCATTGCAGAGATCCATTAATACCCATATCTGCCTCTGGTTTTTCCTTCATCCCATTCCAACAGATAGGCAACTGGTCAGGATTACTCAGAACTTTACGCATTACGCAATGAGCCACAATTTCTTGTTTGCAGTTTGGAAGTACAATTTTTTTTTTGGTGGTATGAAAAACTGAATTTATATATATCCAGAATATATATATATATGAGTAGGCTTTTGTCCTAATGCGCCATTGAAACATAAACATAAAGAATGACTAGGCTAGCCAGCGGCGTCTAAATCCCATTTAATTGTCCGTTTGCTTGGAAATTATGCCTACAAAATGTCTTTTTAATCACGTCCAACTGTTGTCCTTGGCAACGTGTTGGTATTTGAAGTTATGTAATGGGCCCAATGGTATCCCATTCGGATGCAAAGTATCCTTGTCCACAGACAATGGGACACTCTATCAATAACAAAGTCCCAATATTATGATTTTTTTTCTACAAGTGGGAGTCATTTTTCCAGGAAAATAACAAACAAAAAAAAAGCACGACACGCACATGGGGCTAAAGGGGTAATCGGGTAACCAGGACAATGTATCTATGGATATGTATGTTGATATGTGCCCACCTTTTAACCAACTTGTTGTTGTTGTTGCTGTTGTTTTGCCTGGGTTTATGAGTTTTTTCCCCCTCACCCTTTGCTCTTTCCCACCCTGAAACATAGCCAATAAAACGATCCACATGCGGCGATAATCGTAAAAAATTATTTTAATGTTACACCCAAGGAGCAAGCCAGTAACCTCTCCTCCAACCACTGCCTTCTGGTTTAAGTAGGTCCCTAAACTTATGTATTTGTAATTCCAGCTAATTGAAGAGTGGAGCTTCACCAGGAAGAGGATGAGGAGGAGACGCAGGGCATAGGCTCAATAATAATTGGGCCAGCTAAGTTAATATTTAGTTAACCTTCGCTGCTACTCGTGGGACACATCGTTACATAATCCTTGCGGTTATGGAACCCACAAAACGTTTAACCAGAAATTCCCCTCACTACTCACCTTGCGAAAATTGGAAGAGCTTGCAGAGGAACTCGCCAAAGATAAAGTTCCTTAATAATGTGCCCACCAGGGTGACTGGCATGCAGAGGACTCCCAGCAGCATGTCCGATATGGCCAGGTTGAGCAGGAAAACATTGGTTATGGTGCGCATTCGACGATTCTGTACTAGCGTTGAGATGACCAGCAGGTTGCCCAGCACCGCAAAGAGCAGGATCACACTATAGCTGGGAATCAGCCAGACAGGCATTCCACTGGTGGTACTACTAGAACTTTGACTTGAACTTGAACTGGCACTGGGACTGGGACTTGGACTTGGACTGGTTCCAAATGTTATAGACATCTCCGTGACCATATCATTATCCATCCGCTGTGTGGCCAAGTACTCGCCATCCTCTGTTGTAATGCTGGTATTGCCCGCCAAGGATGCACTGCCTCCAGTTCCATTGTAAGGACCCACCGTCAAGGACAATATGTGACCCGCTGCACTGGGCGCGTTGGCATAGTAGTCAAGCAGTGCCCGATATGCAGCCGCTGCCATGGCCGATCCCTGGTCGGCATCGCTCTCCTCGTAATTAAACATCCCGGATGAGCCTCGCTGATCACTGTCCACCACAAACACCAGCAGCAGCAGCAGCAGCAGCACCACCACCACCACCTGACATGTCCTTTTGGATCACCAAAAAAAAAAATATATAAACTTAAATCGAAAATTCACAAAATTGCAATTGAAACGGCGACGCTTGCGCGCAGGCTGGCGGGGATTCTATACTGGGACTCCGAAGAGGACACGAGGAGGTGGCTACTACTGCCAGGAGGTAGCTGGCCAGCTACCGTTGCGAGTAACGCGTCGTGGGCAACTGACGACTGGCGGACTACGTCGACGCCTCCGCAACGATATTTATAATGTCCCAGAACATGTTGCGTGGGCGATGAGGACCGGCGCAAACTCACCACGGCAACATGTGTCCAGCAACATGTTGCTAGGGCCGGCAGGCAGCACGGTTAGCCGGATATCTGTGCTAGCCTATGTTACGCGGAGGACGTTGCCTCCTGATTGGAACAAATTAACGGAGCAGAGGAACTGCAGCATCCCATCCCGTCTGGTGTTCAGCCCACGCTCCATGCAAATCATCGAATCATTCATCGCATTCCTACAGCAGTTAAGTCTAAGTATAAACTCAGTCTTCTCATATAACTCGGTTCGTTGTTTGTACAAATGTTCTGTTCTAATTCCATGGATTGCATTTCCAGTCATCGGGCAGTTGGTAGTGGTGGCCTAGCCTTTATTTGTGGATATATGTAGCTTTAGCTTTAGGATTGATCTTTTACTTGGAAAGTCTAGAAAGAAGATAAACAGTGGATTTTGAGATTTTGGTTTCTAATTGTTGAACATTCTTTTGTTAACTTTGATCATGAAGTGCTTTTTATTGAATTTTCGCTTTATAGAAAGGTGATTCGGAACTGTAACTTATCAAAATTCTATGTTTTGAAAGATTTCTGATAGTACTTGATGTTTCTTGATCTATCTGGTTATGGTTCTGCTCTGGTTAGTCCAGATTATTGACTTTGAAACACAACAAAAAGGCCACCCATAGCTATACATTTGGTCTAGTAACATACCAAATTGAAAATATCTTTGTAAATGATATAACTTTAAAGTTAGCAGTTTCATTATGTATATAGAAATCGGCTTTAACTTTAACTTTAACTTACTTTTTCAGATCAAATTCCTTGATCTTATTCACGTAATGACCCCAAGTTTGTCAGAAAGATGGAGCAGAACTGCAGTCATAAAGTTCTAATTATAAAATAAAGTAAAGCCAACTAGAAATCACAGATAATAATACTTAAAGAACTGATATACAAAAAATTGATATATAATTTTTAATTCTAGCTTGTTTTCATGAAGTAACTATATCTCAATATAACCTGTTAACCATAACATACCTAAAATAACCACTTTTTTCTTTCAGTGTACCTACAAAACCCTAGCCAACATCTGGCTTTTTTTGGTTATTCCAAATGGCCTGCACTGAAAATGAAACTGAAAATAAAGCCAAATGCGGCGACGTCGTCGCATTATTTGCTCTCTCGCTTGCTCTTTGATAATGCTATCTCTATTGCACTTGCTGGATTTTTATCAACTGCCATGGGGCCTCAGCCCCAATGCATCTCGCTCGCACCAACAGCGACTGCGCCGCCGACTTCAACGCTCGCGACGGCCGTCGTCGACGGTCGGCATTTCGTTGGAGTTGCAGACGCCGGCAAAGCCGCATTCGTGAGATACAACTCGTGGTGGTCGGACGAAGTTCAGCGGCTGCTCTTAAGAAGAAATCTGGAACTGTGCTGGTTCTGTTCCTCCCTCTTTGTGCTTTAAATTACTCTTTTTTTTTGCCTGTTTGCCCGTTGTGTGTATTTTTGTTTTCGTTGTCACTCTGCCACTTTGTCACCTTACCACACACACTCCGCCGGACTTGCTACTTGCTACTCCGTTCTAAGTTTCGCGATCGAGCAAAGAGCATCAGCATCATCATCAACATCGTCCGCCAGCATCCAGCAGTTGGCCATCTGAAAAGCAGATCCCAGATCCCAGAACACAGAATACACCAGCATGTCGGACGGCATCGAGGTCGAGCAATTGGTGGAGAGCAAGCCGAGAAGGGTGAGTAGTAAGAATGGGATGGGTAAGCAGTATCGGAGTGAGTGGTCGGGTAGTTGGTAGTCTGTAGTCCTGCTTCAGGGTCCATGAAATGTGTGTGTATACACATGCAGACAGGGGACGACCGAAAATTAAGAATTATAAAAGATTGGATGGGTATGGAGGGGGGCCAGCCAAGAGATTCAGAGAGCAGGCCAGAAAAGATATCTTCAAAATGCACGGAAAGAAAAATGTCTGAAGTCCTATGATGATGATCGGTTATTGATCCTTCTGGAATGTTACTTAAATCCCATTATAAATCCAACTTATTAGCCAAACAAATCATTAAAATCCTTTAAGGACTCTAACTACCTTTAAATTTTCCTCCGTGTACTTTCCGACTGGAGTTGTACTGGAGCCCAGGCCCATGCCGCGTGTGTGTGTATCTCTCTGGGCATGCGTGAGTGTCTGTAAATAACTCTGACATTGGCTCGCCGGTGACTCCACAAGAACCGGCCCCAGAGGGCCAGGGCCAGAGAGAGAGAGAGAGAGCGGGTAGCGCGGTAGGGATTTAAAGAAAGGGGCAGCCAGCCAGCTCTTAAAAGGCAACATCTTAGCTTGAAACAGATTGCGGGGGCGGATGCAGATTGCGGGGGCGACTCCGAATCTGAATCCGAATTCGAAACTCGACGCACTCGATGCATATCAAGTTCAAGTGCGTTTTTAGTACGGCAACCGCTGCTACCGCTGCTCTGCTGCTGTTGCCGTTGCTGTTGCAGTTGCACTTGTTCTCGAGACACCATCGATGCCCTGTGGTTTATGCGGCCACCTCGTCGTTCCTTGGCAATCACGTATACTTTTCCAAGATTACGCCGGAGAAAACAATTGCAGTTGCTTTATCTTTTTGGGGGTTTTAGCAGCTGATCGCCCAGATTCCAGATTCATGTGACTTTGGTGCATAGCACTTCAGTTTTTCGGTTCATAAAACCTTATCTTTAAGGTTCTCAGTTCTCTTGGTTCTTGGTTCTTGGTTCTTAGTCAGTGGTTCTAACACAAAGGGGTCAATAAATAATATAATATTGAGGTTTCCAAGTGGTTAAATGAGTATATAGGAACCACATACACACACCCCTTGAAACATTCGACAAGCGCTTCCTGACGCGCCAATTTTGGTCATCCACTCCCCGAGTCGTCGTCGTCGTAGTCGTCGTCATCGTCACCTTCAGGCGGCATGAATCACGCGCACTCGCAACCCCATTCCCCCATCCGAAAACCCCTTTAACTTCATCCCATCCGATCCCAAAATGCCCCCCAACTCCGGGCGTCTGGGGCGTGAGCAGCGACAAAACAGTTTGCTCCTTTGTTTCCTGTTGCACAGTGTGTGTGTGTGTGTGTGGAGAGGCAAATACAAAAATGAAACATCGAAATAAATAAATACAAAAAAAAATAAAAATAAGTAAAAAAAATAAAGAAAGAAAGAAAGAACACCCGCTGCAGGCACAGGCATTGACATATCGGCGGTCCCAGACCCGGAGCAAGTACGTCATTGCCACTGCGACTGGGACTGAGAGTACGACTGCGCCTGCGACAACTGGCAATTTGTCACTACATCGTTTTCCATTTCTTTCATTTTTGGCCTGGCCAAGGCGAAGCGGTTAATAACCGATTCGCAGCCATTTATCGGTTTCACTTTTTCTAAGTGCATGATTAGCTTGTTGTGAGTTTAGCATTCCCTTCGGAATCGGGTTCACACATCCCGCCAAGAATATCCCGCATATATGCACTATATCTGAAGTTATCCCCTCTCTTGTTGGGTTTTCTCCCCACGACTGCAAGCTCATTATTTGGATTCTCTTTTTGTTTTCTGCCTCTTATCTGAAATTCATTAGTCAACATAAAACAATTTTATTCCACATGTACGAGTACATAAAAAACACAACAAAAAAAAAAGAAATGAATAAAACACAAAGTGCAGTGCATTCAAAGCTAATCAAATACTCTTCCTTTGATTAATCATAATACTGCTTTGTGTTATGAACTCAGGGAGATATATGTATATATATGTTATATATATGAACAATCAAAGTTATTTGGGAATAACATGTCTGATATATTATATATATTACTTACAGCCGAAGAATGTATAGAAATATCTTTGAAGTTACTGTGTTTTCTGATATCGCTTTTTACTTACTTTTGTTACTTTTTTGAACTTAAGATCAGTTTGGGAGTCCATCATATATATATATACGAGTATATATAATATATTTCCTGTAATTTTTCGACCTTTTTAGCAAGGGTGTTAACTCATAATAAAGTATATAATTCAGAATATAGTTATGTATATCAAACAGTCAATGAACGCATAGAAATATCTTTAAAGTTACTCGCCTTTCTGACATATCTTTTTGTTTTCTTACACATTTTGATCATATTGGAATCATATCATATATATATACAATACATTTCCTGGAATTGCGATACCTTTTGGCAAGGGTATCAACTAATAACAAGTCAGTTTTGAGCACCTGGCTCGGATTCAGTTTCGTTTTCGTTAGCAATTTTTATTCGCAGTATTATGCTTGGCTACGTTTAGCTGCAGTTTAAGCAATGTTGATGCCTCGCAGCCCCACTCATTGCCAGATATTGATGGATATATATATATAGACATATAGATATATGCAATGTGCTATATGAATGCACATATGGGCATATATGGCTCATTACGTATACGTATGGACATGGTCGCCTGCCATTTGAGTGAAGCAAACGGCCTAGCAGATGGTTTTCCTGCTGAGAGAAGGTGGCTAATAAGTAGAATTGATAGATTAACTATTATTTCAAGTTAAAAACTGTTTCCTGCTACTACTTATCAGCTAATTAGAGACTGTTTCTCGTCTAAAACATGACACATTCCTGTCTTTTTCATACTAAACAAGCCCTATAAACATATATATTGCAAAACTATGACTAAGCGACAAACTCTAGTAGATTTTTATGGTCTGTAAAATTGGAACAGCCAAGCCCTGGAGTTTTTGTTTTTTACCAGATTGCCTGGAATGACGCGATTTACTTAACACTAATTGCCCAGACCAGATACCAAGAACTTTCCATAATAAATTCATTTGTAAAGTGTGTAGTTCTGCGGCATTCGGTCTTATCAATGTTTAGGGAATCAAATAGTGGATGATATTGCGTCAATTACAGAGGAGCGTCTTATATATATATATATATATACATCGGGCGTATCCTAGCCAATCTTTTGGGTGCAGTCTGTTCTGATCTAATTTGTCGTGTTGTCATTCTGGCAGAAGTTGAGATATGGCGCGATATATATATATGTCCGTTATCAAGCTTATCGGAGCTGGAAACTTAATTTCAGCTAATTTTAGCCAACAAATTGGCTCACGTACATACGGGAGCAACTATATATATATACATATATATAGTATGTATGTATTTCCTATCTGGCTTTTGGCGAAATTTTATTTTTTTTGGGTATTTTCGGTGGGTCATTTGCTGCAACGGTTTCTTAGCCATCCGCTCTTTTTTGGCACAGTTCGCGTCCGCATCTTCATTTTCATCTTTTTTTTTTTTTTTACTTTTTAACTAATTAATTCAGAGCCACGAAACGGGAGCTGGTCTATAGTTCTATGGTATATATATACATATATACCCACCATTCCCAGATGCGTTGTGTGGTGTTGTGAAAGTCGTCGCCCGAAATCATCTTTTTGGGGGTTTAATTGTTTGGCTTTTGATATTTTCGGCCGTCGTCGCTTTTTCTAATTGATTTTTCTCACCAGACCCCGAGCCGTACTCTCCGGTCATTGAACGCATTATAGAGCGGACCACCAACACCAGCTACAAACCGATCTTCATCCTCTATCTTTTCTATCTGTATCTTACTATCTGTATCTGTATCTGTATATCTCATTGGTCTACAGCTTCAATGTCTATTTTTACTTGTTGTTCTCAGTAGAGTTCCTGACTTCAAGCCTGGGTTTGTGGCCAATATTTTGTTTTCTTTTTTATGGCTAGCAGTTGTCTTTGTTTGTTGTCATCCCGTTTTGATGACGACCCCAACTCACTTATCAAATCTCTGACCTGCTTTCTGTCGGCCACTGATTGAAAATTGTCACGCGTAAATTGCTTTTAATACAGCGATCCGCTTAAGACAATAAAGGCAGCCCAGCCGCAAGGGGCGTTTTCCGACCCTATACATTGATGCTTTTTTGTATATAGTATATATCAAGGGCATCGATCCCATTACGATTTCGAACCATTTCCACGCTTTCCAATCAGTCAAGCAGCGCCCATATCTCTATTTACACAGATATTTCTATTGATATTTGTTTTTAATGATACTAAGAGTGGTACTTATTGGATCACAGCTAGGCTTTACAATTGATAAAAAACAATCTATTTTTAAGAGCTTACTACATCAAAGGAAATGCAGTATATAATCAAGGAATATCTTTAGGAAAAGTTACAATGACTACAAATATATATGAAAACCTCAACCGCAACCCTCATAAACCCCTTTTGATATGATTTTTGGAAAATTGCTTAAACAATATAACATGCTGCCCGCATCTTAAACTCCAGCTTATCATTATAAATCCATGGTTTGCAAGCCTCCCCATTCAATTAGCTAATGCAATATAAGGCCTGTTAATATATTGCTACTTTTACTGGCCGTATAGCATTATGTTTATAAAGCCACTAACTGGCCAACAAATTGCTTTCCGTGAATCTGCCCGAACGTAATGCAAGTGGGCGATGGATGGATGCAATGGCGTGCTTTCTGTTTTTGTTAGCAGTTTTTTTTGTGGTTGCCTGACACGGAAACGAGTTAAATTCAATTCAATAATAACATATATAAAATCGAAAGCGAAAGCATGGAAATCGAATCTGACTCATAGATGGCGCCGTCAAGAGCACTTGGTCGTCGGCTTAAGTACAATAAACACATACATTGTTGCTTATTATCGCTGCCCAAGACACGAAACAAAGCGGTCATGGAATGCACTCACTTCCGTCTCAACTGCTCTCGCTTATGACATACCTGTTAATCATTCCAAATCTACCTTGGTTTTATCCCTCAGATGCCGCTGGCCACGTCACTGGAGAAGGACTCAATTCGCGAGGCCTACGAGGATGTGCGCTCTGATCTCACGGACACCGAGTGGGCGGTATTCAAGTTCGATGGGGCCCAGATCATTGTCCATGGCCGTGGTCAGTGCTTCGAGGAGTTCCGACAGCAGTTCGGTGACTCTGAACGCGCCTTTGGCTACATACGCATCCAGATGGGCGACGAGATGTCCAAGCGCAAGAAGTTCATCTTCCTGACGTGGATTGGCCAGGAGGTGGGCGTTATCCAGCGTGCCAAGATGTCCACGGATAAGGCGCTCATCAAGGATGTGCTTAATGTAAGTAGCTATGAGTTAGATCCATAGATAGCTTCTATAATCCCATATTTTCCTTGCAGAACTTTGCCGTGGAACTACAGGCTGGCGTCGAGGCCGAGCTGGACATTGAGCTCTTCCGTGAGGCGTTGAACCGTGCCGGCGGTGCTAACTATGGAACGGGCATCCGAGATAACTAAGCGGCCTCCAAGTTACTTTATATACTTTTTTTTTGCATCTCTCAAGTGCTTACCAAACTGCTCCTTTCTCTTTAATTATTATGAATTAATTTTATGAAATTTAAAAACTGTACATTTTATGTAATATTATACAAGCAATTGTAACATTACTGGTTCTTTTTGTTTCAATCTACATTCTTACTACTTGAAAATCAATACTTTATGAGAATAGTTTGTTGTTCAAATTTCACTTTTGAAAATAGCATTGGTCAGTAAGTAAATCTTCTAAAAGGGTCTTAGTTAGATCATTAGATTAACAAATTGGTAAGATGATGATGATGGAATAGTTACTAATTTCGGTAAATTTAATCGAGAAAAATTTGTAAATCATAGAAACAAAATTGATGTTTATGAACTGAAATCTATAAAAAAACAAAAACTGTGACCATAACTTATATAGTTAACTTCACATACTATGGGTGGATCGATTCGATTTGGACAAGCGCGCCTAAGGTTTACATGTTGTAAATTGTTGGGATTATTTCTAACGAGATGATGAATAGTTTAGGATGCGTAGTCTAGAATAGCTGGAAAATTGCCTAGTTGCCTCTCAGTCTATGGACGCTACCCTAGCGATCACGGAAGAGTACCGAGTGGAGCGCATCGATGTCCACCTCCACGCCGGATGAGTTGGTGGTCACAGTGCGAGAGCTACAAAAGAAAACCAATTAGTAAAACGTATGGTTTCTTAAAGCCATCTAACTTACCTGGCTGAGTGAGCCGAGCGGTGGGAAGAGTGCGGATTGACCAGCACACAGTGCATGGGCTGGTCATCAAATTCGCGATGATGATAGGCATCAACGGCCATTTCGGCGTGTTCTAGTGACTTGTAAATGACTTCGGCTGTGCCGGGACGCACCACATGTGCATCGTACATTGGTCCAATGTCGCTGAAGAGCTCGCGTATGTCTGCGGTGGTCACGTTAGCATGAAGATTGCTCACCAACAGGCGATATCCGCCCTTTGTGTTCGATGACCCAAGCGGCAATGCGGTCGGCGCACGGTGCATGGTCATCGAATGGGATATTGAAGGTGCCCCACCGCCAGCACCACCGCTACCAGACTTCCCACGATTCTCGTTGGCGTAAATACCATGCGAAACGCGACGATCCGGCTCACGACCATACAGACGAGCCCGCAATGAGTCTGGCAGATTGCTGGTGTTCATTCCGTTTCGCTGACGGCGCTCGAATAGCTTTTCGCTGGTATCCGTATGCCCTACCACCAGCGGAGTGGGCATCGAGGGCCGTTCGATGCGATTGCGGGCCACCTCGTAAATGGAAAATGGATCGCTGGCTATATTGTTCTTCAGAGGAGCCGTGGACATCACCACGTCGTCGTCGCGATTCAGGTCGAAGCCACCAAATGTGTATCGTGGAGGCACCTGCTGGCCAGTATAGGCTCCAAAGTGTAGGGTACGCGTGATCTCCTCTGAAAGGAATAAATGAAAGAGATTAACTTGTCTGAGTCCTGGTCATCGTTAAGAAGAGCTTCTACTGCATACCATCTTCGAGATCTTGCATATTATCATGGTCGACGTAGCCAGGCGGAGCAAAGGGTTGTCCCGGCTGTTTGGATCTAGGGGCGTATTGTCGGCGTGGACCACCCAAGCACACGACATCGTCGTCGGAGTCCCAATCCTCCTCTATATTTCCGCCCGGGCGATTTGATGTTCTGATGGTGCGCTGTCCAAAATGGCCCATGTGCACCCCTGTGCTGCGGGCGTGACGTGAGGGCAGTTGCAGTCCGGTGCCCCCCGGGCGAACCTTTTTCCGCTCTTGGAGCAACTGGCGGGCATCGATGCCCGAGTCTCGCATGCTTTGGTTAAGCATATCCCGGGCATCGGCTATCTTGGCACGTGTCTTCTGAATAATCTTGTTTCGGGCATCGAAGGAGCGCTGTGCCGGTGGATCCGACAGGGACCCTCCAGACGAGGAGGCCTTGAAAGCGGGCTTGTTGAGCACTCGGTGTGGCTTTGTGTAGCTGGGATTGCTGCAATGGAAAAGAGGAATAATCCTGATGGCAACGCCATCTTTTCGGCTTTATCGCATCAGTACTTACAATTTCTTGTCGATGAACCGATGGTTTCCACGCCCGCGTTTACGTTCTATAATCTCGTCCAAGCTCAGTTCGATATCCATTGCTTCCGGCTTTACTTAATAGTAACTTTTCCCTAAGAACTTGCGAATAAAAAAAACGATTTCTCTAAATTTATTTTCTATTAATTTTAACTCCGCTTGTACAATAAAAGTGCTAGCGTTTTAGTGCTGACAGACGGGATGAATGCTAACTATCTACTATCGATAGCGAATATCGCTTAACTAATCGAATATGGTTTTAAATTTTAGAATATATTTATATTCATGTATATTCATTATTATATATATTCAAAAAAATTTAACGGAGATTTGTAAAGTTTATCTTTAGAACCCTAGTCTTTGTAAGGTATGTGATCATATTTTTATCGTTATCAATTTTCTGTTGTTGTTGATTATTAAAAATAAATATTGCTATTATGGTAGACAACTAATGTATTTCGATTTCTACACTTAGTCAATTAATTTATGAATTAATTTAAATAATTCCACATATAATCACTATCAACTAAATTAATCGAGTTACCGATTTCTCGCATCGAAAACAATAGAAGCAGTATATTTTGCGCCTTTAAACAGCTGATAGGGGTCGATAGTTTGAGAAAAATAAAGCCTCCTAATATCGAAGTTCTATAGGGCCCGAGGTCACCAGACAAATAACGCCACCTGATATCAATGATAATTTGATTGAATTTTAACCCATTGTCGCGATGTTATTGCCGCCAGATTGTTGGGAACACGATATAATCAATTTGGAGCAACAGCTTAAGCATTTCACCAGCAGCATCAGCAGTTAACCAGCCCCTCACAGCACAACAAAGCGTAACAAAAAGAAGCAGAAACATCAAAGTAGTGCCCAGCCAGCAGCTACCAAATATTTATATTAGATTTTCACTTTCCGGCTGGAAGTGCGCTCATTTTTTTGTTTTGTGATTATTTTGGCTGCTCCCACACACTCTCACACACACACAATCGCATACGGTGATTGCGCAATTCCAGTGGAACGAGTGCGGTGGTGTGCGGTGTGTGTGCGTGCGTGTGTGTAAACAACAAACGGACGAAAACGAAAAGGAAACAACGGGAATTGATTAGAACGAGTGGAGCTTTTGATGGGCAACTCGCAACCACGGTGCACGAGCAGAAGCCGAAGGACATCGCAGTGGCCACAAGGAACAGCGGAGCAAGGAGCCACAGCCACCGATCATCATTATCAGGAGGAGGAACAACACCAGGAGCAGCAGCAGCAGCAGCAACCGCCGCCGCCGCAGCAGCAGCAACAGGAACAGCAGGATCAAGCAAACCCTAGGAGAATCCAGTTCCAGACACAAACAAATCTTCAAACACAATCGAATCCTCCAGGCGAGGTGGAACAGCCCGTACAATCACAGCAGGTAATGACTAAGAAGAGGTGAAGGTGGAGTGGGTGGTTGTTTGCTATATAGGACAGGCTGATAAGGCGACTCATATATTTCTATATACATATGTATATATGTACACACATATACATACCTACATATATCGAGAGAGTGTTAGCCATGTTTTTCCTCGTCAGCGCGAAATAAATACTGCGTCATTAATGAGTGTTAGGTTCGCATTTTCCTTCATTCAATTACGACGCGGCTTTTGACCCCTGACCCCACCCCGTTCCACCATCCGAAAAAGAAAAACAAAACACAGCACGTGTGTGTGTGGGCGCTCTTTTCCGCACTTTTCAAATGCCCCAAGTGTATTTCCGCATTCGCATACGGAATTCATGGCCATGCCAATTGAGCCTCCCGCTGCGCAAATTCTGGCGCCCCCGTTATCAAATTCCGCCCTCCCGCGTTCTCCCTTTATACATATATATATGTATATATATGCTTGGTCTGAGTCTGAGGATCGCCTTGCCCACATGGAGATCCAAATCCATAGTTCTGTTCATATACTCAATGTGCGTGTGTGTAACCATACGGAATGGTGACCCTCAAGCAAAGAAACGCTGCCACAGTGGCGGTTCGAAATATTGGCACAAGTTCCTCAAAAACAAATAACTACTTCTTTATGTATGTCATTGAAAACTCTTTAAGAGATAAGGCTAGACCTTTTATGACCCAAAACTTGTAATATTTAATTTTATGAGTCATATTTGTTTTCTCATTGAAAGTTATATTGATTATTAAGCCGCATTTTAAGGCATAAACAAAAAGTTGTTTATCTAGAGCCTTTTATAGCAGCATTTCATATGAGTGCTATGTGTCTGCAGATAAGAAATCATAATAGTTACAAGGCAAACAAATGGTTCAGTCCTGGATTTTAGAACAGCAAACTAAGAACAACATGTTTTCGATCAACAAATTAGCATTAAATAATAATTAAGCAAAGATATCTAGTACAGTATAAATGGGAGAAAAACCTTTTCCTGAAGACCTTATGAACACAAACAAAAAGTTAAAACTCAATGACAACAAAATATTTAATCTAGGTTTCAAAGAAACCATAAAATATAAACTGAAAAACATATGGTCACTTTTAGGGGACATTACTGTATCGGCTGATTTCGATTCGCTCTCTCGCTCTCTTTTGCGATCCGATCCCAGCTGTTTGATCATCGGTGGCGTTGTTTGTTTGCAAAATATTCACAGGCCATAACGCACGTGTCGTCGCCTAGTGAACATCGCAAAATAGTTCTCCTACGCCTCCGTAGAAACGCATAGATAGTTAGATAGATAGAGTTCTGCGAACTCATTAGCTGAATTTCCCGGCGAAAACGGGTCGGGTAACCGTCGAAAACGAAGCAGGTAAGCCGTAATAAATCCGCTGTGCCCGTTTACAGCCGTTTTGTTGGCTTCAGCAATGGCTATTCAACAAACAGACTAGACCAGTCAGTCCGCCGCGTGTTCAGTGTATAATATTTGCTCGTAGTGAAGGGCATGAATGTGTATACCAAATCCTAATGATCTGCCGCCTTGTTTCAGCAACAGCTTTCCACCTGGAGTCTTGGCAGTCTTAGCGGTGGACGACTCAACTGGAGCTTCTCCGGGGCACGCAATTCATTTCGTCATCGAAACAAGGCGACGCGGAAGAGGTAGAATCTCTTTTAGCCTACTTTTTATGACACGTTTTAATACCAATCCATTTCCTTGCAGTTTGACTTCACTTCATGCCTCTCGTCGAGGCAAGACACAGTGGCACCGTCCTTTGACCAACTCAATCTTCAATTCGCACTTCAAAGAGTCCAGCCGTAACGATCTGTACCAAATCGAGCATCTGGTGGCCAAGGGAGCTTTCGGTGTGGTCTTTAAGGTTTGCAATAAGAGGGACAACAGCCAGTGCTACGCCTTAAAAGTGCTGAAGAAATCAAAGGTTGTTAAGAGTTAATTTTGTATGGTTGATGAGATTTAGTAACACCTTACCTCCTATTTCAGCTCATTGAGGACAACAGTGTAAGGCAGATTAAGGACGAGGCAGATATACAGAAGGTGTGCGGTCATCATCCGTTTATCGTGAAGCAAATTGATCTGTGGCAGAACCGCCACAACCTCCATATTCGTACGTTAAGATAGAGCATCCTTAATATATATTAATGTATACTAAACACCCTTACTTATTATAGTATCGGAGTACGTACCCAACGGTGAATTGTTCTCAAAAATAACTCACTTCTCCATTGATCTGGTTCGACTGTATATTGGCGAGATAGCACTTGCTTTGGGTGAGTAGATAGATTTTTAATCATATCAAAATGTTATATTATATGTACGCTTTTATAGATTTCCTGCATAACGCTGGGATTATATATCGTGATGCCAAGCCGGAGAACATCCTGCTAACGGAACAGTTTCACATAAAGCTTACCGACTTCGGCCTTAGCAAGTGGCTCAAACTGGGGGCCAACACGCGCACCATGTGTGGCACTTTCAAATACATGGGTACGATTTAAATCAACTTAAAAATTTAACAAATACAAAAAAACTTAAGAAATTAGATTTAGCTAGTAAGAGGCGCGCGCCGATCCATCGCAATCCAAATCGTTCAAAGGCATTTTCGAACAGAAAGCCCAGCGAAAGCAACTTAGAAGCAAAGGGAACAGAGCAGTATAGGAAATTAGAGCATCTATATATATATAACCTTCTGTTACGTTAGGATATACTATCATTTAAGTTACAAAACTATGTACATTTGAAAAGTGAAAGGTTATTTAACTAAAAAAAAAAAAGCAACTGTGAGCCGTGCGAAGAACAGTAAAACACTAAAAATTTATAACACAGATCAGACTTAAGAGGCATAACCGTAGCAGGCAGACGACAGTAAGGGAACAAGGGAAACCAAAGGGCACAGAGTCACAATATCGACATAACACTGTACATAGCCAGCACACAAACAAATCAGATATCCAATCAATCTCTCAATCTTAAGCCTAGAAAGTTATCGTGATGAACGCGCGTTCCCAGGTCTTTGATCTGACCATGGAGGGTCGTCAGGTGGACGAGGCGGTGGCCACCATATTTCACACCGTCCTCTTCCATCGCTGCCTGGGTAAATATATGTATACCGGTGATACCCAGTACTCGATTGGTACGGTCGGCTACACGGACGTCGATTGCAACTTTATTGACTTCACCTACGTGTGCTGCACCTCGGACAGCCTGACGCACAAGGTGAAGCGAGCCATCAACTCGTTCAGCGAGAAGCTGCGCTCTAATGAAAGTTGCGGCTCCGGCCAGATCAGCCTGGAGTTCTTCCAGAAAAAGAAGAACCGCTGGCCCTTCCCACAGGAATCAATTCCATGGGAGGTTTGGACAGTGCATCTGGATCTCATCAAGCACGAGAACGAGGACGAAAGGCAGCTGTGCCGCGAGAATGTCTCTGATCTCCTGACTGAGAAGGTCATTTACATTACCGAGCTGATGAATCGACACGATTATGTGCCCAAGACGCCCAGCCAAAGTGAACTGGATCTGATCTTTGACACATCCTTTCCGGACGTGCAGCCGTATCTGTTTAAATTCGATTACTCCACATCGGGCTCGGCGGCTCCCTCCATGGGTAATGCCATGAAGAAGATCATCAAGGAGACTCTCGCAATGTGACGGGCTGACGAAGGCGAAGGAGCATTGATCCTTTCACCTTTGTGTAGAAATGTCACACCAGTGGCTGCCTAATTCACCAATGTCCACACACATTAGTTCTTCGCGATTTTATTTATTTTTGTACTTTTCGTTTATTTTTTTTTTCCACCAACGTTATTGCATAATGTTTCTTTGCCCATGACCAAAGGGTGAGTCATTTACAAGGGTGATAAGATAATATACCAAGTAGTTAAATATATATATATATATGTTTATGGCATGTCCTTGCTGAACTAGATCGTTTTATGTTTAGGCTTTTCACTTCTATTGTTCTGCCTTAATGCTCTTAGTTGTTATTATTGCTTAAGTTATATTTACCACCGGTACACCACCCACGATCGATAATATTGGGTTAATCCTGGACTCCTTGTCCATTGTTGAGGATTCAAAAGGCTTTCTTGCAACGGAGCAGGGATGAATGTTATGTAGATAGCAATGGAGAGTTAGGAAAGTGTATTAAACTGCTAACATGTAGACCAATATTAACCTTTCTATAGACAGACTTTCCTTGCTCTAAGCTAGAAGCTGAAGGTGTGACTTATTACGCTGTGTATTCCCTCGATTATCCATGCAAAAACGTTCCACAAGTTAGCTTTGAGCTCCACTAAGCAAGCAATTACCTGTCAGCCGAGCAAATATATATTCTGTTAATTATAAAGTTATAATCGCCTGTGTAAATAACGAAAATGATGCAAGCTGCTGATGAAGGAGTTGAACAATAACAATAGAGAGATAAACCATCAAACATAAACCCATCTGAAAATCTAATGTTGAGAGATATGTAGTAGAACCGGGCAAGTAGCGGTGAAACGGTGAAGCGGTAGAGATGTATGAATAAAAGATTGTGATTGTACTTGTAGTGATTAAACGATAGTACCGAACTCTATACTATATGTATACATAGAGATCCGATATATAGATGTGTATGTATGTAAATCAATGTTTAAATGTAATATGTCCAAGCTATAAACAACAACAACAAAAAAAAAAAGTAATCGATAAATGTACTTTAAAACTTAACTAATATATTGTAATATCGAATTAAGCAGAATAAATCCTTTGAAGCTAAACGTTCAAAGTAGAAATGTAATTGGCCTTTTTTGCGATCATTTTTCAAATAAACCATTACGAATCACTTTTCAATCCCAGTTCCATTTATCGTTCTTTACCCAAAAGTGGTTCTCTATCCGTAACCCCCTTCTGGTATCATCTGATATTCGGCTTGCCGAATGATCGATCATTCATTCATTCATTCTGAGTTTACTTACTATTGCTTACTATATTTTGCCTTTCTCTCTGTTTACCATTTGTTTTGCGGGTGGGTAAAACGTTCTCCCCCTTTCTCGTATCTTTACAGCACCGGAGATTCTGTGCGGGGAACCTTATGGCCATGCGGTGGACTGGTGGGCCTTGGGCGTTATTGCCTGTCAGATGCTGACACAGAAGGTAAGCAAGCAAGCAAATCCGGTAGTCGGTGTAATCCAATAGGTAATAATAACCATTCATAGAATGCGAGCAGAGCATGCGCCATCTCGTCAATCTAATTTGTTTGTTTTTCCCATAGCTTAGCTTAGATCTTAGTTTGATGTGGAACTTAGGAACTGGTTTGCTGCATGTGCAGTGCATCTATGGGGGATTACTTTGGCCAGAGACTGAATGAGAAGCTCTATAATTTAAGCGAGGGCGCCGAGAGTTATGGGTATAATTGGTCTAGACATTAGAGCTATATAATCAAGTTGTTTTTTTTTTCTAATCAATTGGTTAGACATTTCTTTTAGATAGTTAAAGGGTAAACTTTATATGTTAGTTCTGTTTATGATTTTAGGATTTAGATCTTGGTTGTTCCCATTAAAAGTATCTTAAAGAACTGATAGCTTAACTTTTTGTTTTTCGATTTTTATTTAAGAATTTTCTCAGTCTATATAAAATCATATATACTTCTTCTCATATATACGTTATAACACTATCGTTATTAAATGTAGTTTCATTATGTTAGAACTCAAATAAAAAAAAAGGGTTTTTCATTTATAATGTATCCATGGGCGATACTCGTCGAGAGTGCAGGCTTCGTTCTTGTGGGTGTGTATTTTATCTTTTAAGAAGGACAGGTGATTGATCAAGGATTCAAGGGGTGCAAGGGTGGGTTAGTGGGTTTTAGGAGGGGTGTGTATATGGGTTTGTTGTCTTGCAATGACTAAGATTTAATTAAAATTACATTAATTAAATTATAATTATAAGTATTACTTTATGCCATCTTAGCGGTTTGTCCTGTTGTTTTTTTTTTTTTGTGTGTTGAATTGTTATGCCTAAGCGTGGTCATCTGACCATCTGATCCAGATCCACTTGGTTCTATTGTTCCTGGGCGCCATCTTCAGCTCTTCCCTTCCATATATGTGGGGTCATTTAGTTCTCCTCCATTTACAACTAAGGATACCACTAACTACGATCGTAATATTAAGACGCGCTGCCAAGGCGTAGCAGTGGGTGCAATGGTTGGGGATTTTGGAAAGTGGTGGTGCTGATGCTGGACTTGGTGGTTATTCTGGTCGTGGTGGTGGTGGTGGTGGTGGAAGGTAGTGGTGGAGTTGTGTGTTGTGTGTGGGTTAAGGCAAGGTGGTAGATGTAAAGCTCTTACTATCCCTAATTCTCCTTCGATTCGCTGCTCTCCTCTGATTCCTTGGACTCCGAGGAATCATCGGCCTTGGACTCGGACTTATCCGACTTGTCTTCCGATGATTTTTTTGGCTCAGCCGATGGTGGTGCTTGGGCAATGGGCTCGGCAATGGCTTCCGGACTCTTGGCCACGGGCTCGGCAACTGGTGCTGCTTCATCGATCTTCTTGGCCTCGGGCACAGCTGGGGCAGGGGCAGCGGCAGCTGGCTCTGGAGCACCAACAGCTGCTGTCTCCTCGGTCTTTGTCTGTTCTGGCAAGGCCTTGGCAATGGTCTCAGCGGCGGCGGCTGGCTGTTCCTTTTCCTGCTCCTTGACGGGCTCAGTCACCTTGGTGGCACCAGCTGGGGCCAATGGGGCATTGGTCTTCAGGACTGGAGCGGATTCGGCCACGGTCTCGGTGTTCTTTTGCTGGTCAACTGGCTTGGGGGCCTCACCGGACTTGGCCTGGGCAGCCTGAGCGGCAGGAGAAGCAGCAGGGGAGGATTCGATGGACTTCTTCTCAGGAGCAATCACCTGGATGTTGGTCTCAGACTTGGCAAGCTCAGGGGCAGCAGTGGGTGCAGCTTCGGCGGCCTTGGCTGGTTCCTCTGGTGCGGCAGCATCCTTCTTGGCTTCCTTTTGCTCGATTTCGTTGATCCTTTCCTGGCGGGCAGGCTGCTCGGCGGGGGCGGCTGTCTCCTTTTCGGCGGCAACTACGGCGGGAATGGCTGGCTCTTCGGCGGACTTGGCATCAATCTTGGGCTCCTGGGGCTTGGCCTCATCGACAACTTGCTTCTGGACCTCGGCATTGGCGGCAGGGGCTTCGGGAGCCAGTTCAATGGCCTTGGTAGCCTGGGGCTGGGCCTCGACGGCAACGGGTTCCGCTTCTGTGCGTGCGGTCTTCTCCTGCTTCTTTTCGGCTTCGGCGGGAACGGCTTCCTGGGCGGGCTTGGTCTCCTCGGGCAGGTTTTTCTTCTCGGGAATGGCCGGGGCAGTCTCTACGTCGGGCGCACTTGACTTGAGTTCCACGCTGTTGATCTCCTTGGCTGGCTCAGCTGCTGGAGTGATGACAGCAGCAGTGGGTTCTGGAGCAGCGGCCTTGGCTTCGATTTTAGGTTCCGGTGTCTTCTCCGCCTCCGGTTTCAAAGGAGCTGGCTCGACAGCAGTGGGCAACACGGTCTTGGTCAGCAACTCGGCCTTGGCACCGCTATCCGGCTGAATGGCCACCTCCTCATCGGGCACTGGGAGCGCCCAAACGCTGGCCAGGCACACGGTGGCCACGAAAAGCAATTGGCACTTCATTCTGCAGAGAAACAGGGTAGGAATTGATTTAGTATTGAGAGCTAGAGAGCTGCCAAGTCCCAACTGTTAGGTCTGAGATTCTGATGCACAATGATGACCCTCATCAGGTCGGACTTTCTATTCCGTTTTTTTAAATTCCCCAATCATCGTTTCGTCTTCCGTGGAATTACGTTTCGTTTGGTTCTTTTGTAATTCGATTAAATGAAATTTTCCACCTTTTGAATTAAATTGGTCTGGTCAGAGGCTGTCGTCGGTCGTTGGTCGTTGGTCACCCGTGACCAGTTCGTAGACCCGACCATCAGTCCTGCCTCCTTATTCCGAAATGTATGGCCCACTTAAGAGCGCCCACGAAAAGCGTTTAATTATTCAAATAAGCGGCACTTAAATGATGATCACTTAAGACCATCTGATAACGGGCTGACTTGCAAATTCAGATCTTCAAAACTCAAAACTAACCATCTGTGCTTGTATTTCCTTATGCTAATCAGCCGTTTTTATGGCCAAGACTATAAACTCTGATTAGGTTTAAAACAGATTCAAAAAAGAAAACCAAAGCTCAGATCTAACGGTCCCCCCGTAGCATAATTATAGATATTGTATCTGAGAGAGGTTCTTGAGCCCCAATAAATTATGTGCATTTGCATATATATGTACTCTCGTATAGCCATTGTAGCCATTTGCCTATGACCATTATATGTTACGTAATATTGGCTATGGTCGAGAAGCCCATGTACCCCCGAACGTCAAGATACGATCTTTTATAATTTACAAGCAGCTCTTGTTGGCCAAAAACAAAAAAAAAAAAGACAAAAAAAAACAACTGCATTTAGGTACGCTGCCAGAGACTTGGCAATCGAAACTCGTTAAGAAATAATGCTGCTGCTTGGTGATTTGCGAAATATACAAAACTTGGCCAAGCTGCTGGGTTCCACCCAAATGCATTTCGTTGGGCCAAAGATGCAGATAAGGCAGGTTCCTCAAAAACCTTGCTCATTTCTTTTCTTCTTTCTTTTTTTTTTTCAAAAGGATATATATATAGCAGATATATAACCTTTCGATACCTTGGCCTTGATGGCCATTAACTTACTCACCTTATGATTGAAGCGGCTAGTTAGTCGGTTTAAAGAACTTTTTTTGTTTTTGTATTACTTTTGGCACACTGTGTATCTCTTAGATACACTTTTTGTTATGGTTTTACGTTTGTTTTTTCTTTTTCGATTTTATGTTTCGAAAATATTCTGGGATTTCGTTACGCGCCCTGCAACAAAACACACAACGCACAAAGTTAAAAAAAATATATATATAGTTTGAAAAAAAAAAGTAGTTAGATTATATAGATGTGATTATGATGATGGGTTATATAGATAGATAGATATATAGATATATATATATATATATATTAGGTATATATATATATATTAGGTATATATTCTTAATCCACACTGCGCTGCTGGCCTGGCCTGCCGCGTGTTCTCACCGGTCAGTTTCAAGAAACACTTTGAGTGGATGCCAGCTTGCCGGGGCGTTTATATACACTCGGCGGCGGATCACAACGAACGAACCCAATGCCCGATGCCCCGAAGTCGACGTCGGCAGAGCATCGGCGGTATAGCCATAGACAGCGTGCTAGGCACGAACGTCGCAGCAGCGGCAAGAAGCAGCAGCAGCAGCAACAGCAACAGCAGCAAGCCGCATCTTTTAGAGGATGATGGGGCAGCGGGAATGCGTACGTGAGAGGCCTCTTCCACAGGAAGGATACCTGGATATTTTTAGTCTAAGCCGGGGTCTGGAAAAAACCAAAACCAAAAAGCCAACTATGGCGAAGCCCCCCGAAAGAAGAAGAACCCTTTCTCCATAAATAGACAGCAAATTGTTCGGCTCGGGCCTCTGTCTATTTTTAAAGCGAATGCAATTTGTAAGTCTTCGGCGCAGAGCTCCTCTTTGGCCAGACCGCAGCTATACAGATATATATATATATGGCGGAGGATCTATTTATAAATCGAACTAGCCAGGATCGGTTGCCGTTCTTGCTGATCGATTGCCATAAGCGTCATTAAACGCAGCACGATTTTCAAATGCAGTTGGTACGAGATGATAATATCAGCAATCAGCCAGGGCCAAAGAAAAATGCTTAATTGTGGTTCATTGCAATTGGCGGGGTCGGTTGGTTGGATGGTTGGTTGGTTGGTTAGTTGGTAGGTTGGTTGGTTAGCTGGTTGGCTGCTTGGTTAGCCGATCGGAGGCGGCAGAGGAGTTGGCAAAAAAAAAAAAACAAAAAAAAAATTAAAAGAAAACCGGTATCAATCGAGAGACGGGATTAGGGGACGGGGCTTTAGCTTGCCTCTGCGCCTATCTGCTAGAGAGCTCCACCACGCCATCAGCCATCACACTCCAAGAACTTTTAGCAATCGAACCAAAGACGGACCAAAGCCAGTGGCGGCCAGAAGAGGACCACTGAGACCAGACCAGGCCAGGCTCGAGCCTCGATCCGGCATCCGAGGAACATCATTAACATAATCAAAGCAGGGGGTTTCCGATCGTTGATTATCTTAGAATGATAAATGCCTTGGGGCAGCTCCAAACAGGCCTGCCGATTCTTTTTATAGACTCTGGGCAGATATATATATATATATGTTATATACCCAAAAGGATAGTTTGTGGATAGTTTGTGGAAAGTTCCATTCTCAGGCAGAAAGTGATATTAAACGGGGGCGCTAAATTGCCCAGCAGCTTTTGTCGCTTTCAAATATTTACATCCTCCAAATTGGGCAGCCAAAAGTGAAACAGCCATCAAGATACTTATGCACCCGAAAAAATCAGGTCAATATATGATAATTTGGCTAATTTGTTAACTTATATGGCTTTAGATTTAATATATCTATTCCAATAGATCATAGAATATGAGTAATGTTATAGATCTTTAGCTTTTATAAGGGATATTCTTATATAGAAGATAATAGGAGTAGATGGTAGTGGATAGTAGTAGATATAGTAGTAGGTACTAGTTGATATAGTAGTAGATATGGTAGTAGATAGTAGTATATATGGTAGTAGATATAGTAGTAGGTAGTAGTTGATATGGTAGTAGATAGTAGTAGATATAGAATATCTTTATGGATCGCATACTATGTCTAGTTCCCAACAAATCTAATATATATTATATAAATAATAAATATATCAAGAATTTTCAACTTAATAGATCGTAAAATATAACTTTGATCCTTTTTAATTATTTGATATCATAAAGAACATATTTCTTCAGATCTCTCTTAATAGTAGTCATATAATACCATTTGGATTTTAAAATATCCATACAAGAGTATCAATAATATCTTAAAAGATCACTCATATTCTATTTGATAGATCATAAAATATAGTATTGATCCTATTTGATCATATATTTTTTTGTTAAGATCCTAAATTTCTCAAGAAATAATTTAATACCTGAATGGATCATATAATATGGCATACATCTTCATAAATCTGTATATATTATATCAATAATATCTTAATAGATTAATAATTTGCCACCTAATAGATCATGCAATACCATTTTGCTCCTATTCGATTATATAATATCATTAAATCTTAATAAATCATATAATCAGACTTAGATCCAAATATATCTATCTGTGTTAAATTAAAAATATCTTAATATATCGATACCTTCCCCTTAACAGGTCATACAATATCATTTTCCTCCTATTAGATCAATTAACATCAAATGATATCCTGATTGAGGGATCATAGAACAGCATATCTTATATAGAACCTTATTTATAGCCCAATTCCCATTCCCATCTAATTTTTTCTTTTCGTGTACACCCATAAACACCGAAATGCCTTATAGAAGAGATACGGCTGCGTCGACGTCTCTCTAAGGTCAGACGATCGTTTAGCGGAAAAGTTCTGGGGGAGCTCTTGAGTTAAACGTGCTCTGATTGGATTTGGAAAGAGTCTGATTTGAGAATGGTCATGATAGTAGTACTAATGGTGCCAGATAGTAACAGAGATGGAAAAGATAAACGAGGGAAAGCCGCTGTCGAAGAATAAAAACTATATACTCGTACCTATATATTCGAATGCGACCCATCTGTTTATTTATGACCAGATTTTGGGTTCTGTTTTTCGGGTTTTATGAGCCTATGGATTATCAGACTGTCTACCTGTCTGCCCGTTCACCAATAATCTACATACATATGCACAGGATTGGTCACGTTGTTGCGTACGCGTACCTAGGAGGGAAACTTGTAAATTGTATGCAAAAAGCAAAAAACCAAAACTAAAAACCAAATACCCAGAACCCGAAGGGAAACCTTTTATGACCTGCCAGTCAGTCAGTTAGTATGTCGTTTTGCTAATTTTGAAGGTCGATCATCTATAGCGCCGTAGCGATCTCGTCACGAAAAATGAATCTCATAATCTTTAGATATTTGCGTTTAGAAAAATCATGCATAATTGCAATTATTATTAAAGTTGCTCAATGTTTTCCATGGATGAACGGCTGACCAGTCAGCTAGCCAGCCAGACAGCCAGCCAGTAGCAACTATTTTGTTCATGAAAAAAAGATGACGAGCTACAGTGATCATAATCTAAACTTAACTTTATTTTAAATCGCAACTTTACGAGTATATTTATAGATTCTGTTAAATCGTTTTGGTTTTTAACTGTTTGCATGTCCTTGGATATGTCTAGTCTTAGTGCTAGAATATACCTACCCTAGTAGTCTTTTAATTACACGATCTAAAACAGAACTTAAGCTCTTGGCTGGAGTAGAGGCCAAGTTAGTGGGAAAACCAGGCTAAACTTGGAACACTTGAATCTCAGCTAAGGTAGTCGATGCCCTTAGAAAAGTTGGGATTGTGGGTATTAGTAGTTCGAAGTTTAAATACTCTTTTATAAGTTAGAAATATAAAGATGCCATTAGGTCTTATTAACTTGTGATTATTAAGGTTATTAACTTCTATTCTTTGGACAGAAAGTACAGATTATGGAGTGATTAGCTTAGAAAGTAAGCCTATGAACCTTAATCTTTTCTAATTCCTAGCTAAATCAGGTACTGACCTACCTTACCAAAAAGATAACACCCACCAAAAGGGCATTTATAAATATGTTCTCCTTTTAAAAAGCAGCACAGAAACCCAAACCCAAGACCAAGCCCAGTACCCCATTCCTCTGCCAAATCAAATGCAACACTTTTTGGCATTAAGCTAGCCTGGTAAAGATGCTGGAAAATTGGCCAGGTACGAGATGGCATTGCTTTTGTAGCCGATCCTCCTTTTCCTCCTCCTCCTTCTCACGGCGTGTCCTCCAAAAACTGAAGAAGAACTGATGGAAGGAGTAAAGAGTTAAGGAGGAGTTGCATCAGCATCAAGCACTTGGCCAAGTGGTTGGCCAGTTAATGGTTGCACTGGTCTGCTCATTTTCTTGCGACATTTTTATGCTCTTGAGTTGCATAAATATTTGCGGAGACCGCAAAAGGGAACTGGAACCACTTCTGGACGTAGATTTTCTGCTGGCTCTTTGCAACACGCCAGCGAAAGCAATAAATTTGTGCGCCGGCGGACACGACTTGGTTGGGGTCTTGGGTTTCGGTTGGGGGGGAGGATTGGGGTTTTTGGTCTTGAGGAATGGGGAATAGGCACGATACTGGTAGTGGTCTCCTATCATATAATATAAAATGCACATGCGTTGCAATCAACATCAACATTGTCCTGGTCGTCAACGCAAAAGCGAAAGGGAGAACTAGCATAGATCGCGAGGCAGGAGCATTATCATCATCATTATCATTATCATCCAGAAAGGTAATTACACAGGACAACAAAGAAATTGTACTGTAACTAAATAGGAGTTCATGGTTCTAAGTTGACTAGGAGATCTTTCTTCTTTTTGCTCTTTAACTTAGGTTAATGTCAGGAAAACCCAAATAACCAAAAACTAACCAACTTAGATCACCTTGTTGCTTAGTGTTTTCTGTGCAGCAAAGATTGCTGCATGCCACATACCCAACCGTGGCATATACACATACTCTCTTACTAGACCTGCGATCAGCAGTAAAGCAGAAAAGCAGCAGCAGCAGCAGCAGCAGCAGCAGCAGCAAACCAGCGGCAGAATCGCCTTTGTATCTCATGGATACATAACTCTTTGTTATTGGCCTTGAATGTCCTAAGCACGGAAAAGAGGTCATTGTCGCATAATACACCGCCTGTTGTCCATAGCCTGTCCAGCCTGTCCAACTGGTGGACAATGACAGTGAACAGTGGCGAATCCATGATACCCCCAAGGGGGACAAAAAAGAATCTATGCGCTATGCACTTTTATCCACCTCTGCGCGATGTTCGCCTTTTCTGTTTTGAAATTTGTAATTAAAGTAGACACGCATTTTAATGACTGTAATTGAAAAAAGGGCCCAGCCCATGATGGTCATGTGGTTGTCGGATTGTCGGTTGCTCCTTGGGCGATCAAAGAGATTGCAATACAAGCTAGAAGTGATGTATATACAAGGTAACTATCTACAAAATGCATTTTAAAGAACTTCAAAAAAACAAAAAACAACTTAAGCAACAACTTATTATTACGAAATGCTGAGCTGAGCCATCAACCAACTCATCTTGGCCAAATCGCAGAGCACTTCCTGCCACGTTTGTTTAGGGCTCCGATGGCCTCCATATCTCCATTGGTAACTTAATACTTAACACCCGTAAAATCGCAATGATTATCTGAACAAAAATATACAAAAAAGAAAAAAAATATCTTGCAGATTGTTTTCGGTTTTTGCTGCTGCGCACTTTGGTTTTCTCAATCTGTTCTTGTCACTTGTATCTTTTTTTTTTTGGCTGAGTTCGCTGACTATGCAATATACGATGTACAGTCGATTAAGACAATTATCTCTGGACATTAATTCTAGGAAATATAAAAATAATAATCACTATCAAGCACTAAACTTTGTCGCTATGATAATTGGCCAACCAACCAAACGGCGGGCAGCTGGAGAAGGTAGCCGGTTGATGACCTATGATAGTTCAACGCGAAAAAGATAGATTTCAGCTATCCATGACTGGGCCAGGGCCATTCTAATGATAACTCTATGATCTAGTTAGCCAAATCAAACTATTTGGCTACACAGGAGGAGGAAATCTGAATATAGGATTCTAAGGTAGTTATGAAACTGTAAGCTATTTTGTAATGACAAAGACCTTGAAGTTGATAGCCTTTCATGTTGCAAATTGTAAACATTTTCCATCAACAAAAATGTCATATTAATTTGTCACCTTTTAGATAGATAGATAGACATTTTGTAATAGAGCTCTCCATAGTTTTGTAGTATAACTTTTTGATGGAGTGACAGTTGACCGCCGTGGCGGTCCCTTCTGACGGTCAGGCTAGCTTCCAATGTCCAGCTCACGTGCCGGCAATTACAATTACCATGCGTCACATTGTCAGCGATAAAACACAGATATAATATGGACAGAGATTGCCCAGTGTCGTTGTCGTCGTCTGCGGGAACCAGAGCAGAATCAGTGGAGCGCTCGTCTCATCTCATTTCGCAACTTGTTTTCGAATCAACGAACCAGGAAGGTGGCATGGTCAGACCCTGCTGCTGTCTATCCCCCCACCCCCGCCGTTATATCTATCTACCATTCCTGATCATTACCCATCTATCTCTTTCTCTCTATTTCTATCTCGCTTGGCTGTGATTTAATTTAATTTTTCTAAGCACAACCCAAACTGTTTCACTTTGTCAACATTTCGTTGTTTGTCAGTTGGCGGCCGCCGCCATCGCATTGATTAAGCTTAATTTGGTTGCTCCAAATGCAGGTCAAACCTTTCGAAATCTCTCGGCATTAGGCCGAGTGCTCAATGCATCCTAACTATGGCTTATTATATATTCCTCTTTATATGCTATATGATCACCTTGAAATCTGGGAAATCTGGATCTTTAGATGACTAACAAACTAAGACTGCTGACATTTTCCAAATGCCACCTGCTGGTGAAAGTGACAGTCTCCAGTCCAGCTTCTAATCATAAATTACATTTTTTTTTTTATTTTTTTTTTTGGGGTCATGTCTGAGCTGGACGACAACCCACTGTTAAGTTCAAGTGCGTGCATTGCTCGGACTGGGATGGGAATCATCCTCCTCCATCAGCAGCATCCAAATCCCCAACATCTACTAGTACTAGTATTCAAGTGCAGCTACTGTAATTAGCAGCTAGTCAGTGTCAGTAAGTGGCTTTTACATGACAATTGCATTTGTCAAATTAGATTTGCATGAATTTTGTTATTCTATACAAAAGGGGAGTTGGCTGTAGGTTTATGAAACTAAATATATACTGGGAAATCTCTAGAAGCCTATATATAGTTTAGAGATAACCAAAGTTAAACCATCAAGAGAGCTTCTTTAGTTCTATCAAATCCATGAAAATCATGAAATGACTTTCTAGAAAAATCCCTATATACTAGTCATACTAAGTATTTCCAGCGTCGATCTACCCCAATATCAATCATCCACTTCCCCATTTCTCCCTGCTAACTAGATCATAGATCCAGAAAGTACTCGGCAAGTGAGAGTGCGAGTATTACAGCAATCTCCATGGTGACAACGACAATAAGCACATCCAAGTTGACAGCATCCCAGCACAACCACCAGCAACGACGTCAACTCAACAAAAAATTGTCTATTTCTATTTTGAAAAGTAGTCAAAGTAGTCGCCCGCTAATTGAATCCAATTTGCATGCATTAGCGCTCGTGGAGCCGCCGAGCTGAGATTTACCGGGCGGCTAGTTTGGCATGGGTCTTATCCAAGTTGGGTTATCCAGATTTCTTTATATATATGTCTTCATAACTATCTTTTCGTAATCACCATAATTGCAGCGTTCTTTGCAGACTCTCATCATTGCAGGAATTTATTGAAATAGATCGTTAGATGGGTTCTTATGAAAACTCTTAAGGGAGGGGGGCGCCAAATTACAAAAGTTGATTGTCAAGTGCTTCCTGAATAATGCTAATAGTTAGTTTTATGTTATATATGATATATAGGTGCAATTGGATTAGGAATAAGTCATATTATTTGAGGATTATTCTGAAAGAGGTTTTATGTCTTTTTGAATTAGTTTTAGTATTGTTAAAAATGATTAATTGGGGATTCCAATACTTTCTTTTTGTAAAAGTAACAACTTCTACTTATATGTCAAGGAATATTTCTGAAAAATCTGGAAAATTCCTAAAACAAAGTTAGTTAATTAATGTTTAGGCGACCCCAATCTTAGCTTAATGTGATTAACTTCATTAGATAAGTTTATTCATCAAGCTAAAGCCAAGTTATTCATACTTTCTAATTAGGTGATAATTTAGTGTACATTTTCCACTACTTTTCTTTATTTTTTCTGCTATATTTATTATCAAGATTTGTGGACTAAAACTCAGAGCAGAAATAAGAGAACTATGGAATGGTATACTCGTACTATGTGTCATTTTTCTAGTTTATGTTTATTCTAGGTTATTTATCGAGTTCCATCGCAAAAAAAAGAAGAATGAAAAAAAACCCAAACCATATAGAGCTGACACTTGTGATTTGCGTATTTGCGTGTTCATGCGTCTGGTCGGAATTGTTTGGTTATTTGGATATGATTCAGGGCGCCACCATTAGCATTGTTCGGCTGATCGTGTTGTCACCGGACGCTAATTATTGTTTTGCTGACGGGCTGACGAGCGAGGGGAGGAGAAAACAAACAGAGGTGGCTCATCGGTTTGGTACCTGGCCATGGAATTCTCGGAGTTGCAGATATAAGAAACTTGAATTCCTATAGTTTCCCATTCTTTCTATAGTTTTTGTATACAGATCAGATTTAGAGGTTCTCCAATTAGAGATCAAAGAGGTTATAGCGAAGGTTTGAAACTTGACTAGTTTCCCATAATCGCAAAAAAGTATACCTTAGCAAAAATGTTAGTATGGAATCTATCAGATCAATAATACTCATTTATACTCCATTGCAGTCACCTAACATAAAACGTCACCTGTTGCTACGTCGTCGAGAGAGTTCGGAACCAGATGACGTTTTGTCCAATGCTCCATCCATTGCCCAGATCAATGGTTGCCTGCAGGACAGTGATGCCGACAACGAAGACTTTCTGCCGGAGGAGGTCCAGCAGCTCTCCCACGAGGGCAGGGATGTCCTTCGCAAGCTACTAACCATAGAGCCGCGTCAGCGCATCCGCAGTGTGATGGCACTTCAGAGGATTGCCCTCTATAAGGGCTATAACCTGACCTCCAAGCAGCTTATTAGTGTGAGTTTAGGATTATTAAGAGATAGCAAACCCTTTTACTAATGGAATTTCTAATTAACAGCTCTCTCCACGAGATATTATAGCAAGAGATGGAATCAGGATCTACGAGGACAGACAGTACGACCAGGTAACAAGCCAGTGTGCTATCGATGCATTCCTGGACTTCTAAAAAGCGAATAGGAAACGGAAACGGAAACGGAAGCCATCCACAACGAAATCACAAGAACAAAATGTTCAGCCATAAACAATTTCCAATTTTTTCGGTATTATTTAAACTTTATCTTTCCATTAAACTTATAAATTCCTACAAATTATGTTAACTCAATTAGCTAAAGGCTTTAATTTGCATGTAAACTTCTTTGAAAGTGAACAAATTTTTTATTAAATGTTAAAGTAATTATACAGAAATTATATTTGCAATTATGGTCAAAGGTTATAGTGATAAAATTAACAAAAAAAATTGATTACTAATCCAGCAATATATATGCCACTTTTTTATAGAACTTTTTGTTTTCTTTTTATTTATTTTCGTGCTCAAGTTGTAATTTAAAGAAAAGAAGTCACTTTAGTCCAAAAATGCCAAAATTAAATGTTTATATTGTTCTTAAAAAATAAAACGTGCCTTTAAATTTAAACATTGGTTAAGTTTGTGGTTTCTAAAAATCTTGGAATCTTGAATAAAGGTTATAGAAAATCCAAGTAATCACTCAATGGATTACAGCTAAGAACTACTTTCACATAATTTAAACTTAATGAAAATTTTTAATAAAAAAGTAATTTCAGTGAAAGTTCCACTTAATCCATATCTACTAGCTAACTGCTTTCATTCTGTAAAACAACTTCAAATTTTCATTTTCCTTTCTCTTGGTATCCCTGGCCAATTATCCCTATCAAAAGTTTTGCGAAAAATTCAGTTACGTCAATAGATAGCGGCAAATGGGTTTCCTGTCCAACGTCATGAGGTGGTTGCATGTTTTTTGTCCAAACATTCTGGTGAAGAGTAAATGAAAAGCTCGTCAGCAGACGTGGGTGGCTTTGTCATATATAACCACCAACCGCCCACGTAGATTTTTCATGCTTTTACCCCGAAAAAAAGCTTTGGCATTGCCAAAAGCTTTGTCAGCTGCTGGTAACGTCAGGATGAGGAGAACAAACAGCCGGGCGGAGCGAGAACGAGAGCGAAAACAGATTCGTTGCGAGCGAGGATTTGGAACTCGCTGGAAACGTTGTCAGCGACAGAGGGGTAGAGGAGTGAAGGAGAAAGCAGCAACAGCGGCAGCGCAGTTACAGTTATTGGCAACAACAAATACATACACTAGCACACTCGCACATCGATATCCGTATCCAGAAGAGCTACTCTTTCTAGAGCCAGGAAAAGGAAAAAGTGGACAGTGTGGAGGACGACGACGTGTCCACTTGGTTGATCTAAGAAGCGGAGCATGGATATTGGATACTGATGTTATTGCAGAAACACGGTAAAGTGCAGTTTCACTAAAGCACAAAAACATACATACACACACAGTCACACAACCACACACACCCACACACTCGGTGAGGATTCATGGCTCTACTCGAGATTAGGCAACTCCAAGCAGGACACTAAAAAAAACCCGCGCCATGGCTCTGGTGCACACATACCTGGGCACTTGGGAGGTGAGTTGCTATCTATATCTTGCATTTGATGTGCATATAATATATATCTTCACATGGAAATCTCAGATTGTTTGCTGCACCTTCGAGGGAAAACGGGAGCTGTCCGGTTTAGAGGGGTAAGCTAAATCCTCAAGGAGCATATATCATTCTATACCGCAATCTAACGGTTACTCCCCTTGTAGCATTAAGTTCCGCTTGGATGACACCAGCGATATAACCTGGTACAATGACCTGGTCAGTCCACTTCCGGAATCCAAGGACTGCGGCAGCTTCTGTGAATCAGCCAGTGTCCTCTTCAGCTGCGAGACCTTCGATGTCCACGAGATCAATCCACGCCTGGTCTTCGGAGCTTTTGCCGGTCACAGTATTGAGTTTAGCGTGAGTATAAATATAACATCTTCACCAGAAGATATCTAAGATGAACGTTTTCAAATCCGCAGACCAACACCTTAACGCCGACTGATACTCTGGTGCTGAGCTGTGAGAACTGGTATGCTGTGGAGTGCAAGCGATTGCAGGATAACCAGGCTGCTGGCCAAGAAAAGCAACTAAGCTTCGGCGAAGCCCTGCAGGAGTCCTACTTCAGCGATGTGGTGGTCAAGAGTTCGGGTGGCTTGGAGTACGCCCTGCACGCCTCGATACTGCGACTCAATGGCTTCGATTGCAGCATGTGCGTGAATAGTGCCCCATCTTCGGCAACGGCTCGTCCAGCGCGGACCTGTCATAGTGGTCCGAATACCCCGAATCCCATCAGAATTTCCGTGGCGCCGGCCAACGATGATGGGCATGACAAGTCCCTGCCGCGCCTGAATCTGTCACCCATTTACCTGCAGCCACCATGTGACTTCCAGACCATGCCATCGTCGGGCGGTTTGGGTGCCCAGCGAATGCATCAGTTTAGCAGCAGCTTCAACTGCCTGAGCAATGGCAATACCGGTGATTCGGGTTCGGTTGTCAGGTCTAAGGGTCTACTTAGTCTTGAATGTGGCAGCGGTGGCGGTGGCATGTACCGCTTGCCGCCCACCTCGCATTCGGATTCGCATCTGGAAACGACGCAATCGCATTGCAAGAACATTTTCAACTTCTGTCAGGATTTGATGCTTCAGCCAACACCCACGCCCTTGCCACCGACCACTGGTCTGGCCATCTGCAGTATTCGGAGGCCACCATTGTCGCCCTATCGTGCTCGCAGTCCCTCGCCTTTTCCCAGCTCCATGGACACCCCACCATCATCGCCTCTAACGCCCGTGGGTGTACTATGCAATCTGCCCACTTTCCTGCTGGGACCCATTCTCCACTGGCTGTACACGGAGTCACTGCTTCCGGATCTGGACGAAGATGTGTGCGAGAAGCTAATAAGCTTTGCCGAATCGCAGCCATCGCTAATCAAACTGGTGGAGCCGACTCGCAAGTACCTGCGACTAATACGACTCAAGAAATGTGAGCATTAGAAACTATATAGCTGTTATTCGGATATTTATATATATATCCTTACTTTCAGTTGTGGTCAACGTTACTATGGATCTGCATGGCATTCTCAATCGGGTTATACAGTGCATAAATCCCGGCAATATTACCCGCGATCCCTCGCAACTCTATGCGACATTTCAGGATGCCCTACGCGAATGTGCTATAGGTTGGATTTTTCCAAGCTTCCAAGTTTCTAGAAGATATTAACCTATGTATCATTTTAGGCTGCGCTAAGGTGCTACAATTCTGTAATATTTTCATTACGGACGCCACACACATGACACGATATCAAAAGAACGAAATTGTTAAGTACATCCGAACCCGCATCCCAATTTTTATGTCACAAGTTCAACAGCTGCTGCAGAACGTACTCGGAGTCTTTGTGGGTCTGAGTGTCGATGAGAAAGCGGAGTTGGTGAATTACCTAGTACCTGAAGTATATTCAGTTTCTACTGATCTATATTGGATCTATAAAAACTTATCTATTCCATTCAACAGATCGAATCAACCTTATTTGTATTGACCGCTGTGATAGAGGAAATCAAAAACTCATTGGAGATCATGTGTAAGGTGAGTTTTGGTGTAGAACTTTTAAGAATTTCTATAAATTTATATACTATAACTACTTGTCTTTTCCTTATAGGACCTTAAATGTTCCCACTTGGATCTCCCCCTACAACAACAGCAGGCAGACGATGCTATTGTCATGCAATTGCAGATCGCGGATGGTGGCGAACCATCGCCACGTCCTCGTCGAGGTGCTCCCGTGGGTCTAACGCTCTATGACAATCTCACGGATAAACAGCGCCTGAGTTCCGCCGAGAATGACCTGAAATTTGTTCTCTATATGTACGAAGTACGGAAAATGCGCGATATTTACGGTCGTATAGTGGCAGCCCTTGAAATAATCAAAGATAAAAAGTAAGTTAGTCTTGGTTAATCCTTAAGCTACTAAATCATCTAATCCTTAACAGGAGTACATTCTGTGAAATGGATTTTCTGAGCAAAAGTAGTACAATCAACCAGAACCTCGAGCAACTAATAATGGACATACCCGCTTACATTTTCATTGTGGAAAACTTGTCGGATCGACTGGATGACAAATTGGGTTGGAAGGAGTTCAAGTTCTGCTTTAAGCTGGCCACCAGTCAGATAGTAAGATATAGACAACTTTCCATGATCAAGACATTCTTACCATCATGTTTATAACTTGCAGAACGGCGTCATTGCCAAGTTACTGGACCACAAGGAAGCCCTGCGAGATGCCATCAGCCAGATCTGTTTGCTGGTGCGAAAACAGGAGTTCACTCAGTCTGTAATCGAACTGGGTTTATTGGATGATACCAGTCGATTGTCTAACAACTTAAAAATGGCTGATCATGAGAACAACCTAAATCAGGGGCTAAGCGATAAGGAATCGATCTATTTGGATCGCAAACAATATTATGATTACAATAGCATTAAGGTAAGGGATTAGCTAGACTTTATATAAACATATCTTATGATACAATTTACCTTTAGTTAAATCTCATTCGACATCTGTGTGAGCCACCCATTGCCGCCAGTAGCAATTTGTCGAAGAATGCCCTGCGTCTGCTGCACTCGACCCAACTGGCCGACATGGAATTCGAGGTTCATACCTATGCATCCACACCAAGTGCTGGCAAACCAGAGATTGGAAGTGAAACCGATGGATCAGAGCCAACGGCAACGAAAGCCCTCCAAGTGCACAGCTTTAAGGCTCATCGGGTGATCGTTGCGGCTCGCTGTGAGTGGTTCAAGAAGGCTCTGATGTCGGGAATGCAGGAGTCGATCAACCGGAAGGTTATAATCACAGACACATCTCCCGTGATCTTTCGACGCCTACTGCTCTATCTCTACGGTGCTCCTATCGATCGTACTGTGGGGGCCGAACAGGTGTGCGAACTAATGCTCTTGGCAGATCGTTATTCTATAGATGATCTCAAGGTAAGATACTATGGCTTTCCAAATTCTATTACTAAATTTGAAAAACCCAATAGGAATTGTGCGAAAATACCCTATATTCTCTTATTGACGAGGACTCTGTGGTGTGCCTGCTGGGCATTGCGGATCGCTATATGGCCACCGCCTTAAAGTCGAAATGTCTCTCATTTCTATCGCAACATGCGCAACTGACCAAGTGTGAAATATTCAAGGAATTGCCACAGACACTTCAGGTGAGTAGATATATATCTTTGATATATAGAAATACTAATCGTATACCCTTTTAGCTAGAGGTTATGGATTTGATACATTGGTTTGGACGCGTCTCCGAGCCGTGGAACGATCGCGGCTTTAAGCCGCGTAGCAGCTCACGTCACAGCCTCAAGAGTCCTTCGAAGCCACGCTCGCGATCTCGGAAGTCCTCACCATCCTACATGTGACGCCGACAAAGCGCCATTGAACACACGAATGCCAACTTCTTGTGATAATTTTAGAAGACTTCGCAAAATCCACATGGATAATATAGTCAGTAAGGATGGGAGATGAGAGCATGGTATTATATAGGACGATGTGCTTAGACTTTACAGGGCGACAGAGAAGATTGTTTAAATCAGTTACAGGAAAAGGATAAGAAACTCTGATATCTATATACCGGAATAGAAGGACTCAAACCCTAAATATCAAGCCAAAGGAAAGGAAAAGGCAAACATGACCTGATTTTAATGAGTTTTACTTAGTTCACTAGTAGATACATAGATAGGAATTTTGGCGTATAACTTGCATTCATCACATTTTCTCTCGAACTCATTGATTTGTGTAGGAAAACTATATTTTCCACAAATATATAACTCATTAGGCAATAATAAAAATTGATTAATTTGTCCGATTATTATAGCAGAAGATCGAAAAGATTTTAGTGTGACAATTAGGTTATGTAAATACACAAATGAGTAATATATATATATATATATATATATATATATAGAAAGACTTTTCTCGAAACCACTTCTTCGTTTCAAAATCTGTTTTCTATATTTTGTGGTCCACTTGTGAGGTAGGTTAGTTGTACACTTGTATTCTGATGTCGACGGGTAGGTAGTAATTGTTTTGTATTGGGCAAACGGAATATTATATTATATTATACATATATATATATATATATTGAGAAAAATACATAATACAAGAACATTTTCGGACCACCGAAGATTATGTGCTACACTATTGTAAACTAACTAGTGTATTTTGACATATAGACACATATTAAATTTAACATTTAGACTATTAACCGCGTGACGAATCCTCATATGAAACTATATAGGTTGGGATATATAGTAGGGCGGATTTTAAGTAGCGACGACGACGACGACAGGCAGCGTATTTTTTCATTCGATTTGAAAACGTATCAAATTAACAAAATATATGTACAAATATTATGTGTAAATTATATTATTGTACTAATTCAATACATTTCTTGTTGTCTTTTTAAAAACATATCACAAATTAACTCTTTTTATTAGATACTGATTATAAAAAATGTACGTATGTAAGTAACGGAAGTAAAAACAAAACAAAGTTGTTTGAAAAAGTCGTTTGAATTAGTGTAAATGGAAAAATTCAAGTGGTTTACAGAAAAGGTAAAATGAATTTCAACCTATGAATATTTTTCTGGTCATGTTTAAATTTCTAACGGTTAAAGGATTTGTATATGTAATAAATCGCTAGCGGCGCAGCAACGAACATTATTCGTTTGTTGAAAGCTTAGGGATCCGACTTAGTGTTGCTGGATATTACCCCTATTTTGAAAAAGCAAAGTAACGAGTGTTAATACTCGCCTATTGAGAATTCAGTGATGGGATAGTTAAAAGAGATGGGAGTCAAAACCAGTATTTCAATTTTAAACGGACAGGCTTAGGTAATCATAATTGCTGTTGATAAAATAGTGAGTACTTAACTAGACATAAATGTATTCCTTTTAATTCAGCAAAGCCAAAAATTATGGCTATGATTGCCTTTGCAATTATTCAATTAACTATCAAGCTTACACGAATTTAAATAATTATCGGAAGTTAAAGTAACGAGAGCTTACCTTAGAGATGGTTTGAAAAACGATAGTTCACAGGAGCTGCAAATCGTTCCCCCTTCCAGTGCAAAAGTTTTGCGGGTTCCCACTCTTTTCCAGCGGGCCGCGGGCACTGGTTTTTCCGACTGCGTTGCCATAGGGCGCACCGCAGCTTTTCAGCTTTTCCACCCGAGAAAACTTGGCGCTGGCGCTCTCGTTGTCGTTAGCGTTGTCTCTCGCGCTTCTCTCGTCACTGTTCGGGTTGCCGAAAAAGCGGAGACTGCTGCTGCTGCCGTTGGCTGGCGCAGGAAAATCCATTTTCCATTTTCCTACATGCGGACACTGGCTCAAAGTATCGTGTGCGGCGGACGTCCTTGTCGTGCGTGCGTCGTTTGCTCGCGCTGACGGTGTGTGTGTTTTTTTTTTTGAATTCATAGAGCACCTCGCTTCCGAGCAACATGGAAACATAACTACCAACTAGGCGGAATAATACGAGAAAAGAATATCCAACTAGAAGAAGAACTCTCGATTTTTGCAATCGCACAATTAGAATTTCAAATCGATACAGAGCCTGTGTGTGATTGCGTCGTGTGTGTGCGTCTGTTTGTTGTTTTGCATTTTGCAAAAGATGCCTGTTCTTTTTTTTTAGTGAGTTTTTTTTTTCATATTTTTTCCCCATCAATTTCGGTGAGAGTGCTGTGCAACGAAAAGGGAATACGCAAAAACGATTTTTTTTTTGAAAATCGCGAGAGTCCCCGAAGGAGAAGGCCACACATAGAAACGAAAAGGAAAGGCGAAAAGGAAAAGCGAAAACGAAGGAAAGGCAGCGCAATAAGGTAGCAAAAAAAATGTATTTGTTTGTGTGCGAAAGTGCGAACACCGTTAGTTATGCTAACATTGACAGTGAAAATGTGAAAAAAAAATGATATGAAACAAAAAAGAAGCATCGCCTGCTTGTGGAAAATATGAAAAGTGCCAAATAATACATTTTCACTTGACCCAGACGATGGTATGTGTGTGTGAGTGTGCGGGTGTGCACACCAACACACAATATGGTGTATGGTGTATGTTGTGTGTGGAGAAGAAGGCGGAGGAGAATAAAAAGAAGAAGAGAGTGAGAGTTCCGGGAGAAGTTGCGAACCAGCTGCTCGGTGGACGTAAATATTTAATTGCCCACTGGATGTACATAAGATATATCCATACATACAGTTGTATAAAAATACGGAAATGTGTGTACTTGGTGATTTTTGTTTATTGTACATTATTGCCAACGAATTTAGAGCCGAAAGGTGTGCGAGAGAAATGGAATGAAAAAAAACTTCACAACTTCCCAAAAGTGAAATAACTGTTTTTGCGCAAAAGTTTTCGGTCATTGTTGTTGTTCTCTGGTTGTTGATATTGTTGTTGCACACACACACACACACACAGACATAGACTCACACAGGCACCCTCGCAAAATCATCATCAATTACGCCCCCTCCATAGAAAAACCGGAGAGTGTGTGTGTGTGTTTGTGCTATCTTTGCGCCTATCAAAGCTCTCTCTTCGCCCACACACACACACATACACATGCAGGAGCACCCGCACACACGCTCATGGATATATGTATATATATATATATGTATAGTCCACCTATAGGCACACTTTCCCTGATACTGTACCGTTTTATTATTTATTAGCTTGTATTCCCCCTTCGACAATGGTGTTAGTTGGCCAAAAAGTCTGTAAAAATGTTTGTTGACTTGATCTACAGTGGAGCTACCTTAAGATGATCATGGTTTCTTAGCTTACGTCAGCTGAAAACAAACAAATCGGCTGATGGAATTTCAAGAGACATCTGTTTCGGCTGGGATAAGCTTTGAGAAGTTTTAGAAGTTTGATCTTTACTAGTTGGCTTTACTAGAGCAGGTATTTATGATAAGGCTCGATCTTAAGTTTATACTAAACAAAAACGGAGAAGTCATAAGTCATTTTAGATAACCTATGTTGGTGATTTGAAAACCTTATTGATTTATTTAGAACCCTCGAATAATTCTTATCTGTTTGCCTTATCGTCTCTTTTAGATATATACTACTCTAATCCCATCGAATATTGTTTATCTTTTCTTCTTTGTACGCACGTGAAAAAAATGTTTCAACAAATTCTGAAATGTATGAGTGTGTGACTGTGTGTGGATATGCGTAGTCATAAGTTATAGGAAACAGCCCATTACTCTGTCTCGGGGGAAATAATCTAGACGTCTAGTCGATCGATTAACTGCTCTATAATTTAAGTTTAATCATAATATAATTCAAAATTTAAGTAACCAGTACTTTGAAGAACTCTTTTTATATGGTATATAAGGTATTTCTCAAATATTTAGCCCTATTTAGTGTTATTCCGATATCAAGAAAGAGTACAAACGAAGTCTATGGTGTATAGCAAGTACATAGAGAAAATAATATAAATGTGGAAGTGTTGATGCCCGGGGTGTACACTGCACACTGTTATTTTCGCATTTACGGCGTAATTACTCAGCCAGATCATGATGGAAATCGGCGGAGCGATCGCCACTATATTCGATGTGTAAACAGGCGAGTTCACTGAAATAGTTCCAGCCGCCCATATCAGATGACAAGTGTGGGTTTTCTATACAAAAGTATTCATTCTTTCTAAACTTTTTCTTAGAAGTTTGTTTGGGATTAAGCTTGATAGATAAGTTAGTTACTTAGGAACTTTTAATATTCGTTTTTTGTGTTAATGATGATCCCATTTTGCTGAGTAAAAGTACTTAAAAATCACTTGATGTTTCTATTTTTATAGTCTTTGCTTTACTTTAATCGGATTCCTTATCATCATGGTAAACATTTAACAATTTAGGTTATTTTAGTATGTCCTCTATAGTGATTAGCCGACTATTGCTTTGCTAATCCAGGCCAAAGTCTCAAGATGCAAATGTTGGGTTCTGTATTTAATCGGTTATTAGAAGAGCATGCCGGGGCATGCTGGGGGTATTAGTCCTGAATGCCTGATGCACTGGTGCAGTTGGAAGAACAAGGTGGGCGTGGACGTGGACGTGGGCATAGACATGGGCGTAGGCGGTAGCGTCAGTGTTTCGGTGGCCTTGACCAAAGTAATGTGTGGGTAGATTAAATCCTCAAAAGAACGTAAACAATGGGGCATCTTAAAGTAATCCTTTAACAAAGCCCCCTGCTTATGGCAACTCAAGAGCAGTAGCAGCAGTAGCAGCAGCAGCAGCAGCAGCCAACTGTAATCGCATCAAGCAACTACTACTACGCCGTGCACACTGCACACTGGATGGTAATCAATATCAATGCAAAGATAAGCTCCCACCAATGCTAACCATAGGCATCTTGGGCAGAAGTCTTCATCTTCAGAAGTCTTCACATTGCCATAGCTTGGCCAAATGCTTCTACAAAGTCAAACAAGAATGTACTTTCTCATGGTTAATACCGTCTTGTTTACGCGATTGTTAAGATGCTAAAAAAGATACTTGTGTATCTTTGAGGTTGATTGTTTTTCATCCACAATCAGTTGGCTTTCCCTCGAACTATCTATTGTCTCTACTTTGTAGATCTAATAAATATATATGCCATATTCCATATATTCCAGCTCATTTAACTTTATTTATTTGCTTAATCAGTTATTAAGAGCAGGTCCACAGGTGTAGGCAGGCAAACGAAATATTTTTGTTTATTATGTTTTCGATGGAAAATTGTTGATTTTGTGGCAAGAAGTTGATTAAAAATTTCAAATTACACAATTCTAATTCTAGAGAAAAAAACCAAAATGAGACAATGACAAAAATAGAGTGGGCTGCAGTAACTAGTTGGGAACATTTTTAATCAAATAAAATGGAAGTATAGGAAAAATATGGCATTTCCACATTGGACAAAACCGATGTGCAGCAAATTAATAAACTTTTCCTAACTGTGCGAGTATGTAACATTGGAAAAACAACAGCAAAAAATAAAAAAAGAAAGGGAAAAAGGAAAAACCTAAAGGCAGCCAAAGAGTCAACAACAACAATAACGAAGGCAGGAAACCTCCCTCGCAAACGGAAACTCATTTGCCAACAGTTTGAAACCAACTTCCGGCCCAGTAACGACGACAACGACAAGGGCAGCCGCCTGCGACAAATGCATGACAAAAGTCACATTTAAAAGAGAGACTCAGTGCGAGAGAGAGAGAGAAAGAGAAAGTGGAAAGTAGAAAGTAGGCAGAAAGGAGGAGAAGGAGGTGATGGTCCCAGACCCAGGAGGACATTCCGTTGGGTGGAACCTAGGACCGTTGGGTGGTCATGAAAAGTGTATCAGTAGCAACAAAGCCCAACGAAATCAGCGCTACTTATCAAAATTAGAACAGCAAATCTCGCCAAACAAATTAAATATAGTAAAGCAAACTTTCCCACTCCCTATGTGTGGGTGTGTGTGTGTGTGTGTGTGTGTGTGTGTGTGTGTTTACTTTCACTATTTTTATATAGCCGACAGTACAGGAAGTCCGTAAAGCCCTTTTAATGCCACAATTCTGGCCAGTAACTGGAATAATGTGGGCCAATTAGTATAACTCTTTTTTTTCTGCTGCTTTGATAGGGAAAATATGGCATTTGAAAATCAGAAAGCATAGTTTCATTAGAAAATTTTGTTTTTAAAAGGGAAAGATTAACTTAAACTTCTAAAAGCCTTAAATGCTTTGGTTTTGGGTTTTAAATGGAATAATGGGGCCTTTCTTCAAAGATGAAATCTAGCTAAGGGCATATTATCTGGAATACTCAGTTCTAGTAATACAGCAGAAAAATGGTTTATTTGGAAGAGAAGTGATAGGTTATTCTAAGAAAAGCTTAACTTATTAACCTTTATTTATTAATGAAAGATGGATTCTAGATAGGGAAATATCATTAGTAGCTGTAAAGAAAAACAGATATATTAAATAACCTTTAACTTATAAGGTTACCCCCTTGCTAACACATCTTTGCCAGACGATTTTAATACAATTATATCACATAATCATCTCTTTTTTTAAGATCAAATTGACTTTATGAAAGATTCTAAAACAGTCAGCAAATACTTACCCTTTCCATCCCGACTAAGAATCGTACCCTTGGCAATTTCAAGTATTTTCCGGTACTCCTAGCTAAGATAATCAATTTTAAAGCTCAACGTTTTTCCGGAAAAGTAACCAAGTTGCCAAGTAAATTGGTGTATGCAAATGTATGTGCACACACACACACACACACACAGAGATAGAGAGAGAAAGTAAGAGGGTAAAGTCCAGTTCAGCCTGTCCCGTGGTGTCCTTTGAGCTGTGTTTGCCTTCGCTAAGTACGCACAGGGCACATCATCTTACATAATTTAATTAAATCCTTTTTAATTTGCCCGGAGCAGAAACCCTTTGCGTAAGGTGGCTTCCTCTAATGCCCCGGCATGAGCCTGGGAGCTCTGCTTGATTGACAAATGAATGAATCGATGCGAAAAGACAGCGCGCGGAAAGAGTGCATTATTGATTGGATTCAAATTGCCCAGCGGATGTTCAAATTGACTTTAACTGGTTTGATTTTCTTTTATAGATAATTTGGCTCTTGGGGGAAACTCTTCTGAGTGTACCTAAGAGTAGGCAATATCAATGACAGATAGGTTTAAAACTTTATGGTTGCTTTCTAAGCCAAAAGTCTTCTCTATTCACTTATTTAACCATCGATCCAGGTCAAAACAATATGCTCTCCCCTGCCTATTAACTCCGACTAGCTCTTCGGGGCGTTGTTAACTTGCAACTTATAGTTGCCATATTGGTGTCATAGCCCTTATTTCTGCCAATGTAAGCCCAGCAGTCTTTGTTATTTTTAAATGCTATCATTAAAGGACGCCCAGTAAAGTAAAGCTGCCTGCCTGCCTGCCTGCCACATTGGAGTCGCACGCAAAGCGTTCTATATAGTTTTTTCTTTCTCTTTCTTTCATTTTTTTTTCTATTATTTCTACTTGACTGGAACGGAAAGAGGTCGATAGGGCAAAGTGCGTGTGTTAATGACAAAATGGTTATACAAGTTCACCGCGGACACGCACAAACAAATGACGACCAGGAAAGGCAGGCTAAATTTGGCAAGACAAAATGTTAATACCGCTTTAGTTATAGGGATATAGTTAGCTGATGTTAGGAAATAATCTTCAATATTGTGAAATTAACATTAAGTGGAGATTGGGTTATTATCTTCCTTAAGTAGCCTACTTTTAGGGGTTTCGGGGAAATATAATCCATCTCCTCCAAAGCAAAATAGCTACCATAACCATTTAAATCCAAGTTTCCTGTTATTAAACTATAAACTGCATTTTAAATTAATATACTTTCTCGTACGTCATTTCTAGGTTTTCCCCTGCACACTCACACACACCCACACACGCACACGCACACAGAGCGCACCTTTAAGGACCTGACGCTGAACACCCAGCCATTTGGAGGCCATGAAAGCGTGCTATTTATGGATAGAAGAAGTAAAAGGAGTCGCATTCAATTTCAACATCAATCCAACAACATCTTGCGTTGGATGCTAAACGAAGCTGGACGAGCAGGGCTTCGTCATCGACATTGGGGGAGTCTTTTTTAACGGAAGAAAAAGAGAAGCCAACACCCCCAAACCGAATCATGAAACATTGTAAGTTTTGTTATGGTGATGCTGGGTTAGCTAGTAAATAGTAAAATATATTGTATTTCATAAATAAGAAAATAAGGAAAAAGATTAAGGTGTTTAAAGTTTATGAAGATGTGGAGTTTATGGGGTACTTTCCCTTCTGTTAATCAAGGTTTTGATCTATTAATCACTTTTATAAGGAACTCTATAAGCTATAGGTACTTCTGATCTTTAAAATCTAAAATGCAAAACCTTTTCATAAGCAATACATTTTTGTACAAAGAAGAATCAACTTTATAAAAATTCTAATTTATAATAAAATTTAAATTTATTTTCAAATAATTTCCAGCAAATATTTCCATACACAAGGACATGATGGAATTCGGATAACTAAAACCGAGATAAACGTTAACCAAATAGAAATTAGAACATTTTCACCGAATATTTCATTTGGCGATTCTTAAAGAAGTCGCCCTTAAAGATCATGAAGCTAACCGATACTTATAGAGAGCGTAAATGAAAGCACACTTCCGAACGAAGCAACTTTGATATATAAGAAACATACCAAACTGTTCCCACTACCGGATCAGTAAGGACCAGGAGGAAGAGGCGGCGGAGGAGGAGGACGAAGACGAAGACGAGGTAGAGACGGCTACGTAACCGTTGCCCCATCAGCGGGCACAGCGGTCATGGAACCACCTGGCGGTGTCCCGCCTGATAGGGATCGGCAACTAGTGTTACGTAATCAGTCGGCTGCCCTTGTGCCCGTGGTTGTATCGGCACCACCACCACTACTACCACCATTAACCACCACTGGATCTGGGGCAATCACGCCCAGTCCACAGCCAACGGCAACGTCACTGTTACAGTCACAGTCACAGCCACCGGCGCCCAGTAAGCCAACTAGTCTGAGTCTTCAGCCGCATGCCGTGCTCCAGGCCATGCAACAGCTATCACCGTCAGCTGGTGGCAATAATAATGCCACCAGCACAGTGGCCACCGCAGCCACAAGCAGTAGCAGCGGGAATGCCAATAGCGGTAGCAGTCCCGCCCTGGCCTCCACCGCCACGGCCATATCGGCCACAACCCAGGCAGCCACTGCCTTTAGCGGCAGTTCGGTGGGTCACCACCATCTGCAGCACCACCACCAGCATCCGCATCCACCACAACAACAGCTCCAGCAACCGCATACGGCCAATGCACCAAGTTCGGCGCCACAAACCCATGGCCATCATGGCTCCATATCGGTAACTGGAACGGGCGGTGGTCTCATCGGTTCTAGTGGCGGCAGTGGTAATCAACAGCAGGCCATTGAGAAGCTATCTAGACCCATGGCTTTCGATAAGGTGGGTTAACTGAGTCCTTAATCCTTCTTAACCATATGATATATATCTTTATCTTTCTTTAGATGGAAATGCTGGTGCGTGAGATGCAGGATCAGGAGCATGGCGTGCCCGTGAGGCAGCAGAAAATGTTCCTCACATCCATACCATATGCGTTTATGGGTAAGGTTACTTAGTCTTTTGCTTAGTTCATATACTTACTTAATCGAATCCTTGTTTTCTAGGCTACGATTTGATAGAATGGCTAATGGATCGCTTGCAAATCGAGGAGTCGGAGGCTTTAAATATTGCCAATCAACTGTGTCTCCATGGCTACTTCTTTCCGGTTAATGACTCAAAGACTTTGACCGTAAAGGATGACTCGTCGCTGTATCGTTTCCAGACACCCTACTATTGGCCCTGGCAGCACAAGGCACCGGATAATGTTGAGTATGCCATCTATTTGGCTAAAAGATCATTGCGAAATAAGCAACGACATGCACTGGAGGATTACGAGGCTGAGGCATTGGCTTCGCTGCATAAGAATCTTAAAGGCAAATGGGACTTCATATCGATGCAGGCCGAGGAACAGGTGCGTTTGGCCAAAGAGCGTAAGAAAGGTGACAAGATCGTGGGAGACTCGCAGGAACGAGCTTACTGGAGAGTTCACCGTCCACCACCTGGCCAGTTCACTCCGCTGGAGCCCTGTCCAGTGCCTTCGCGCGATCGTCAGGGTCTTAAGCCCAATAAAAAAAAGACTGTCGATGACATGCAGCGCGACGTTGACTATTTGGGCAAGTCGCTAAATCGGACAAGGATGAAGATGTCACAGGCCTGTGAATCGTTAGTCTGCTATTCGGAAACCTTCTCCGAATATGATTTCTTTCTGCAGCCGGCACTGCCCTCCAATCCGTGGGTCACCGAGGATATTGCCTTTTGGCAACTGAACAATACCTTTGTGGATATACCCACAGAGAAGCGTGTGAAACGCTGGGCCATTTCCATTGAGGAGCTTGTCTCCGATCCAACTGGCCTGCAGGAGTTCACTGGCTTCTTGGAGAAGGAGTATTCCCACGAGAATATTCGCTTCTGGATAGCGGTGAATCGATTGCGACGATCAGCTCACTCCCAAGTGGCCAGAAAGGTCAACGAGATCTATGAGTGAGTAATCTAAGAAGTTAAGAGATTGTATTCCTACTTAATGGATCTATCTATCTTTTTAGGGAGTTCTTAAAGCCCGGGGCACCATGCGAGATAAACATCGATGGCAAGACCATGGAGAGCGTACTGCGAGGCCTGAAAAATCCATCGCGATTCACCTTTGACTCGGCCTCAGAGCACATATACATGCTGCTGCTGAAGAAGGATTGCTATCCAAGATTCATACGATCGGAGCATTATAAACGACTGCTGGACACTGGCATACAGCCGTCGTATAAGAAGCGGTTTTTTAACTTTGGCGGCGTTAGCGGTGCCAAAAAGAAAATGACAGCCGCCCTGAGTAGTCAGCCAAATTTGGGGGATGCGGCCAAGGGAGCTAGTGGCAATGCCGGCGGCGGCAGCTCAATGATGCAGGCACCACCGCCCGGAAATCTAGCCCGTCGTCGTGGCAGTGATCGCAGTCTAACAGGCTCTGCCCATGAACTGGCCGTGATTGGGGTTAACAAAGATTCTGGCTCCAAGGTACCGCACTCTCATTCCCAGAGTAATCTCAGCGAAATACCCTTCAGGTAAGTAAAGATCTTGCCCAAAAGAAAAAAAAAAGTATGGAAAGGTGTTACTAGTGAGTCAGTTTTAAGACTGAAAGCGAGCTAATTTTTTTCTGATTTTTCGCAATGTTTGATTTGCCTGAAAAAGCTAAAAGAAAAACAACATCGTTATTATTTTTTGGTAACAAGAATTTTGATTTTAACATTCAACATATATATATATAAACTATACTAACTCTTTCACGAAAAAATGCGCACGAGACCTTTAAAGCGAAAAAACAAAAAAAAGAAAAACATTGAGAAAATGCAGTCTGAACAATCGATACTATAACAATTGATTATATCATATATATATGTCATACATCACACACGCACTGCAGTAGCGATTCAATTTATCGAGGCGATATGCCACAGCGCCACATGGCGATCATGGATATTGGGATATATGCGGCATACGGGAATCGCGAAAGTAGTTTGCAGGCACTTCCGTAAGACATGTTTATTCATTGGTTTTGCGAAACGCTTACCACTTCTAACTAACTAAACTCTCCTCCTTTTCAAAAAGAAAAACCCCTTTCAAAACGTAATGCTAGTTTTTTCTTTTCATCTTCTTTTCCACCAAAAACCTATTTCTGTTTATGTTCCTTGTTCGATCTGTGTCCTGGATCATTTCATCCTTCCTAAATTTGCGTTCTTGGCCTTCTGTTTTCTATCACTCCCTGTCGCCTTTTCTGCCTCAAAAGCTTTGGCAGGTTTGCTGAACTTGGCCTTCAAATTTGTTTAATACTTAAAAAAATCTATAAAAATCTTTTTAAAATATAACTAATTTTAAAGTTTGGTAGTTATTTTTGGCATAAATTTGTTTGATATCTTTCTAAATATCTTTCAATTGCTGGGAGAATGGGCGACATAAACTTCTTTTGTAAAACTTACTTGTTGTCTAACCTCACCGCAAAACCTTAATTGTAGCTGGTACTGTGGTCATTTTTGAAGGTACTAAATCATAATTATATTATAATTATATCTGCTATATAGTTGAGATTCAGTTTTATACATAAACTAGCAGAATTTGATAGTCCAACAACTTGTAGATGGAGAATAAATATGGTAGATATAGTAGAAAACTAAAGGACTGCAGTTCATGATTCCACCAAATCTAAGTTTTGGATTGATTTACGGTAAAAGGAGTTACTAGCTTAGGCCAACTAAGATATAGTAAGGATAATTGTTAGGAATCTTAAAGCTGTTTAGGGTTTTATATTGATTCTTACAATCATATAGAGAAAGTTTTAGATATAAAGTTAAAGATAGAAAACTAATCTACAGGTCTATACCTTGTCCGCCCCTACTAAGCCGATAGAAGGCTAATCTACAGGTTACTACCCTGTCCTTCTCTACAAATCTGATATGTACAAAACTTAAGTCAACTTTCATTAACTGTCAACATTCATTACTAATCTATATTAGCAAAAAGTTGTAGCTTATAAACCCCATTTAAACGAGTACCAGCTATCCAAAAGTCGTAGCTCTACGACTTTAGCATTCCCCACTTGTTGTTTCCTGTCATCTGTCAAAATGAGAACTCCTAGTTGCCCTCGGATGCTATATATATATATATATAATCGTATATCACCACTGTCACAGCTGCGATCCTGTTTGCCTCGCCTCGCCTAGCCTCTTTTCTTGACTTTATCAACTGTCTCCGAATATAGTTTCAATCGTTGCTAATGCTCGAATGTTTGCTGTTGTTTATATTGTGTGTGTTCTGTAACTAAAAAAAAAAACAAAAAAGAAAATAAATGGTCGTTTTCGGATGCTTTTTCCCATGCGCCTCTTACCACCCCTTTTTCCGTTACAAATTGTACATATATGTAAGTCTACGTGTTAAACACCAGCATTTCCTTTTAACCACCGTCTAAATGTATTCCAAAAAATCATATATATTTCAAAACTGCCATAATTTATATATATATATTACCCCGTAGAGAAACGCCAAAGACGAAGACCACCGCCCTTGAGACAACGGAGTCCACATCATCGTCCACAGCTCTGGTTGTGGCATCCAGCAGTGCCGTCTGCCCTTGGGATGAGCCAGCCGAGCCAACAGTAGTTAATCTACCGCCATCGGCGCAGGTAAAGCTATCCGTGTGTCCCTGGGAGATGGTTAGTGGTGGCACAGATCAGCCACCGGCAGTGGCACAAACTCCAGCCATAGGAGGAGGACTGTCGAAGATCTCAAGTTCTACCGGGCAACCGCAGCGATTGAATAGGTAGGAGCAGATCATCGGCCACACCAAAAGTTTCGAGAAGCAAGTAATCATCATTTTATGCGCAGCACTTCCTCGGACAACAGCGATGTGAATGACCGAATGCAGCGGAATTTGGGTATTCGCCATCAGAACACCGTGGACAGTGGTGAAGCAGGCATAAAGCGTCTGATTCCCAACTTTCCAGAACAGCGTCGGGCATCAGTCTCATTTACTCCAAGGTAAGCTCAATGAAATTAACCCACTAAAGTACCAAATCTTTATAAAGTTTACTTACATTTTTTTAGCCGTACAACGGATTTCCAGTTAGGACGCACTCCAACGACAACATCCTCACCCACTGTGGTCACCAGCAGTTCCACTCCGTTGCAGGCACGCAGTGCTGTATATGGTAGTGGCAGTGCCATTGCCAAAGATCCACCATCTGGCTCAGATGTTGATGCTGAACTGGAGGAGGAACTCAATAAGATATCCCTTGGTGATTCCTCGCAATCGGAATTGCCACTGCTAGTTATACCCACCCCCACGCAGACCCCGCCGCCCATAACAAAGATTACGCCGCCGCCTGGTGAATCCGAAGATCAGGTAGCTGCCGATTCAATTGGAACTCCAGAAACCGCCTGCTCATCGCAAGCCAATGAGGTACAGGCAATCACAGTGACCACGGTGAAGGAGGTCCAGATCGAACTGATCGAAGAGGGCAGTGTTGTCCACACTGAACCAGGAAGTCCGCCCACCATTAAAGTCCTGGAGCTAGAAGTAATAACGCCCGTAACTTCTGAGCCCGCACCAGCAGCAGCAGCAACAGCAGAACCAGGCGAAGATCAAGCCCAGATAGGAACAACAACAGCAACGACCACCACCGAGGATGAACCAGTGTTGGCAGATGAACAAGAAGAGGCCGTCGTCGATAATGAACCGCCGGTTTTGGACGAGCTTTCACCCACCACCGACGAGTACCAGGAGGGACTGCAGTTCGGCAGCGATGCCAAGGATGCAGTCGATGACTTTGACAGCATAGACGTTGGCTATATACCGCCAGCACCCACCCCGGCACCATCGATGGCACCACTGGCCGAATTAGATGTGGACACGGTAGACGATGAGCCATGTGAGCCACCGCCGCTGCCAGCAGCACAACCAACCAGCAGCAGTAGCAGGGAATTGGTAATGGCATCGGCATCAGTCTCAGCCACAGCCACGCCCACATCCAGCAACGAAGAGGCGCGAAAGCGACGCAAGAAACGAAATTCGGAGAGCAAGAAGCTTAGTTCGCAAGATGAAAAGGATAAGGAATCGCGGGATAAGGCTGGCGGCAGTAGCATCGATGCTGATCACAATGCTGTGTGTCCCTGGGAAGACGAGTTAGTATGCGATTAATTAGAACAAAAAAAATATCCTGGTTTCATCTCCTCCTCCTCAACTCCTCTTCCCTTCAATCCACAGGAATGTCAGCACCAATGACGGCACCTTCGTGAAGACATACGCCACACTGGGATACTTATGAATAAAACCAAATCTGTTCAAGACGGTGGTCAACAAGTTGCTGAAAAGGAAGCCATACAACAAGAAGTAGGGCAGGCCATGGGTTTAGCTAAGTTTAATATACGGAGTATCTCTATTATAAATACGTACATGCAAAAACATATTCTATGTAAAATGTAAGTATTTTCGAATAATTGAGTGTATATTGTAAATGTTAAATGCTTCTCATGTTCTTAAAACTAAAAAAAAAACTAAAAAGAAAACAAAAAAACAAAACTGGACAAAAGATATGTAAAAGAAAAACCACCAGAAAACGACGGCGGCACATGTGGTTTATTGCTGAAAACTGAAATTTCAATATATAAATTACAAGAGAGAAAAATGCTACAAGAAATATATACTTTATCTACAGACATACATACTTATTTACAAAAACGAACGTGGCTAAATGTGGCTAATTTAGTATTAAAAAACAAAAAAAGAACTAAAAAACAAAACAAAATAGTAACAACAGCAGAAATCACAAATTGAGTATATATAAAGAAAATGTTAAAAATGTTGCAAGAGATATGCCGCCTTCTGATTTAGTTTGTAATTAAAAATAATAATCGGAGCTTAGTTTCGGCAGCAGACATACTTTAATGTATACAATGTATATGATCTTTCTGCGCTATAAGAAACAGTTTTCCATTGTTTACTCGAAGCTCTATAGCCCGCTCTTCTAAACAGTAACCAAAAAGCATGTTATTTAGCCAAGATCTTTGAACAAAATTGTAATATAAAGTTAGGCCACTTAGGAGTTTAAACAAAATAACTGCTATAACTTTGTTATTTCTTTCGGAAAGAGTCAAAGTTATTTTGGTTAGTTTTGTGAAAACTCCTAGCTAAAAGCAGTTGAGTTTGAGTTGGAAGGGCAAAGTTTTTATTTCAAATAATATTTATACTCTTTTTTGTTTTGTTTTTTAATAGACGCCTGAATTTGGCGTTCTAAAAAGGTGACAATACCATCTAACTTATTGCCCTTTGCCAACTCTCTTAACCACAAAAAGATATAACCAGCAAGTAGTACAAAGTGTTAAACCGGATGTGACATGGTCTATATATATATATATATATATATATATATAGATATATATTCTGTTTTAACCATGCCTCCGATTCAGTCCCTTGGATAATTAAATGCACAAGTTGCTGAGCAAGTACTTACTACTTTTTGTTTATAATGATTTTACTTTTTATTTATATATTTAACATTTATGTTTTTTAACAAAGAAAAGCCGTTTCATTTCGCGTGTACATGCCAAAGATAAACGAAACTCACGAGCCCCAAAAAAACTTAATGTGCAGTGAAAATGAAACAAAGTTAAAGTTAAAGTTACGTTCTCTTCTAGACTTGCCCTTTTAACTTGTGCATTTGAGATTATAATGCTATTATCCTTACTATGACTACTACTTAGTAATTTTCTCTATTTAAATAGAAAATGTATTGAGCTGCCCGCCCAAAAAACAATCGCAGAAATCGAGCTATGCTGTATAACACACACACACACACATACACACTCTAAAACAACTTAAGGCCAACATCGATGGGAGTGAACCGTGATGGCCCGCATCTTTAAGATCAAATTACAACCTCTCTCTCTCTTTCTCTATCTATCTATCTCTGTTCCATTCGAACGTGTGTTAATAATAAAATTAAAAATTAAATAAACCCTAAAAAATGATTAGATGAAATCAAATTAAGATGGTTGTTCGCGACTAATACCTTTATATTGAATCGAAAGAAAGCTAACTTATCGAAAAACTATTACAATCTAAGTATATTTCTATTTTCATTGTGCATATAAATTTAGCTACTTACTGTCAAACAACAAAAACATAAAACATACAAAATAATAATGATAAAAAAAACACCCGTTTTGCTGGTAAACAATCTTTATATATGGGATATCTGAATTCTCTTTGTGCTTTCTATGCTAAAAAAAAAGTATATAAAAACAAAATACATTTTTCAACTACTTCAATTAACAAAAGAAAACTGAAATCCAAAAAAAAAAAACCAAATGATGTACCAAAAATGATGATGAAAAAGTTACATAAATGCCGAACGAAAAACCTAAGCAAATCAAAGCAAATGTTGCATAGATATTACGAAATATTAAAAGAACGATATATATATATATATATATACATAAATATATATATGATATAAAGGAGGGATGTGCCGTGTGTAGGGCGTGCGTACAAAATATGTACATGAAACCACCGTTAACTTTGCTTAATGCGAGCCGAGCAATTAAAGAGTTAAACCAAAAAAAAAGTAAAAAAAAAAAATAAGAAATCAGCAGCAGCAGCAGCAATAGTTCCAAAAAAAAAAAATAAATTGTTGTCAAAATATTATAATAATAATAATAATAATAGCAGCTTTTAGAACAACACCAAAAAAGAAGTTGTAGTAAAATGCGGAGGAAAATTGTATTGTTGTTGTTTTTTATGTACATTTACTTTTTTGTATTACCGTTGTTGTAAGTCAAATATGCCAAACCAAAAAGAAACTAGTTTATTAAGAAGTTTACAAACAAAATTTCAAAAAAAAAAAAACAAACAAAAAAAAACAAACAAACCAAAAAAATAAAACAAACAAACAAAAAAGAAAAATGAAACGCAGGCAACATATGAATTACTTTAACGCAAATCGCAAAGAACAAGTTCCGAATGTTTTTAGTAGTCAATGGTGAATATCTTTTAATTGCTTATACTAAGTGTTCCCATACATATTTATGGGTTCCTTGCCGAAACACACACAACAAATCTTAAATAATTAACAAAAAGCAAAAACAAACAAAAAACAAAACACAAGTGCGGCTGTCGACTTTACTTTTCCTGGTACTCAAAAAACCACAAATAAAATACAAAAAGTTTTAGTTAATAAACAAATGAAGTTGTTATTAAATTATGAATTATACAGAAATGGAAAATTTGATGTATATTCAAAAAGTTGTTTGGCTTTTGCACTTTTTAAAAATCGTTTTAAGTTTTAGAAAATCGAAATACGCGAAAAATTGAAATTTGGAAAACCTTTTCATAGTTTAAATTAGCAAATATTGCTTTTATCTTGTTCAGAAAATAATTCTTAATTTCATAAAAATACTTTAAAAACATAAAGAACTTCTGTTTTATTAATGATTTTCTAAAACTCAAGTCTATTTTTATAAAAAGTGCGATTTTCATTTTCATTTTTTCAAAATTTCCAACCAAAATTGTTATCCTTGTACCTTTGTTGTATAATATTTGATTCTTTGAGTATCGGGCAAAAATATAGAACTTAAAAAAATGAAAACAAAACCTTAAAAGGTCCGCCACAGAGCCATTTTGATAATAAACAAAACCAAAAAGAACAGATAAAGGATTCGATAACTAATGTATGTTTAATAATAATAAAAAAAAAAAGAGAGAATTACATAAGTAATGTACACTACTTCACGCGACAGGTGGGTAGAATTGCCCTAAAAATATTTACTTTAATTTCTGGATAATTAGTGCTCATATCACTGATTAGAGAAACAGGAATGCGCAAAAACAATATGCTTAATAAATAAGATTCCAGAGCTTTTAGTAACGCCATGTAAATTCTGGGTCATGAGAAGAATATACCGTTGTGAAGATCGAAAAGTGTGTGTGTAACCGAGGCGTTTGTTATTATGATGTATTCAAAGTCATTTACTATAAGTGTATACAGCTTATATACTATTACAAAAGTGTTAAAAACATGAATTATTTTGAGAAAAACCAAAAAATGGACAAAAATATACAACAAACCAAAAAAAAAAATAAATAAATAAAATGTTAGTCGGTAAATGAAATCAAATGTAAAACAATTTAAATGTAGACTGTACTAAAAAAAAAAAACCAAAAACAAAGAATTCAAGGAAAATTTGAATATCAACACTCCATCACGCAAATAACTAAAAGGAAATTCGCAAAACAAAAGAAAAAACAAAAATTGAATAGAAAGTTGATGGGAAAATTATTTGCACAGTGCAGAAAAACGTGTTATAAAATTATTATACCATACAAAAAATATATATTATTGAATTATGCTGATGAAAATTAAAAAAACCATAAAAGTATGTAAAAAAAAAAATTCAAATACAAAATGATTTAAATGAAGTACAATAAATATTCAAGTGACGAAAATGTAAGAGGAGTTTGGTTTTTATTGAATTGTGGAAAACCTTTTCATGGCTATTAACTTTTTTTTTAACTCATATTTGGCTGCTTAAACGGGATTACTTTGGTTTAAGTTGATTTTTGAATTTTTTCTTAAATATTTTAAATTAAAAATATTCAAAAGTTGTTATCAAAGGTTTGTGTCTCTGATGAAGATCAGTTAGAGTGGCCCAAAATTTATGTATCAATCTATTTTAAAAGGAATTAAGCTGCGGTCACCCTATTTACTCGATGGTATTTTAACGTCAATCGATATCAAAGTGCGCCTTTTCATATCGATAAAGAACAAGTTGTTTTGTTTACAAGCTAAATTTAAATTATTTATTTAATCTGTAGCCATGGAACCCGTGGCAATCCTACCAAAGCCTCCGGGATCAACCAACCGCGGAGCCCTGCGCCTGCCACCCAAAAAGCCGCGCGCAAAGCGCATGTACCATTGCGGCGTTTGCTTCATGGGATTCCCGCGTCATTTGGCCACCAAGCGGCATGAACAGCAGTGCGAGGCCAAATTGAGGCGTCTGTTCATCTGCCGGCACTGCCTGACGTTGTACGGCGAGGAGTCTCGGTTGGAGCGGCATCGGGAGCGAAAGCACGCCGACGGGCAGTACCTGTGTTTGCAATGCGGCAAGCGTTACGCATCCGCCACGTTCTTGTACCGTCATGTGGTCAGCTGGCACGGTGAGCAGTCGCTTTTCTACTGTGGCATGTGTGCGGACAATTGCAATGATGTTAAGACCTTCAGCGGAATGAGGGAGTTGCAGGAACACGCCGAGGAGGTTCACCACCTTCGCTCCATGGAGTCAACGGCCAGCGAAACAGGTGGGTTAGCGTAGGTCTATTTTAATATGGAGCCTAGGGGTGTGGGTGGGTGGATATATCTATGTAAATTGATTTATCTTTGTGATTAGAAGTAGATTGCAGTTTTCTGCAAGATAACTTCTATTATCCATGTCCGAACTAATCCTATCCAAACCACATCCTAACATACAGTTTCAGAATAAAGATAATACTTATGCTGATCAAGAATATATGTATACGATTACAGGTAGCCAAGTCGATGAAACCGAGAACCTGGAGATGCTGGAGGAGAACATTGAGGACATTTTACCCAGCATTGACTGGGATGACGATCTGACCTTCGGCTGGCCCATGGACTTGGACAAGGAGTCATGTATTGTAGACACTAAGCCAAGCGTGTTCGTGTGTCCCTTCTGCGCCAATGGTTTCTCGGGCAGTTTGGGTCTAGTGCGGCATCTGGAGCAGACTTACGACCGTAATCCTTTGGAATGTTGCTATTGCGGAAAGAGCCATGGCACCCGCGAAGCCTTGCGTTCCCATCTTCAACGTCTCCACGTTCTGTTGCGCGCTCATGTGTGCAGTGTTTGCCAGGCAGACTTTGCCACCGCTGATCATCTGAAGAAGCACATGAATAGTCAGCATTTGCAGCAACGACCACATCTGTGTCCCACTTGTGGCAAGAGATTTGCCCAGCGGTGTCATCTTAACGAGCATATGACTAGGGATTGTGGAGCCGGCCAAGGCAAGTACATTTGCCAACTTTGCCTGTGGCCCTTCTTTCGGGCCATTGATCTGGAGAGGCATGTAAACAAGAAGCATCCTTAAGAGGAGGACTGTCATTCAGGCGGAAATTCAAGGTATCTTTGATTCTTTGACTGAGTTAAATTAAGATATTTAATATTTATATAAACTAAGTGTTTTAGGTTAATAAGTCTGGAAAGTCGGATAATATTAGTTTAATCATTACTTTCCACTATAAACTATATACCTAAGCGGTAACTTTATCCCATAAGTTTGAAAGCCAAATTAAAGTTAGTAATTAAATTAAGAGTAAAGCTTCTAGTTTTCTATTTAATATTTTCGGTATATAAGAGTAGTTACATTTTGAGTTAAGTACTCTCAAAATTTTTGGTTTCTTTTGTTATAAAAAGTCATGTTACATATTAAGATATCAATAATATTTATAATTTTTATAAACAATATTAACTAAATATTACTTAAGTAGCTTATAAGCTGAGCAAAAGGTTGCACCTTTGTCTATAAAGATTAGATTAAGATAAATAAGGTTATACATTCCATTATTTGTAGAAATTTTTTTTGGCAACACATAAAGGTCTTCATACAAAACCGTCTGTTTTTCAAGGGTATAGAATAGTCGTTAGCCTGAGCTCCCTTACTTACCTAACAGTAGTTCTCAAACTCCAACAGCTGCTGTTAAGCTATCAGCTGATCCAACGATCACAGCAGCCCCCAAGATCGGGCGAGAGAGCTGAGCGGTTGAGATCGGAGAGCGGGAGAGCCGATCGTTACTGCTATTGTTATTTTTTGTGATTGTGATAGGAGGGGGCACAGTAACTTGGCCCACACCGACGACACGACAGTCTTGAATGGAACTTGCTGGTGCTTGGATCGCAGTTTAACCGATCTCCGCGAGGTTAAAACCACCGATCCCGTCGTTGTCGTCGCGCGTTAAACTCACAAAATATATCACAAAATTAAAAATATTATTTGTGCTTTTACTACATTTTTTTTTCTTGTTTTTCGTTGCGTATTAACCGATTTGTGCTCTGGTGATCCCTCTAAAAAAAGTGTAAAATAAATTTATACAAAATATTTGTTTAAAGTGAGATTTCTTGATTTTTTAGCCGTGCTTAGCATAGAGTAAGTTTTATTATTCTCAAAACACAGTAAACATACAAATTGGTAGCAAAAATACAAGCCAGCGACCCCCAAAGTTTAACTAACATTTAAACTAAAACAGCTTTTTGTTATTGTTTATATGGTTTTCCACTTTTGTCCCATTCAAGCCGGGCCTTAAAAAAAGCTCTCTTGCCTTTTGTTGTTTTTTGATTTGAAATAGCTTTTTAAGCAAAAACGAGAACAAAGTTTTATCATTAACAAATGCAAAAAAACAAAAAACAAAAAAAGTACAATTGCAATTAACTTTATTTTTTTTGATGTGGCTGCTGAGTTATTCCAATTGGCTTGTGGAAAACCCCCTGTGAAAACTGTTGCGCTTGAGTTCCCCATAAAATCATATTAAACAAAAACAAAGTCTAAGCCGGGCTTTAATCGATATTCAAATCAAACTACGTCAAATCGCGTGCCAGTTCGAGATTAGTGACTAACAAATGCAAGTGAACTTTGCTTAAAATGTATTCGCTGCCTTAAATAACAATATATTAACTGGTTTATGATCCAATAATATGGGCTCAATTGTTAATAAAATTCAGCAAATGTATGGGCTATTTAAGTGGTTTTTAAGGCATTCTTTTTTTAATTTATTAAGTAGAAACCTCTTAGAGATATTAAGTTATGGCTATAGCTATAGATTTACTTGAATTAATCAAGACTGTTTAGTAAAATTAAAAGTAGTGAACATTGGAAATGTAATTACTTACTATGTTTCAATAGTTGGTTTTCTTTTTATGACAAAAAAAGTTACTTCAATAACACCTTCTAATATATTATATATTATAATACGATTATACAAACATTTCTATTACGATTTGTTCTGTAAAACAATCACGTTCAACAGCAGGAAAATTTACTATAAATTGGTATATAATCCAAATCAGAACGTGTTAAATTTAGAATATATGTCAAAAAGGGTTTTATGGAAAACAAACGGGGCTGAAAATGAAATAGTTTTCCAGTAGATCTATCACGTTTTCCTTACCACCATACGTAGTTCGTTTTTTATAAATAATTCTTAAATTAATGACTAATTTATTTGAAAAGAATATAATTTTATTTTAAGACCACATGCCAGGGAGTTCATTTAACTTTATGTTTCTTTGTTTTAATGATAAATCATTTTAGTATTATTAAGAATAAAAGTTTATGAAAGTAGAAATATTAGTAATGTTGATATATGAAGACTATATGATTGATTTTCATGTTCCAATAACTTAAGTTTTTGGAAAAGTACCTCAGATTTATCTATTTAAAATGTAACAGCATGGTTTTCCTTACTTATTTTTTAAAAGTTTATTGTAAACAATTTTCTGCAACTGAAAGTTGAAATCGGTTAATTCTTTAACTCACATTCCAGACGTCTCTGTTAACCCGATCCCTTTGGGGGGGCCTCAAATCCATAATTTATCTCGTAGAACCCATTGCCCTCCTGTCGCCCTAACTTTAGCCTTTTCTTATTTGCTGTTTGTTGTGATGCTCCCCATCAGCGTACGCTCCATGGATGCTGTGGAGTTATCATCATGTCTATATTGTAATTGATTTGCCTGGGCGAATAGCCAGACGAGGAGACAAGTTATGGGCCTTCTCCCCTGATCTGCCACGCCCCTGGCATCGTGGGCGTTATCATCATTAACGCTGCGAGTTTTTTTTTTTTTTTGAAATTCTTTTTCTTTGGCGAGGAGCAATTGCTCTGGAGGCACTCCCTTCCTTTGCATAATTAAGGACCGCCCAAGTGGGGAATCGCTTGATACAGAGATGATTCCTTTCGTTTTCTCGCGTTTTCTTCCTTGATATTATTATGGATACATATCTTTATGGATGACGCACCGGAAAACAATGCTTCGAAACTGGGAAAATAAAAAAACCCGGCGCCACCTGTGCAAACTAAATTAAGATCGTATAGTTTAGTTCTAAAGACTATACGATACCTAGGAGATAGGTATTACATTATGATCCATTAACTTATCATGGTAGATTAAGAATAAGTGAAAAATATTCTTAAAAATTGGAATATTAAACTGATTTTTGTGATATATCACTTGCAATTAGTACAGGGTATCAGTAAAAGGAGTAACAAAAGCCTTTTGCTTTCGCAATAAGTATTCGCATTCATATTTATAACTTATAATTTTGTAATCTGTACGCAGTCAATGTCTCGCCCTCTCTCTCTTTCCTTCCACCCGCTGAGTGAAGACTACTGACTCGCTCTATCGATCTGTAATATCTGGGCTGACGAAATGCCTGAGTAGCAACAACAACAACTGATAACACTTGGCTAGACGTGCAATGTTAACCGTTAAAGCGGGTTAAAGAGACCTTCGATGTGACAGTTTATGCAATCGTTTAAATAGATCCTCTTCCTAAAAAACATGTTGTTATAAAAGTAACTTTATAACTAGTTCATATTTGTAAAACTTCAAATCAAGAAAACAGACATTCTTAAATATCCTCAAAATTTAAATCCAATATTCAAAACAGTTTTCAATCCCCTGTTCAGCTAACAGGTGTTACTTAACATTTAAGCTTGTGCAGCAGCCACCCAAAAAACGAAAATTGAAAAGCAACAGCAACAACAACAGGAGGGCAAAGGAATGTCAAGATGAATCACACAGGTGTGCGTGACACCTGGCAACAGAGAGACGGAAAGAGAGAGAGGTTTAGCAAGCGCCAAAGAGCAGGAGAATAATAATAATAAGAAAAAAAATACAATAACAACTGTTGGTCTGTCATATCAATCGGCATTTGTTTAACTGTTAAAAACGAGCCATGAAAAGGGGGAGAAATATGAAGAAAAAAACAGAAAGAAAAACAATGATAGCAGACGTGTGGGTGTGTGTTTGGGTGTTGATTGCCGCCAGCAAATAAACACTTGAATATTCCATTACACCTAAAACACAAGTGCAGAAAGAAACAAACACAAATTCGAAAAATAAACCGAATGCAAACTCCCGAGGAATCCCGTTACAAGGCGAGCTTACAGCTATTTTTAACACAATCCGATCTTCCTCTCCTCCTTCCTCTGCCTCTCTCTTCAACACTTTCTGCTATCTCCTTTCCTGTGTTGTTGTTTGCACTACTCTCTTTTCATTACTTGACTCCTCGTCGGTTTCCCTTTAAACACAGCAAGAAATTAGGATCGTGTAATGAGTTTTAATCAGAAAAAATAATATTAATAATAACTTGGACGTTAAATTAAATTCGAATGATGATCTTCTTTCTCATTCCTTTTCTTTTTAATTTCTTTGAAATTTTTAAGTGGCCTAAAAACGAAAATTTTAAACTTGTGCTAGGGAAATGAAATCAGGGTATGTTAACCTTCTGCTTAACAATCAGACCTTTATATTCCAACCCAATCTTCTATATGGTATACGAGTATTCCATGGGGGAGCCAATTCCTATGTTTATTTCCTCCGCTGCTTCCTCATTTTCTATTTTTTTGTATTTTGCATTTTAATGAATGAAAGAGTGCTGCACTTGCTTCTTTATTTTTGCCACTTACTAAGCTGATAAAGCGCCTTGACCAGTAGTAGCTAAAGCTATATACATATCTGCAACAACAATTACACTCGGCATATTATCACTATCAGCAGGCGTGCGTTCCGTTATCGACACCCCAACAGCAACAACAACAAATCGAGCAGCTGAAAGGGAAACGCGAACTGACCTATAATAAGAATTTTCATATTTAAGCAGTACGCAAAAAAAAGCATAAGAAGAATACGAATAAGAATAAGAACAGGGCAACGCAAGGGAATGACAAGAATAATAACAAATAATAAAATACATTAAATGCCAAAGCCACAGTGGAACCTGCAGTTGGAATGAAAGATGAGTCTCGGATTTCATGGATTTTAGAATGGGGTTTAAAAGTACCTAAAATTTCCCGTAGTAAGGGTCAAGTACGTAGTAATCAAACTTTCTTTCTATATCAGTCTTTCTTTAGTCTGAGAAATAACCCCTCTAAAAACTGCACAGAAACCACTAACTGAAAGTAACTCTCTCAGTCACAGGAAATATTAAACTCTCTATACGCATTCGGAATACAAAATAAAATATGTATATTAAAAACTTTCGATACGGACAGGAAATTGGTTAACGTCTTGGCCCTAAAGAATTTCAAGTTAAAACTCTAAGATTGCCGCTGATTACACAAGAATCCTTTTGCCTTTTGCCGGCTTGAAGGGCGGCTTTAATGGCCACAATTGTTTCTGATTTATGAGTCAATACATGGCCATAATAAAAGAAACGGGCATACAACTGGGGAACAAACGCGTTTCATTCATAGCCAAAAGCGGTAGTGGCAGTGCATTGTTTAATACCGTGTAAACATTTTACATAATGGGGCATATTAGCTGAGTCATGCGTTAGACTTATATCTAATCAAAGACCTATCTTGATTGTTATCAAAAATGATTTGTAATAGTATTTACTTTTCTTTTGTGGTTCTTAAAACTGGGTTGAACTAAGATTAGTCACCTGATGGCTCAGAACTTATCAACTGATTTAGCCAAGTTACATTGTTAACTTGTTTTATAGACTTCCTGTTCAACTTAAAATGAGTAACACTATCAGCCAAGTAATATTTCAAAGTTATTATTTCGATATTTATTATCATATTAATATATATCTTATTTAGATGAATGATATCTCATATTTATATCTTTATTATTATGAAAAACTTCTTTTGAATAATGTTTATTTTGTCTTTGTTATTTACCTTAATGATTTTATGATGTTGATAGCGATCAAGGGGTGTTGATTTAGTTGATCGTGAGTAATGTTTTTGGTAGCTTCCTGTCCTTATAGCATTATATGATTGCCATGCAATTGGCTGGGTGATTGTCTCATTGATATGCCTGACGCACGCATTTTGTACCCTCGAGTGGTGTGTATGCTTATGATAAGACTTTTTTTTTTTGTATCAATGTCAAGTTAGCCGTATGGAGGTTTTGTTGGTCAACATCATCGGATTCATAACCGAACTGACCCCAATTCGAATGGTAAACGTGCCCGCCCACCTGTCACCCACATTTATACACCTTGTCTCTCTGCTTGTTGTCTTTTCCCCCGCCAAAGAATTGACATTGTATATCGGGAAACCAGCAGAAGAAAAGCAAATTAACCACTGAACACACATACATAAATCTAAAGAAGAAAAGCCTAGGAAAACAATAAGAATCTTTTGACACTGACATTTTCCCACTCGCCCTGTAAATCAAGTCGTAAATCATTCAGAGTCTCAAAAAAAAGATGCAGCTTCACACTTTTTACACTCAGAATAAGCCATAACAATTTCGAATTTTTTATATATTTCTGTAAAATAAATTAATCTTATTTTTTTAGATTCCAGGAAATAGAACCTAACACAAACTCAATTTTTACTTCCGCAAAATGTAACTGATAAACCAAAGTTATCGGTTATCTTACGTAAAATTTGTTAATTCTAAAATTCTGACCAATCTTGAATTTAAGGAAAACGTCACTCCAGATTCTGTAAAAATAAAATCATAACATTTATTTGAAAGAATAATGATATGCCACAGAAAGTTATGATTAATTATTTTGTTAGGTTGAATTTTTTAAAATTTCAACAATTTCTTAGGATTTTATGGTGATTGAGTTTTCCGGGAATATCTTAGTTATAAATTATAATATGTTTGAGTTTAATGAATCCGAAATTACAGATAAATATTTTTCATGGAATTATTATAAATTTTAAATAAAATATTTTTTAATAACTTACCTCTTATTTTGCAGATAATTTCTAAACGAATTTCGTGTCAATAAACTTAACTTGGATTTGGGATCTAAGAGCAACGCTTGACCATGTCCCGCAGCAGAACTCACCAACTTGTGCAGCAGTCACTGCTAGTCCTGCCGCTGCTCCTAATCCTTCTGATCATCGGCAGCGCAGCGGGTGTGGGCGTAACCCCCAACAATAGACTTCCATCGCAGCGTTTCTTCTACGCAGCCGCTGCGCCATCCTCCTCTTCTACGCAAACTAAAGTTCGACTGCTACGCCAGGCGGATGACCCTAATGTCACACCGGGTGCAGTGGAGGGCAGTTGCTGCCAAGGAGCAGCCGCCGAAGCGGGAAAACCTATATCGGTAAGATTTATAATTTAGATTATGAGATATTCTTATGGAGTAGTTGGAATATTTTATATAATTTTTTGGATAAGATAATAGAAAGGATATACCCTTAAGCGAAATAATAGGTTTTTTCTTTGGGTTTTTCAAAATTTGATAAGCGAAAAAAACCGAATCTTAATTGTGCCAACCCAATCTTTGGGATTTTTTCAAAGTTTGCATAATATCATAGGAACGTGATTTTTATCCGGTAATCAAGACTTTCCATTTAATGTACAAATGCCTTCATCATTATATCATTATTTATAGCTGATTAAATTCTAAAAAAAGAGTAAAAATTACCACTACGAGTAAGATTCATAATTCTTAGGGGAAACTCTTTAAAGCTAACCCTTTACCTACCAAATATTACCATAATATCTGGTTAGAATCTATCTTGTGCTGCATCTAGATGGCGCCTCTGTGCCGCCTAGAGACACTGCCTATTTGGGTCATCGTCATCGCCGCTGTTTTGTTTGCAGTCTGATAAGGCGCAGTCTCACTGCACAACCCCAGCTCGTAGGCCGATCCACGATCCCAGACCCCAATCCCAGACCCGAAACCCCAACCCCATACCCAAGATCGGGAGCAAACCGTGGACAGTGGCGCCGTTGTCTTAGCATCTTCTCAGAGAGAGAAAAATGTGTAATTCAAGTTTTTGAAGGTAGATTCTGAAACTGAAAGCTTAAAGTTTTTAATATTAAAGTTAAATCTATAAAAAGAGTTAACCAGTTCTATATATCTTCATTTTTAGAACAATTCTTTTTCAAATAACACTTTTTTTCTCTCAGTGAATGCCTTTTTTTTGCTTCTGTCTGCGTCTTTGGCATTGATAACGGTGATCGCCTTGATTCCAAAACAAATAGTTCGCATTACGTTTTTAATTGGGCGTTACTCACTGGCCCCATACCCACCAACCTCAACATCCACATTTAGTACTTTCTAGCAACCCAATCCCAATCCCCATACCCATAGATCCCACCCCATCGAAAGATTTATTTGCGTCAGTGTATCATGATAAACAAAAGGTTTCCTTTGCCACCGGCCAAGAAGAAGCGGCGGAAGGGTTCTACGGCGGAGTCATATTGGCTGGGTAAACAAGTCGGAAATTGGGATCGTAATCGGTTAATGCACACTTGGCAAATAACCGACACAGAAGTTGAAACAATAAATGTTCCGATATCGGATGACAATTAGTGTTAGGCCAATTGTGATTACACAAAAAACCGATTCACTTCCTGGTATCTTATCAATAAATAAAGAGTTGCTGGTTGGGAAATGGAATCTTTTCTTCCAAGAAAAATACCTGAAAAAATAAATAAACATAAAAGTGAGAAAGTAATTTTAATTAGTTTTTCAGTGATAAGCTTTGAAGTTCAAGCTCTGCTGTATTCAAACAGTTCTTCTCAATACTAATTTCGATATTTAAATATTTGATATAAAAACCAGGAAAATGTTATCATAAAAATATACCATTTCCTCTGCGATCGCTTGCCATTTGCCCTTGAACTTTCTCCGTTATTTGTGACGCAGCTGCTGTTGCTACTACTATAACCCCCCGATCCATCAGATCGAACAATTAACAACGCTGAGTCGCAAATGTCGCTAATGAATCATGGCCCAGAGCTTGGTAGCGGTTTAGCTACCGTCACATCTACGTGCAAATTGGCCAAAACCAAATTGACGCCGACGAGAACGCGGCACGTGGCTGCGAATCACTTGCTCCTCTTCCACCTGGAATGGCGAAAAAATAAATCATGTCGAAAAGCTAAAATACTTGGGTGACGCACGGTGGCAGTTATAAATGTTATTTTTTTTTTGTTGATATATTTATTCAAACCATTTCTATGCAGTTGACGTCCGTTTTTCTATGGAATCTTGACAAAGATTTGTTGAAGGAAATGGGGGTATACTCGTATCAACACCTATGACTAAGTTGAAATGAATGTTTTTTGGTAGAGCTTAAACCATGTCCAATTTGTCTTACAGCTTCCACTGTCCGTGTCCGCTGAGCTGAGCAACGTGACCGCTGATTATGATGGCTCCGGTGAGATACCCTCTTCCAAGGGTGAGTATTAAGTCTACTAGTAGGTCAAAAGAAAGTTATCTATACTAATTATAAACTATCTTTCTTCTTTCTTTAGAAAACTTCAAGCGCAGTATTATGAAATGTAAGTTAAAAAGATAAGTTTGGAAGGTTAAGTTACTTTTCTTGCTTTTAAAAAAACTCGACAAGCGAATTCTTCAGAATAAGAATAAGATTCCATTCGGGTTAATGGTTAAAATCTTGTAAAATCCTCTTAAAAATGTTTATATATACAAAAAATATATTTTTTTTAATCAAATTCTTCAATTCCCATTCCTCAGCCACCGTGAGAAATGCAATGCCAGCGAGTTGCTCACCACAACCCACGATCGTAGAGCTCAAACCCCCAGCGGAGGACGAGGCTAACTACTATTACATACCTGCCTGCACAAGAATTAGTCGTTGCAATGGCTGCTGTGGATCCACATTGATCTCCTGCCAGCCAACGGAAGTGGAGCAAGTACAGCTGCGCGTGCGCAAGGTGGACAGAGCGGCAACCAGTGGACGAAGACCGTTTACCATCATAACCGTGGAACAGCATACACAATGCCGCTGTGATTGTCGAATCAAGGCAGAGGATTGCAATGTATATCAGTCGTATCGCAAGGATCTGTGCCGCTGCGAGTGCCATAATACGGATGCCAGGGACAAATGCCTGGAGCAGGCGGAAAACAAGTACTGGGTGGATGACAATTGCACCTGCGTCTGTCGGTACAATCAGAGCTGCACCACCGGCACCGTTTTCGATGAGACGCAGTGCAAGTGCACCGACGTGAGTGGCTCCCGATAGGACATCATCACTACTACTCTACCCTTCCCCCTTGAGGCTACCATTGGGCTGGGATCTGGTTTTGATCTGGTCTGGTCTGGGGAACGGTTGTGCTCGTCCTTGGTTGGTTTGCGGTTGATACCTGGTGGTGGTTCCTCTTTAGCTTAAGCTCTCTTCGCTAGCCTAGCTGCTCCACAAGTTCCTTGAGTATTTCATTTATTTAGTCCGGGATAGTAAATATTTTAAATATTTTATTTGTTTTTTTATAACATAAAACATTATTTAGAACAAAGTAATAGCTTTAAAAAATATAAAAACTTCAAGTTTTTGGCTTAAATGCTTATAGAGAAATCATGAAAACTTAGTTTTAATTTGTCAGAATGAGGAGTGGCCCTCTTAGCAAAGCAAGAACTATGATATGTTATAAATACTTAAAGATTTGAAAGTGTAGAATTATTTGTAAACTCCGCATTTACCAAATTATAGATTGATTTTTTATAGAAAATATTAATGTACATATGAAAAAACCAGACTATGCAATTGGAATTCTCATATTGATTCGTGTGTCTAAAACAAATAAAGACACTTTAATAATATTTAATCAGCTGTAAAAAAAACATGATAGACTAAGCTAAATAATACATTGTAAACTTAATATCCCTTCACTTAGTTTAAGTTTGTTCTTCGTCTTGTCACTTTTTATATGTTTTTACTTTCTGTTTCTCTTGTGTTTCATTTTAGATCAGAAATGTCGAATATTATTCTTAGGGTCCACAAAACATCACACAGAAATATATTGTTTCTTTAATTGATTTGTGATATTGTTAAAAAAAAAAATTAACTTTCTCGGAAACAACTAACTTAAAATTAGCATCTTTTGCTTAGCAAATTGGTTAAGGATTTATACAAAATACATTTTAAAATTTGTAATATATAGCTGAGTTGAGGCAAATATATAAAAATGGGAGAAGGGAGTTGCATTGTGTGAGTACTTGTCCTGCTTAAATGTTTATTGAAAACTCGCTAAATTAATAACTTTTATATCTGCATGTCTAATATACCCCCCCTTTGCTATGCTACCCGAAACTCTACAGAGCTTATCCCCTACTTCCCGGCTTTACAATCTATAACTTTTATCTGTATAAATCTGTGATTTAATTAATAAAATTTTTCTTTAACCCATAATAGCCAGCTGCACCTATCAATGTCTTGGACCGCAAACGCTTCATTGTCCAGGCCGTACAGGTGGACCCCGATAACACCACCCTGTACAGTGTTTAGGGGCTGTGTTTGGTAGAGCCAAAAGGAGTACGAAGGAGAAACGCCAGCTTCCTAGAGGGGGAATCCCCGAGTACTGAGAAAGCAATTACCCAAAAACTGCACTAAGCGTAATTGCCTATGTACTTTATATTATTTATAGTTATCGTTTAAAATTTAGGCTAAAACTACTACACCCCCCTCTAAAAACTAACTCACAGTATTTTCCCCTTTTCCATCTGCGGCACAACAACAACAAAAAAAAAACTTTAAAGGGGTTTTCGCGGAAATCTCTAATGATTTGGATATCATAAAATAAAATGTTCTATAAATTTATAATTTTAGATAAATTTTCGAAATGTTTTGATCTATTAGAGATTTCTGCGCAACACACCCTGTATATTAATTTTAAAAATTAATTTGTTCATATTATTTTTTAAGCTCTTTCCACTTTTGTCGCCAACACTTTGTCCACATTCGTTTATTTTCGTTTGTTTAAGTTTTAAAACATTTCAAATTAATTGTCCACAAATTAAATGCTATATCCAATAATTCGCCGTACTTCATTTGTATGTAACTTTTTTTTTGTATAAAATGTTAGTTTTAAGTTTACTTAAAGAAAATACAGACAAAGTATTGAATTATAAAATTATTTAAATGTATTCTTATATGCATGACTTGTTTTTGGGGGAAAGGTCAGAAAGTAAAAAATAATAAAGATTTACACTTTGATGAAAATATAATATTTGAAAACTTCAAATAGCGCGCAATTTGACAGTATTTTTTAGCGCCATCTGTGGTCATTTTTTTAATAGTACTTACAAATAATTTCCAATAGCGCCAAATTGCGTTCCACACTTTGTTTTATTTCGATAATTATCGCATTGTATTCGATTATTTTCCCATTGCCATCTTCGATAACCGTTATCGGCAGTCTGCAGCCTCTAGCGAAAATTTCATGCGCCAAAAACGTAAACTAAAGAAGTTTTAAGGGAAATATAGCGATACCGAAGACAGCCAGCTTGCAAATGTAATCCGCCACGAGAAATTAACACCGGGGACATTCAATATTGAAAACTGCTGCAGTTCATCCTGCCGGAGTCGGCGTGAAACTAGAAACTTCCACCTTGTGGGTGGTACAGCAGCGTAGAAAGAAGAAGAGCAGCAACGCTGCTAACAATTTCATAAACAAAAGGATAAATAATCCGTAAAAGAAGGTATTCATTTGCAGCTGGACAGGATGTCCAGCAGAAGAAAGTGAAATCAATCCCAGCACTTGGCTAAGCAACACTGAAAATCCAATAAAAAAATGCAGGTGAGTGGTCAAAACCAAAACAAAACCTTCGAAATGCCAATTGTTACATTTATACGTGGAAAACTAGATTATAGAGAAATATGGATTATAATTTGATATTTCTGTCGATCCATATGTTAGTAGGGAACTATGAATGTAAGGGAATTTAAAGATTTATCAGGACGTTTTTATATGCTCTATAAACTCGAATAGAATGCAAGCATGTGGGGATGTAGCTCCCATTCTAAATAATCTCTATATATTTATAATAGGATATATGTAAATTCTGTGTAGTATATACTTATATATATTAACAACTTGTCGATTTCTTGATCGAGTTCGTTTTTAAATGATAATCAAGTGATCCTTGGAAGCAAGTGTCAGATTAATTTGAGGTCTTCTTTTGAACTTACCAATCACTTGTGAAAATTTGTTAACGCATACGAAACATCGAAAGAAAATCAAAAATATTTCAAAATGTATCAAACTAATTCGCGAACTTCGATGCTATTGCAGCGTCAAAAAGAAAGAAAACAAGAAAACACGACTAAGGTATAACTATTAAAGAACATTATTAACATAAGCTGGTGAAATTATCATACCTAATGAAACCTTTACTTCATCTCTTCTTCAGCAAATGGACGATCCGCCATCGTTGCCCGTGGGCACGGAGGTGAGTGCCAAGTACAAAGGCGCCTTCTGCGAGGCGAAGGTCAGCAAGGTGGTGCGCAACATCAAGGTAAAGGTTGCCTATAAGCAGGGACTTGGCTCCGGCATTGTTTCCGATGATGCCATTAAGGCGCCAACAGGACAACTACGTGTGGGTGCCGTTGTGGAGGTACGTCATCCGGATCGCAAGGAAATCGTTGAGGCTACCATTACCAAGATCCAGGATTGCTCGCAGTATACGGTGGTCTTTGATGATGGGGACATAACCACATTGCGGCGAACTGCTTTGTGCCTAAAAAGTGGTCGGCACTTTAATGAGAGTGAAACTTTAGACCAATTACCGTTGACCCACCCGGAGCACTTTGGCAATCCCGTGGTGGGCGGACGTAGGGGCAGACGTCGTGGGCACCTAAACGAGGATAGCTCCGAGGATGACGACGAAAGCGATGCCAAGGAGGTAGTCAACGAAAAGGAGGAAAACATCGGAAAGGTAGTCTGCGTTGAGACAGAGTCCAAGAAGAAGGACAAGGAGAAGTGGTTCCCGGCTCTGGTGGTTGCACCCACAGCACAGGTAAGTTAATTCAACATCAAGAGTGTATCCAGGATATCAATATTTGTTTCCCTGACAGGCCACCGTTCGCATTCGAGTAAAGGACGAGTACCTGGTGCGCTCGTTCAAGGACGGTCGTTATTACACGGTGCCCAAGAAGGAAGCCACCGAGTTTACACGCGAAGTGGCCAGCCGACAAGATGTGCCTGCTGTGCAGGCGGCCCTCGAGTTCCTGGATAGCAGCATTCTTCCTGCCCACTGGGACAGGGACTCGCTTTTCGGCCTTACAAACATTTCCAGCGACGACGACGGCGAGATTGATTCGGACTCCTCTGACGATGTACCGCGCGAGGAGAAAGATCACTTTGTAGCCCAGCTGTACAAGTATATGGATGACCGTGGCACACCGTTAAACAAAGTGCCATCTATCCAAAGCCGTGACGTAGATCTGTACCGTCTCTTTCGGGCTGTACAGAAGCGCGGTGGCTACAACCGCGTCACGTCGCAAAATCAATGGAAACTTATTGCCATGCGTCTGGGCTTTACGCCCTGCACAGTGAGTGTGATGAATCTGGTGAAGCAGGCGTACAAAAAGTTCCTGCAACCCTATGGCGACTTCGATCGCAAGCTGGGCTGCTCCATGCTAATGACCTCGCGAAACTCTAACCGCAGCAAGGGCAGGAGCCTAGTGCGGGCCAACTCTGTGGCCTCACCGAAGCCGATGGAAACCACAAAGACGGAAACGACCAGCAAACTAGCTCAGCCGAATCAAACGACCGCGGTGGCCTCAACATCAAGCAGTGCAGCAGTTACTGCAGCTTCTTCAACACCGGCCAGAGCCGTATCCACCGCCTCGCAATCTGCAGCCGAGGAATCAGGCAACACCAGTGAGTCTAGCGTGGTAGTGGAACCACCTAAGAAACAAAGGAAGGGTTCAGCGGCCAGCGGACAACAGGGTAAGGTTAAGAGCCTTGTAGAAAAATACGAAGAGAAGTCGACTACAACTCCAAGCTCCTCAGCGGGGTCAGCTGCTGGAACAGGAGCTAGCGCAACCTCAACAGCCACACCAACCCCTTCGGCAGCGACATCAACACCGGCCAACTTATCATCAGCAACCACTTCTGGAGGCTCTGCTCCCACTGCAGCTGCAGCAAGCAACAAAGATGCTGAATCGGATCTGCCGCTGGCCAAAATCAAGGCAGCTGCTGCAGCGGCCGCTTCCACCAGACACAGCATTGAGAAGGAGACCAATATTAGTTCGGGCAGTAGTGCCTCTGCTTCCAGCAAGGCCAATTCCGCGGATATGCAGCGTAGTCGCGATGCCTCACCAACGGGTAAGTGTAAAATACTGAAATCAGGGTTAAGGTTAGGTTTTACCTTTAAAAAATCAATTCTTTATTTTGTTTTTAGACAATTTCCAGTTCCTATGCTCGTTCTATTTGAGTTATCCCTTCACTTTAGATAATCTTGACTTTGACTTTGTGATAGGCATTGGCCAAGACGCCACGCAGATTCCATATGTGCTCGAACTTTTCCGGCTGCACATTGTACGCCGAGTCGACGGCCTTAGCCCAGATTTCCACGCCTCCGGCTTTCCTTTGGGCTTCCGAAACGGGCAGTCGAGCAGTCCACAAGGACCAGCCATAGTGCCTGCCATCGGGTATATCTTCTTGCTCCAGTTCTGCCACATGCCAACTTATACCTTCATCGTTGGTTAGGTCCACCCGTACAATCTTTCTGCCACCGCCGCTCCACGCGTATCCTCTTACCGTGATGTGTCCCTCGTCATCGTCCACTTTCACCCTCGATCCTGGCTGCGGTGTACAAATGGCTGAAGTCACTGGCATGGCCTGGATGGCATCCGACTTGCTGAAGTCCACCGTATCCCAATCGGTGCTGGGACTGAAGCCCTTGTAGTCGTTCTGCTGCCAGTGTGAGTCGGATTCCTTATCCGCTACCACGATCCTCGTTAGCCACTTGACATTGCGGGCACCCACAGTGCCGGGTACAATAACCCGGATGGGATAGCCATGATCGCGGCTCAGTGGTTCATCGTTCATCTCGTAGGCTAAGATGACGTCTCCCCGGGGGTCCAGAGCCTTGGCGAGCGGTATCGATGCTCCGTACGGGTGGGAAGTGGGATCCAAGTCGGCACCCTCGAAGATCACGTGCTTTGCCTCGTCTGGCTGTACACCCTGCTGCTTAAGAACGTCGCACAGGCGAGCTCCTGACCACTTGGCGTTGCCCACTGCACCGGCGCCCCACGAAAGACCTGGTTTGGGAATTAATGGAGTTTAGAGAATAGTCAAGGTGAAGGTGATTCTTAACCAGTTGACTTACCCTTTACGGCCTTAACTTTGGTCATCTCGGAACGTCGATTTCCTCCGCACATGATGGCCGCCGTTACCGAATGCTTCGGTAGGGCTTTTATACTTTCCAGATTCAGTGTCTTCTCCTTCCCACCTCCCTCGATCTCTAGCTCGTAATCCTCCGAACTGATCACAGGCACTGGCAGGTGGTTGCGGACATAGAAAAGATCGTTGGGCGTGTAAAACTGCTCAGCCAGAAGGCCAATGGGTGGCTCAGCGTTGAAGGGTCTCTTGGAGGCCGGCTTGAGCAGGGCGTGACGTTGCGGCTCCTGCGCCCAGGGTGAGCCCAGCTCATCGTCAACATTTTGCACTAGTTGACCCTCCAAATTACCAATCCGAAAGCCCTCCAAAAGTTCCAAAACCTCCAATGTATTGTGCTGCTGGTAGATGGCCCAAAAGGGATCGATGGCACTGCCGGCAGCCATCAATATCTTATCACCACCCGGATGATTCTCGGCAAAGTCCGTCACATCATATACGCCCAGGCCGTAGGTGACCCAAATGCGATTCTCAGGGCTATTGTGCTGCTCCACTTGGTCGGCCTTGTAGGTGGGAAGTTCCTTTCTGACGGTTATATGCCAGAGTCGGGCCTTCCCCTCCTTTTCCTCTTCGCTTGAAACTTTCTGCTCCTCGAGTAGCACAAGGTTGTTCCTATTGGTTAACCAATGGTAGCCTAGGGTTAAGCCACCTGCCCAAAAGGCGGCGTATAGCATTTGCTCTGATCTGCTGGATGGAGAACTCCATTTGTATTGCTGTTGCTCCTCCTTTTCGCCATTGTTACCACGATTGGTTGTGACCAGAAAACGCCGGTGATGCTGATGGCAGTGCCTCTGTTGGAGCAATCCCGTCCAGCTGCGCCTTAGCAAGCGCATGATTATGTAATCGTTAAAAAAAAAAGGAAAACACTTGTTTCGTTTTGAAGTAAATCCAAACCAATCTCTAGCTTCTTAGCTCTGCTTCTTGCTAATCCGGTAAATCTGTTTTATTTGTGATTTATGTGGCCTCCCAGTGATATGTCTTGTATTTGTTCAATGGCGACATTGGCCCCGGCAGCCTCTGCCCCCCCAAACAGCGTTAGTTTATTTGATAAGCAATCTTAGAAAGCGCTAATTCGGGTGTTTACCACCAGCCGCTTGTTGACAACCAAAAACCGACTGTATTCTGTCCCCAATGCGATGTTTTCCATATTCGCCAACCCTGTTTGGTTTAGCTTTTCTTTACCCTTGTAAGAGGTACCCTTTCTATGGTCCAAACTCTATTACTATATATGAAATTGATTCATAGCCATTAGAAATCTCTTAAAGATAATGATTTTAAAACAATTAGAAAGCTTCACCAAGACCGATGTACTTTTCGATTTTCAAATGATTATTTCATTTATTACTTTAGTTTTTTGTATTAACTGAAGGGTATACAAACTTCGCATATAACTGCTTTTTAATTTTTAAACACGCACGAAGACTTTCACGCGGCATTCACACCTGATATTATCGATAAAGGTATCGATAGCTCAACAAAAACATTCGGTCAAGTTTATTAGTAACTAAAAATGCAAGTTAATAATGGAACTAAGCTCGTTAAAATACTAAAGTCTGTAGATAAAAAGCTTTGCCGAAGCACTTGTTGCTTTGTTTTTTTTTTATGTGAATGAGTTTTTTGATAAGAAAAGGGTTTATCTTCTTTCTCACTCGAATTCGAGTTTGTTTTTCTTTTTAGATAGACAAAGAAAATAAAGGAAAAGCTGAAATGTTAGTATTGGTATAGATATTTTATAAATATCTTAATTTATATTTATATTTTTCATTTTTTTAGTTTCTAATAGGGAAATGTTAATTTATTAACTAGCCCTCTCTTTCTAACTGGGGGAGCTTTTTAAAATGCTTTTTAATCAAATAAATTTCCGCATATTATGTACATAGATATATATCTATAGTAATATACGCACTATAATGCTTTTATGTTGATTAGTTATTCATTGTCTTGAAAGGCATAGCTCTTCTCTTTCGGATCAGAAAAATGTTTATAAATAAAATGCCAAAATGGGCAAAAGCGTGTGTAAATAATTTTTAAATGTTTTGAGTGTTTATTCGGTTAAACTAAATTATTTAAATGCTTATGGGTGAAGATATAAAAGAAATGTGTTATTTTTTTTAAATATTTCAAAGCATTTTTTAAATATTTTAATAAGCAGCTTGTGGAAAACCAAAACCTATCAAATGCAAAATATAATAATAATAATCCTAATCTGGTTCTCTATTCTTCAAATTTGACTAAGAAATAAAGATCATCAGCAATACCACCTTTAGTTAACGAAAATTTGAAGAAAATAATAATATTATAAATAGTAACAGGAATAATAAATACCCTTTTATTCCTTCAGTTGCTGCACCGCCTTCTACGGGGGCAAGCACATCTGCTGCAGCAGCCACTGCCACTGTCCAGCCAACGTCCAACAAAAAGGAGAAGCATCAGCGTAGCAAGCAGGCAGACAAGGAGAAGGACAAGGACAAGGAGGAGAAGCAACCAGGCAGTGGGAAACGCAAGAAGGAGAAGATTAGCGTGGAGAAGATCGACACGGGCGACTTTGTGGTGGGAATCGGAGATAAACTGAAGGTGAACTACCACGAGAAGAAGTCGCCCAGTTCACATGGAAGCACATACGAGGCCAAGGTAATCGAGATCAGTGTCCAGCGCGGTGGAGTACCAATGTACCTGGTCCACTACACCGGCTGGAACAATCGCTACGATGAGTGGGTACCACGTGCAAGAATTGCTGAGAATCTTACCAAGGGATCCAAGCAGAAAACTCGTACCATAAGCACCAGCAGCGCTAACAGCGGTAGTGGAGGCGGCGGTGGAGGCTCCTCCCTTTCCGTTCAGGGGTCGCAGCCACCGGGATTGGCGGATAAGCATCAGCCTGGTAAGGATGGCTGCTCAAAAATTCCACCCTCATCGGGCAATTCCTCTGCATATGGATCTGGATCGCAGTCGGGATCTCTGGGTGGGGCTAGCTCCACTCCATCGCTGCTGTCCAGTGCGGGCAAGACTACGACAACGGCGTCTGGTGGTGCCAAGCGGGGACGGGGACGAAGCGACTCTATGCCACCGCGCTCCACCACACCCTCGTCGGTGGTGGCTCATTCCGGTCGAACAAAGTCTCCAGCAGCGTCACAACCGCAACTACAGCAACAGCAGATGAAAAAGCGACCGACGCGAGTGGTGCCTGGTACTACTACTCCGCGTCGTGTTTCTGATGCCTCGATGGCTTCGGAGTCCGATACGGACTCGGATGAGCCAGTGCGGCGTCCAAAAAGACAAAGTGCCAAGGAGAAAACACAAGCAGGCAAGTCACAACCGCCAGGAAAAGGTCGCGTATCTAGCAGGGCCTCCTCAACGGCACCGGCTCCCCATCCCAGCGATGATTCCGAAGAAGATGAAGAGGATGATGAGCCAGCGGCGGCAAGGGCAGCTCCTTCAAAGCAGCAGCAACAACAGGCTGCCTCTGTGCGTGGATCCCGGGCTGGAGGCAATCGTGCTATGAGCAGTGGCGCCGCTTCTGCCAAGGGTCGCGACTATGATCTCAGCGAGATTCGATCGGAGCTTAAAGGATTCCAGCCGAAATTGCTAACGAATGCCGCGACCAACGAAGAGCGCAAGGATCTTGTGAAGAAGGAGTCTTCGACTGAACCAGCCCTGCAGGACATCAAAAAGGAACCAAAACTGGAATCCTCAGCCAAGAGCAGCTCCACAGAGCTATCTTCGGAAACCGAGTCATATGTGGATGAGGACTCACAGTCCTCGGACTATCGCAAGCAACCGAAGGGTGCTGGAGCAGGCAAAAAGGAGGCAATTGCCACTCCCTCTAAGTTACATCAAGAACCAGTGCCGAAACGAGAGCTGGCGGTCAAAGAGGAACCACTGAAAATCGAACCCAAAACGGAGCCCAAGGAGGAGGAAACCAAGAGCAAACCGTTCTTGTCCGGAGCTGATATCAAACCCACCGCTCTGATAGCACCAGCAAGATTTGGAAATACCTCAGCTACCCAAGTGGCCAGCACATCTGGATCTTCGGGTACTTCTACGGCCAAGTACACATCGGTGATTGTCGAAAAACCCCTAACAATTGGAGGTAAAAAGTCAGCGGAGCAGCATGTCCCCAAGAAAGCAGACCTCCTCAAGAAGCAATCCGGGCAAGCAGTAGCCAGTGGCGGTCCAAGTTCTTCCCATGCCAGCCAGGACTCCAAGAAGTTTGCTGAACCCGTGGCTAGTTTAAAAGTGGAACTGCCGGCAGCTTGTTCGCCGTCGTCATCCTCTTCCTCATCTAGTTCCTTCTGTTCGACCGGTTCTGCGGCAAGTTCCAGTTCAGCTACTCGTTCCCTGCCAGATATGAGCAAACTGGAGATTAGTAGTGGAACAGTGCCAGGAGCGTCCACAGCACCAGTGCCATCACAACCGGGCAATGCCACACAACATGCCTCATCCACCGGTGTGACCAAGGAATCAAAGTACAGCAGCAGTGGAGGAGCTACAGGATCGGGACTAAGCATGCGGAAGCTACTATCATCGGATGTCTACGAGTTTAAGGACACAGAGCCCTTTGAGTTTGAGAAGCGCATCTCACCGATGGCCTCTGTGGGCGGCACTGTGACTGCCGGAGCCACGGCAGCTGCCGGATCAGTGGTGGGTGCAGGAACTGCTTCAGTGATTACGGCAGTAATGCCAACACCAGGAGCAACCGGATCAGGCGGGGCTCCCTCTTCAACGCCATTGGTTGTCAGCTCGGCGGCCAGAAAGATGATACTCAAAGTCAGCGCAATGCAGCAGAGTCTGGAGCAGCACCAATTGCCTGCCGCTGGGAGCCATGAACGTGGTTACAGTGCAATGCCGACAGCAATAACAGCGCCCAAAGTGAAGAAGAGGGGTTCTCCATTGAAAGAGTCAGCCCTGAGCATGGAAAAGGCCAAAATCTATAAGCTGGACAAGGATCAAGTTCAGCAGCAACAGCCAGTGGAACAGAAGGCCCAGCAACTAACACCTCCGACCCTAAAGGTCCTTCAGCCCGCAGGTCAAGTCACGCCTTCATCTAGCAATCCAGTGAAGATGCACACTCCGCCAACAGCCGCTCGTTCAGCAGCCATAGCAGTGACAGGATCATCCTTAAATACGCCATCCACCTCGAGTGGCCATGCCATGCTGTCCTCCTCTGCTACGCCTAGCCAACTGGCTCCGCATCATGCTACACCCTTTGATGCCTTAAGGAAGTCGCCCAGTTTTAATCTCAACATCACCGCTCTGAATGAGGAATTGGCACAGACGGTCCAGGAAACCACTCGAGCACTAACAGATGCCCTGCAGCCTCCAACAACGCCTGGACCACCGCCTCTCCGGTCGGAGGGTGTATCGATATCAGGTCCACCAGTTACACCAGTGATTACACCAACACCCACAACTGGGTCAGCTGCCTTGATTTGTCCCAGTACGCCACCGACAGGTGCTAACCCAGTTTTGGCATCGCCTAAATTGACCACACCACCGCAGGCCACCAATGCCAGCAAGCAGCCGCCGGCTCCTCACATTGTAGGCAGTCCCTTTATCGAAACTAGAAACGTGTTCGAGTTGAGCACTTCCAACGAGGGCAGTGGCTATAGCTCTGGAGAGTCTAAAGACAACAAACTGGAGAAACTGGAGAACGTCAAGATACTGTTGGCTGGAGCAGCAGGACCCTTTGATCTGGATGCCGGCAGTTATGAACAGAAGACCAGCTCCATAGCAGACAAGGTACTGAAGGCCATCAGTCAGAAAAAAGAAGAGGTGGAGAACAATAAGGGCAAGCCGCCAGTGGAATCCGCCACCGCTGCTGCCAAGACTCCGGGAAGTGAAGAAGTGGTGCCCAATCCTCCAGCCAAACTGGATCTGTGTAGCAGTAGCATCAAGCTGGATACCCTGAAGCTGCTTAGCGAACCACTTAAGATACAAACAGGTCCATTATTGGGTGAAATTTATAGACCCGGTCCAGCGACCAGCAGCCCAGAGACCAAGTCAATTTTAGAGTCCTCACTTCCGGCAAAGAACAGCGAATTGAGCGAGACCATCCAGAAGCTGGAGTGTGCCATCCAACAACGAAAGACACCAGTGGGTGGAGCACTCTCATTGGCCAGTTCTACGGCTGGAACACCACCCGCTGCTCACACACCAAACTCTACAGCTACCGCAGGCGCAGGATTCTCGGATGAATCCATGGATAGCACCGACTCCGAGCAGCGTCTGGTCATTGAGGATGTGATAGCAGAAGAGCACACCACCACCACAACAACTGGCGAGCAAAAGAGTCCAGGATCCGGGCAAGAAGAGGGTCAGACAATCACCGCCAATATGGTAACGGCGGTTACCGTCGAAACTGAGGGCACCAGCAGCAGTACCCCGACACCTCCAGTCTCTGCGCCCGTTAAATTGGAACTAGGTGGCAAGGCCCAGCCTGGAATTCAAGCTCCCATTCCTCTGAAGCCCACGGAGGGCAGCTCCTTTGCAGGTAAACTCTCAGCAGTAAATCAACCTCCGCCGCTGGCCAAACTCCAGCAGCAGGAAGACTCCGCTCAGGGTCAGACGAAGAACATAAGCTCCTTTGGTATCCCCATCGTTCTACCAGAGATTCCCGCCTCCGTGGTGGTAGCCACACCAGCACTTATGGTGGCTTCTGCCGCCAATGTTATGCGTCACAGTCCTGGTTCCACGCCAAGTTCGCCTGCGCCCGTCCTGATCTCGCCAAAAGCGTTCCTCACCGCACCAAAGGTGGGAGAAGTGGGAGGATTACTACTAAAGGCCTATACAGGAGTTGGCGGAACAGTGGTGACAGGAGGAGTACCCACTGCTGGTGGTGTTATAACCGCTGCCGGCGGAGGAGCACCCACTGTCATCTCCAATTTCACCCAACAACAACAGCAGCAGCAACCAGCTAGCGTTCATCAAAGTGCACCAGAGATACCCGCCAGCTACATTTTAGATTCCGAGATAAGCGAAGCCCCCACCAGCAGTGCACCAGTGGTTGCGCGTCCATTCGTGATGCACGCCGTAGGCAAGGAACTATTCAATGTGGTAGCACCAGCGGCTAGTTCACCTCTAATCAGTGATCCTCATAACGAGTCCATCAATTTGCTATGCGAAGAAACCATACCGGGCAGTCCGGCGCCGAATTATGGCGGCTCTGAACAGCTGCCTGGCGGCGTTAGCTCGGCGATCGTGGCCATTATGGGACTAACACCTCTTCCGCCAGATACGCCACCACCTGGAGCAGTTTCTGCCATCCAGCAACAGCAACATCAACTGCAATCCGGACAGCAACAGCAGGCTACCAAGGCCGGAGAGGTGAATCCCTCGGCTCCAAATAGTTCACCAGACTCGGCTAGCCAGGATGAAAGTGGCGAGGAGACCAAAAAGAATGCCGAATACGAGCACGAGGATTCCACCGGACTAGGAGCACTGAACAAGCGTAAGCGTACCCGAAAAACGCTGCCGATAACTACCCAAGCGGCTGCCGCCGTGGCTGCTCAACTCCAATCTCTGGGCAAGCGTCGACGCCAGACATCCGGAATGCGCAGCCAGAAAACGACAACCACCACAGGTACTTCTTAACCCAAACTCTTTCTATTTCATTCCATTTCCATTTGATCTAAATTTTATAAAAGCAAATTTTGTTTAATTCAATGCAAACATCATCACAAGTTCCTTAAATTAGATCTAGAATCAAGATCTAGATGAAGAAAACTAAAACTCTAACGTTAGAAGTCTTTTTTGGTTAAGCTCTCTTACCCAGTATTGTAATACCCACATTGACTCTTTCAGCTGGTTCCGATACCGACGACAACTCGGATAATATTCTACCAAACTCCGGACAACAGCAGCAGCAACGGCAGAGTGCCCGCCAGCAAATGTTACCCCAAGGCAGCAATGCCCAGCAGCAACAGCAACAGCAGCAGCAACAACAGCAACTCTTGCAGCAGCAGCAGCAGCAGGCGCAACTGCAGCAGGGCATCCAGTCGAGTAGCACGTCGGGCGTTCGTCCCTGTCCATACAACTTCCTTGTCGAGCTGGGTAAGTACAGTACTTTATTTTCTTGATTTCCTTTTCTTTAACACCCTTTAACCTTATTTCAGATCCTGCTCTTAGCTCGGACGAGTGCATCACAATCCTGCGCAAGCAGATTCAGGATCTGCGCAAGGCCTACAACACCATCAAGGGTGAACTGACGGTCATCGATCGACGGCGCAAGAAGTTACGTCGCCGGGAGCGTGAAAAGAAGCAGCAGCAACTGCAGAGCCAGCAGCAGGGCAAGATCTGTGCCTAGCTGCGGATGGAATCCATACCAACATCCACATCCAACGAACAGCGAGAACATCAATCTTAGGATATGTGCAACTAAAAATGACTCTATGGCCGCCAGAAAATAACGATTAAAGATCGTTAAATATGGATTCACAGTGTTAAGAGCAGAACTTGTAAATCTATGGTTTTTTTTTTCCATTTTTAGATTTAACCATAAATCTTTATGTTTAAGCAAAGATTTTCTCTGTATAAATACATTTCATAAGATGTATGTATTCATAAGCAAACAAGTCGTTTTTTTATAAACTATTTTTTGGAGTTAAAGTTAAACTTTTAAAGTTTGTGGAAAAGTGGATTGCTAACCTGTTTTAATTTTCATTTCTAATTTTGTCAAATATATCGGTACTGTACATTGCATTTCAAAATCGTTACTTAGGAAACAGAGTATCCTCCCTCGAGAAGGATGTGATGGCCATTCACGAAACTGGACTTGCTGCTCAACAGATAACCGGTGGCATCCACAACCTCCTGGACTTCGCAGAAACGATTTAGTGGAATGTGGGCCAAGAGCGGTCCACTCTTGGCTGGATCTGACCAATTATCGGCACCCATTTTGGTCAGCACCACGGTGGGATTGACGGAGTTCACACGGATCTTTCGAGGTCCCAGCTCCAAAGCCAGCGATTTGGTCAGAGAGTCGAGAGCAGCCTTGGTGGCACTATAGGCAGTATGTCCGCCAAAGGAACGTGACGAGGCTATCGAGGACACGTTGACAATGGAGGCTCCGTCTTTGAGACGGGGCAACAGGGATTGGGTGACATTGAATACGGCCTTGATGTTCACATCGAAGTGGCTAAAAATGAATTTATAAGATTAAATTAGGATTTCAATATTCTCAAGAATAAGTTAATAACTAGAGAAAGAGTTAATAATGTAAGCTAGGTAAAATCTATAAAATTAGGTTTGTCAGCTTGGAGGTCACTTGAAGTGGGTTTCCAAATGCCCTTTCTTATAATCGAATCGTGATAATTGTTATCATTGTATATAAATTCCGGTGATCATGATCTTCTGAAAAGCAGCCGAACTTTTCTATGATAACAGCTCAGAAATGATTAAAGATCAGCGAAAAATGTCTTTAAACAAATGTCTATTATATTAACATTAAGATATTTTCTTATTAATGTATGTATGTAGACATTTGTTTTTCTTTTTTATAATAAAAAAAAACGAGGAGTTAAAAATGTTTGATGGTAATAAAAGAATTATAAATGAGATAAGATAAATGATATTGTTGTGGATATTTTTGAATAACCAACTCAAATGGTAAGTTTAAATGAGAATATTAGTACATATTTAAAATTTACATTTTTGAAAACTAATCATTCTGATAGATAAGAGATAAACAAAGATAATACATCATAAAGGATTGATAAGACTTGTCCTAATGGTCAAAAATTTGTTATAAACTAAGAACTATCCTATATTTTGGCTGTAACTTTTTAATACAACTTTCTTACGTATCGAAATCCTGTTCGGTGAGCTCCTCGAAAGGCTTGATGACGGCGACGCCGGCATTGTTAACCAGTCCATCTAGTGGAGGCACATTAGCCAGACCATCGCGGACCGCCTGCCAACCGCTGAGATCCAATTGGAGAGGCTTGATGTGCACCGAATCGAAGGCCACTAGTTCCTTGAGCTGATCCGGCTTTCTGGCCACCGCAATGACCGTGGCTCCCGCTGAGGCTAACTGCTTGACCAATGCCTGACCAATTCCGGCTCCAGCTCCGGTCACCAAGATTACTTTGCCTGCGAGATCAGTCCACATGATAATACAGCTAGGCTACTGTTTATATTTATAAATTTTCCCTGCCGTTGAAAGTTCCGTTCCGAGTGCTATGCGATCTCAGGTAGAACTAAACTCGCAGTAGTGTTTACGCCTTATCGGGAACATAAATCGCCGGTCAGAGCTTTCTTCGGAGAATATAGAGCAGGCGGAGCTTTCGCTCTCTTCGCTAGGGCGTTAAAGGTCATTTCTTGATCGCAGATTTGCAGCAGATCTCCCATGGGGGGTGTCAGTGGGGTGGGGCTCCAGGTTTAGAGGCCCCCTAAAACTGATAAACGATCGGTTATAAATAGAGCCAACGATAAGCCCAAGATTCCGGATTCGAAAGCGATCCGATACTCCTCCAAGCTGAACCTGTTCCTTAATTAATTGGAGCATTCATTATCAAGTCTAAGATCGTGACTAGGAAATATTTATATTCAAATTAAAATCATAATAAGAACAGCTTTTTCAACTTTTAAAAACTTTTCCAAGAAATTTAAGAAATATGTACGTATAGTTCTAAAGGTTGATTAAATGGCTTCAATGTATATGTACATATTATTTAAAAAAAAAAAAGTATACATTTTAAATAGGTTTACATCATTTTTTAAATTGTTAAACTTTTAGGGGAATTGCAGTGAAACTACAAAGCCTTATTTCTCCTTTTAAGGTTAACTAAACTTTTTGAAACCAATTTAACTGTTTATGTGACCAAAAACTAATATATATTAAGATATTCCTTTATATATTAAAAAAAAAGTATGGATATTTCAATCATTGCTTAATAAAACGTCTACAAAATTAAAAAAAAATCTTGTAAGTTAATGAAAAACACATTTTCGAATACCAGTGTAAACATCTGAAAATGTGTGAGTGGGAACGGGTATAGCACCCCCATGAAAAGGTCTATCGGTTTGCTTAGTTATCGATAACTGCGTCCAGTCAAACAAAACAAATTGTATATTAATTTTAGAATTAAATGAATTTCTGAATAAATAAATCTAAAGAAATGGCGCAAACGGAATCCCCAGGTAGGTCTTAAGTTAATAAAAAATTACAAGATTAATTTAAGTGTTTATAATCACCATTTAGCAGCCAAGCGCATGAAGTTGGAGAAGAAGCCGGCGACAGTCGAGGAGGATGGTAAATATTGGTGGACGGTTCTGATAAAATGGCTTATAAGACAATAATTTGCTTTACCATTGATAGAGACGCCCTCCGTGTTCAATCCAAAGTACCGAGTGTGTCCCTACTTGGATACCATCAACCGGAACCTGCTAGACTTCGATTTCGAGAAGCTGTGCTCCATCTCCTTGACAAGAATCAATGTTTATGCGTGTCTGGTGTGCGGAAAGTACTTCCAGGGCCGTGGCACCAACACCCACGCCTATACGCATTCCGTGGGCGAGGCACATCATGTGTTTCTCAATCTGCATACGCTGAGATTCTATTGCCTGCCGGATAACTACGAGATCATCGACTCCTCGCTGGACGACATCAAGTACGTGTTGAATCCAACTTTTACACGCCAGGAGATCAGCAAATTGGATCAGCTACAGCCAAAACATTCTCGAACGGTGGATGGAGTTTTATATTTACCAGGCGTTGTGGGTCTGAACAATATTAAGGCCAATGACTACTGCAATGTTGTGCTGCATGCCCTCTCCCATGTCGGTCCTCTTAGGGACTACTTTCTGCGGGAGCAAAGCTATGCGCATGTCAAACGGCCACCTGGTGACTCCATGTTTACGCTGGTTCAACGTTTCGGAGAGCTAATGCGTAAGATGTGGAATCCACGCAACTTTAAGGCTCATGTATCGCCCCACGAAATGCTCCAAGCGGTGGTGTTGTGGTCCAGCAAACGATTCCAGATCACAGAACAGGGCGATCCTATTGACTTTCTGTCTTGGTTCCTCAATACTCTGCATCGAGCCCTCAAGGGCAACAAGCAGCCCAATTCTTCAATACTGTACAAGATCTTTCTGGGTGAGATGCAGATCTATACGCGTAAAATACCTCCTGTTGAGCTGGACGATACGGCCAAAGCGCAACTGCTGGCCACCGAGGAATACAAGGACCAGGTCGAGCACACCAATTTTATTTACCTCACCTGCGATCTGCCACCGCCACCGCTGTTTACCGATGAGTTCCGTGAGAATATCATACCGCAGGTTAATCTCTATCAGCTGCTGGGCAAGTTTAATGGCAGCGCCGAGAAGGAGTACAAGACGTACAAGGACAACTTTATGAAACGTTTCGAGATCACCCGTCTGCCGCAGTTTATCATTTTGTACATCAAGCGTTTTACCAAGAACACCTTCTTCCTGGAAAAGAATCCCACCATTGTCAACTTCCCCATCAAGTGAGTGTCTTGATATTTACCTCAGTTTATCCTGACAACTGTTCACTACTACTCTTTTAACTTTTAGGAACGTGGACTTCGGCGACATTCTGGGCATGCGGCAGCGCGACAAGGATGTAAAGGACACGAAATACAATCTAGTGGCCAATATTGTGCACGACGGTGATCCCAAGAAGGGCACTTATCGCGCCCATATCCTGCACAAGGCCAACGGCCAGTGGTACGAGATGCAGGACCTGCATGTCACCGAAATCCTTCCACAGATGATCACGCTCACCGAGTCCTACATACAAATCTACGAGCGCTGTTCGGACTCCTCATGATCCTCCTGACTTGTAGTTACTTTTAGCTGTATTTCGATAAACAAACTCCATGATCATGATCCAAAAGTAATATATGCTGTAGTCGAATGTAGCGACTATAACTGGCCCTTATATAGGAGAATTTTGTATGTTTTTTTAATTGTCTGATGCAAAATGTTGAAAAATGTAAAAATTCAAAAAATAAGGGATTAACTATCAAATTGTTTTAACTAGTATTTGTTGAGCCCCAGCTTTTGGTTTATGTTTAAGTTGCAAGCCTCAGCATCAGCTGTGGCCCGAAAAAGGCAGAGATGCGCATGCGTTTTGCCCACTCCATGACCAAGTGGGCAGATTGGGGCCAAGACCAGCAAAAAATCGATGGCATCGCCAGTCGTTGGGCGTCAGAGTGGTCGGAAGCATGTCAGAGCAGCCGGAGAACAACAGCTACGAGCAGGAGTGCCAGCGGGCAGAGCTGCTGGGTCTCCAGCCGCCGGATCCTCAAGAATTCGAACGTAAACGCCAGGCAAGATTGGAGCACGAGTTGGCTGAACAGGAGGCTGCCGAGGCGGTGGTATGTAGTGGCATTTAACCACTCGAATTCCACACTGAATCTGAATTACGCAGCTGCTGGAGCAACAAGACGAAGGCTTAGGCAATGTGGGTGGTAAGCTGGGCGAGCTCAATAGCATCCTGTCCAGTACACAGCAAAAGCTCAATCGATTCAAGCAAACAGCATGTGGCAGTTTGACAAATATATTCGCTCGTGGCAATTCTGGATCTGTGGATCTGTCAGCGGGTATGGGTGGATCGTCATCGATGGTTAGCCAGGAAGAGCGACCTCCTGTCCAGGATCAACCTTTGGCCAAGCCACCACCCACGGCCGCCGAAGTAAGCGCTGCCAAGGCTGCCAAGCAGAAGCGAATGGACTCGCAGCTTGACAAGTTGGATGCGCTGATTAACCAGGCGGACAATGCCCAGATAGCCATGAGTGAACAGACCCAGCAGATGCGTCGCATGGCCAAGTGAAGTGACTTACCCTTTTGGTTGGATTCAAGGTGATGTTATGTTGCCTTTCTATGGCCCAAAAAATATATTACTTGTTAGTTTTTTGCATGAAATAAATATATTTATGAATGATTCCAACTTCTCTTTACTCTTCAGGTGATCCTCGTCACCTGAATCTGGCCAGCCTTCAGTCCTCTTCTTTGTTTGGATGAACACATGAGTTTCGCTTAAAACTAAACACAAGTTGAGATTACCCAAAGCGTCTTCAATCACATTTATCGAGTGTGCAGACAGTGCGTGTCATGACTGTCTGTAGTACCGTCTTTAAGTCCCGGCGCGCACTGATCCTCCTCCTTACATTCATCCTGTTTGACTTTATACATTATAAATAGGTAATTTATAGTTTATAGTTTACATCAGAAAGTTTTCAAAAATATACCCTTTTTCGTTGTCATATTTTGTATGTTTAAAACTGAATTAAGGATGTTTGACAATAATAGTTTTCGTTGATATATCTGAGTAGTTAACGTTTTTCTTTAAATAATTCTTGTTTTGAGTACATTTTTTTTTTTTTTTTTTTTTAACATTTTTAAAGTTTTTTTAAAAACAAATTTGAACATAAAGATATATTCTTCATAAATATTATAATTATTTTTTTTTAAAACAAATTTAAACATAAAGATATAGTTTTCATAAATATTATAATTATTATTTTTTTTTTTCGATTTTTTTGGTAAGTCACATTTTGGAAAACTTTTTCTTCAGTTCTTTGGAAATATATTAATATTGAATATTTTTAATATTTCACGTTTGCTTTGAATATTTAGCTCTATTCAGATTCTTTCTTGTATTTTTACTAAATTATAAATTATAGGGAACGTCAAAGTGTAAACAGAAGCAATAAATATTTTTTGATTACATGCGCAGTTCGTTACGGAGCTGTAAGGCTAATACTTAGTATTCCTAGACCTTGGCCTTACAGTCAACGGTACCTACTGCCTTTGTGCTAGCATAAGGAAGCATTGTCCACCACTTAGAAATTGTTTATCCAGCTAATACTTGTTGCAAAACGTTTGTTAATCTATATCAAAATATATACGAAACGATCGAGTCAAGTAATAAAATCAAAAATTGTTCTCCACAACTACAAAAATTCTTTAAAACCGATCAATTCCGTTTCTTTAAAATTGGAAAGTTCGATTAAAAAAATGATTAAAAGTTTTTAAATAAATGGAATTGATTTTAAAAGATTGGTTTAAAAAGAAAAAAAAAAGGAAACCAAAAGCAATGGTTTAGGGATCTTTCTACTTACAAGCTAAACTGGGGTGTATAAATAAGACTGAGGTTTTACTTATCCTCCTCCGAGGAGGACGATGAGGATGTGGACATCTTGACGGAAGAGCGCGGTGGAGTGGGGCAGCGCTTGAGTAGAGTTCGGTTTCCCAGCCAGTGAATTCCTGTGTCCTCAGAAGCGGTATCCGTCTCTGAGTACAAGTCATCGCTATCGCTGGCAAGGCCTCCCTTATCCGTCTCATAGGGGTCCCCATCATCTCCCCGCTTGACATCCACGCCATCAGGCTGCTCTTCGTTCTCATAGAAGAAGTATGATAGCTCCAGCTTTTCCTCCTTGGAATTAAAGCGCCATTCGTGGGGAATCAAAAGACCATTAAAATGAAGTCGCTTAACCAGCGCCTGAAACATATCCGGCGAGATATCCATCTGGGGCAGAGTCTGCTGGGCTTGCCACTTTTCCAGAAGCGGAGGTTTTCCTTCAAAAAAGTCGTAGTACACTTTGCAGGCGCGTTGACAGCACAACCGATCCGAATCAGGATGGATGCGACGCAACACCCGCAACTCTGGCTCCACGACGTGCAGGAACACGTAATGTTTCTTTCGGTTGGGCAGCGAGGTGACCAGCACCGCGCGACTGGTAGTCAAACATAGCTGGGGCAGCGGCTGTGGCCACAGCGAGTGGATAAGACGCTTGACCAGCTGTGACAGCGTGGAGCTCTTGAAAAAATGGCGTTTTGGATAATTAACCCCAGCTCCGGAGGGCAACCAACGCACTGCATCTGCCCAAAGACGAGCGGCGGCGCCATTGAACATGGTCAGGCCCAAGAAACGCATGCAGCGCTTGCAGTACACGTGATCCTCGCGATGGACGAAGGGTGCACTTTCTCCATTAAAGTTTATGATCACATAGTTGAGGCCATAAAAGAGATCCGTTTCGGCGGGCACCAAGCTAATTGGTGCGGACGTACCTGCTGGTCCATGATTATGACAAAAGAACTCACTGGGATCCACCACGCAACTGGGAAATTCCCTAAGCCTGCGATAACTCTTAGCCTCCACCAATTCTGCCCGGCAGTTGCGGCAATTAATGCTTATGGCCTCGTTCTCCTGGAAGTTAAGAAGTATCGGTGCCAGCGGCACTTCTACTGCGCCAGCATCTATTTTATCCAGATCAATCTGGTTGTAGTTGAAGCGGAAGCTAATGTTGTGGCAAGTGATGAGGAAATTGCCTAGACCCTTAATGTCCATGCCGAATTGGTCGTAGGAGATGAGCAGCATCTCTTCAAAGTCCGCGCTGTCGCTATCCGATGAACTCGTATCATACTTTTGCTCCCGCTTGTCTCTTTCACAGATATAAACATTGTGGTTCCGGATGACTACGCGCGTCACGTGGGTTTTGTTGAGCTCTTGATCGAATTGCAGGAAGGCCACGCCGCTGCACAAATTGGGACGCAGTTCGATGCACAGCTCGGTGATGGTCATTTTATCCTCGCTTTTCCAAAGAAAAAAGCTCTAGAAGATTGGGCGAAAGCCAGAAATCGTTGCGAATTTATCAAAGCGTCAACACAATGTGACCGTTCGAAGCAGGCCCTAAAAATACCAAAGATTCATTATCGTTTGGTTTGAAACTTTGCTAATTGTAATTTTAGACACGCACCTTAACCTTATCTTTAGCCATGGGTAATTTTAGGGTTTGTTGTCAAACAAAACATGGTCTGCCTGCACTCAACACTGAAGCAAAAGAGTCGAAGATGCGATGGGTAAAAACAAAGCCCCGTGTAAAAGTGTCCGAAAACCGTGCGTAGCATCAAACAAATCGTAACTCGGCCAGAAAATCCAAGAGCCGTTGTTTTGGGGGTCGCGTGTGCAGTGCCGTTTTAATTGTCGGTAATCGCAAAACCCACCAAAAAATTAAGGATTTTTTCGAAAAAACGTTCGCCTTAAACGCATTTTGTTCACTTACACACAACCACACATATACACGCGCGAATGCGAACACACACACGCACAGTCGCAGACAAACACAACGCGCAGCGCATATACACACACAAAGAAGAGAAGGCAGTGAAAATCGACAAGCGCACGCATGCACATACACACACACACACATACAGTGACGAACACGCAGGCGAAAAAGTGTTGATATATATCCAATATATTGATGTTGTGTGCACCGTTGTTGTTGCTGCTACTGCTGTGTGAGTGAGAGTGAGCGAGAGAAGGAGAGTTAGTGCGCGCAGGATAAAGCGAAGATGTGCCACAAAGCAAAGGAGTGAAAAAATAATTAACGGCAAAGAGAGTGCAAGGCGAAGAGCGGATAAAAGAGAAGCAGCAACAACAGTAATAATAATACAAACAACAACATTAACAACGACTAGGGGTCCCCTACAACTACAACTACAAATTGGCCCTCTCATTTTGGCAGTCGCATAGCCCATCTCGCTCTCTCTTTCGTTGGGGGATACGAAAAAGTTCACATGCAACAACAACGACAACAAACAATAGCAGTCGCAGTCGACGCGGGCAGAGGCAGAGGCAGCGACATAGACCGCGGCGCACTGAACGTATTTTGTACATATAAACAAAAATAGTTTTTAAACTCCCCGAAATCTAAATCTAAATCTAAAGTTAAAACTTAAAAACCTAAAGCCCTAAGCATAAATCTACAGTAAATAAGTTAATTAAAAAATTGAGCAAATCAAGCAGAGTGTGGAGAGGGGAAGACCGTTAGAAAGGGGAGAAAGCAAAGAGAAAGAGACACATAGAGAGAGAAAAGAGAACGCTCAAAAGAAATTCGCCTTTTACACGATTTTAAATTGAGCGTTTGGCAGAGATCCATTATACATCCATCCAAAAAAGAAAGAGAGAGAAAGAGATACAGAGGAGAGGAGCAAAAACAAACAAACGGGGGAGCAGCTGAAGAACAAGAAGAAGAAGAAGCAGCAGCAGGAGCAACTGTAAACACACACAATCTCAGCCTCACGCTGGCGAATCGCAACGGCAGCAACAACAACAGAGGAGGAGGAGGCGGCGACGCTGCTGGGGGCGGGGCAGCTGTGCCCGCCGCTGCCCGCAACAATAACAACGGTGGAGGAGGCGCAGGTGGAGGCGGTAACAACAACAATGGAGGAGGCGGAGGAGCGGCTGCAGTCGGCGCTGGCGCCGAAGGGGCAGCAGCAGCAGGAGGAGCTGGCGGTGCAGCAGGAGCTGGAGCTGGCAGAGACGGCGCGGCAGCAGGAGCGGCAGCCAACGAATGGAATCCGGAGGAAATGGACCGCTTTAGCTTCGACGATTCAATCCGCTTCGAAGAGGACTCATTGTGCAGCTGGAGCTCTGAACCGGAATCGCTGTGCAACAACTGGCGCGGTTGGAAGAAGCCCGCTGCGGGCAGCGGTGCTGGCAGCGGCGGCCTAAACGGTATGGGTGGCATGGCGGTAGCTGGCGGCTCAGGAGCATATTCGTTCGGTGGAGCAGGTGCCTCCGGTTCATGTACACCGGGCGGCAGTGGAACGGCCATGGCAAATACATCCACCTGCGACAGATATTTTGGTGAGTACTATAACTATATAGGTAATTATTTGAGTTTTCTATGAAGTGTGGCAAGAATTTCAGGATTTATATTAGGATACACAATATTGAGTATTCCATATTTTTGATTTTCAAAGCCTCTAATTTGTACGTCTCTGATTCCTCCTCGATATTAATTCAAAGAAGGCCTCTTCAAATTTTTAAAATACTTCTGCTTCCTTTGTTGTTGACATATTTATTATATACCCAAAGTGTTTGCATTGCTTTTTATAAAGTATCTTTAGTTCTTTTTCAAACTCAATAGTTCTAAAAAGTTAATATTTACTTTAACTTGGTCACATTTCCCTTTTTTCTTGTTTTCAATGCAAAATTGTGTAAGCAACAGACGATCTGGCAACACTGCGCTGTGTGCAATTATACGCGTGACCTTTTCGCTGTTGGTAAATTCTGTAAAATTGGCTTAAGCACAAGAACAAGCAGGCAGTAATTGTTGTTGCTCTTGTCTGCAATTGTCTTTTCCGTTTCCCCGCCCTTCCCCGAAGTCATCTGCTTATCGCTAAAGTCAAAATCACGACTTTTAGTTGCCAACGTTTTATTTTTATTCGTTTTTTTTTCTGTTTCCTTTTTCTACCTTTCGGTTGCGTCTCCTTTGTCTTTTTGTGGCATTGTTTTTCAGCCTGCTAAAAGACGTTTTTACACGTTTTTCGGTATCCTGTGCGCTGTCGCAGCAGTATTATCATCATGTAATATCTAGATATCTGGCTGCGACTGCGCAGTTCGTCCTCATTGCTGTTTTTCCTTCCACTCGTCTTCATCGTCTTTTGCTTACCTACTGCATTCGTTGTTCTTCTTTGTTTGAACGAGCATTATTTCAGTTTGGGGAGAGCAAAGGACTTAAGTTGGAATGGGGCAGCTAAGGACTAAAGAGAGCGGGAAGGGAGATAGGGATCTTTGCGGTTCCTTCACTAGCCAGGGTTGCCAGGCAGGTTGATAATCATGCTAACACTAGTTTTATTGGCGTTGGTTGGTGGTAATATTGAGTAATAACAGTTAAAGGCTAGTGTTGATTCGTTGAATTATTTATTGACGAAATCGATTCTTTTCACAGACCTACAGTATAGCATCCGGAATGGTATAAGCGTAATATGTACTCTTAAAGATTGTTCCATTTTAAAGTATAGCTTTAATGGGTCAAATTATGGCCCCTTTTTGGCGGGGAAATAGCTGAAGTGTTAGCCCTGCGGCTAGGAGTGTGTGCGCAAAGGCAAAGCCAGCTGCATTTTCATGCTCGAAAGACATAATAACCGCAACAAAAAACTATATAGCCTCAAAACGATGTCGCTGCTGCCAGCTGAACGAAGCTGACGTCGACATCGACGTCGATGCTGAGGCGTCTAGAAGAAGAGCCTCGCTTTGTTGTGTCAAAGAACCTTTTCAAGGATACCACCACAACCTGCCCAAGGGGATGTAATAAAAATAAAGACGACGACGACGACAACACGGACGGGAGTCCATTATTCCCTTCACACCTTGCTGCTTCTCGGACTGCGATTGCTATTGCTGTGGATACCCAGATGTTTTAGTTGTTCTGATAGGTGGCCGGAAACGCACTGATTTGATCATGAATTGTCAATTCTATGAAAAGATATCTTATGGATTTTTGTCTGATCATTTATGACAATTAGTTAAGGTCTTAAATATTTTGGAAGGAGTTTTACGAATCCTTTCATTTGTAAAATAAGATCATCGTTACTTTCTTGTCACATTCAACAGTCTTAAGGCAATCTTGCAATCTTATTTGTAAACCAAATTTACTTACTTATACCTATTAAAGTGAAAGCCTGATTTCTTTGTTCTTACAGTTTTAAAACTTAAAAAGATATTGCTTTAGATTTGAAATATCATATTAAGAAGTTCATATTTGAATATAGAGTTTGGTGACCCCAATCCTACTCTATTTAGTATCATAATTCTTGCCTTGGGACCCCCGGGAGTTGCACCATAGGAACACCCCAGATGAACTGGGTACGTCGAGTGGGTCCCGCATGAGCATAGAACGTTGAACGTCGATGCGATGCGATGCAATGACCCCGAATAAAGCGAAACCGTGGAATGGTCACGCTGCAGTGCTGACAATGCAACTCCGTGTCCGTGAGAGGTGTGCACTGTGGCTAGTGGGTGTGTGTGTACGTTTCTGTGTGCGTGCCTTGAGTGGCCGGCGTTGCCACATGTCATCATCTAATTAGTGGGTCGAGGCTCGTCGGACGGTGTCAATTTCAAAACTGAAACTGAAACAGCGACCAGCTGTGTCTGAAGCCACGAACTCTACAATATATATTTCACTTTTTTTTCCGCCATGCATATCAGTTTCATGCACTTCCGCAGCCCAAAACAATTGCACCAACATATGTGCAACACACACACACACACACGTTTATATGCATGTGCAAAAATGCTTGTTGGCACTTTGACCCCTTTTTTGTTGTTGGCATTTTAGTTTTTGCATCAGTTCATTTTGTTTTTGAACGAGCTTTTTGTGCCGAACAACCTGAATTTGTCGTTGGAAACATAGCGGACAAAGTACAAAGTACAAAATATGAGGGCAAAAACATAATTTTCAGCATATTATCATTTACAAAAGTCTAAAGAGTCAAAGGAATATATGGTTTCTTTATTACCTTATGAAGTTGACAAAAAATACAGGCTTGGAAAATGTTTATAACTCAATTCTGAAACCAATTACTTAGTAACTCTTTCAAAGACTTGTTAAGTTACCACAGACATGTGTTAAGTGGAACTTTGTTGGGAGGAAAAAGCGATCCAAATAGCATAATTGGGTTAACCAAACTAGAAGTAATTGAAAAGTTAGTTAGGTATATTTTAAAAACGGTTCATGTTCTTTACAACTTCAATAGGAGTTAAAGGGTAATGGTGATAACCGGTATGACGAATGCTTTCGCTATAGTTCGCCACTTCAGCACCTCTCTTGCTTAACTTTGATGAGCTCGTTCAGTAATAATACAAATAACTGGAGCATGAGTCTTTGTGTTATATATAGAGTCTCCTGATTTTTTGTATTATTATTATTGTTGCATGTTTTGTTAGTGCGATGCATGGAAATGAAAAACAAATTAAAGTGCAAACAAAAACTCCAAAAGGGAATGCAAGAGCAAGCCCAGTTCAATCGAAGAGGAAACCAGTTTGAAGGGGAAGCTATAGCCTTGAATCCGCTAAAAAGAAAAAATGAAGAGAAAAAAAACATGAATATATACACGAATCAGTTATTAAACCTTCTTCAATCAAATCAATCTGACTTATGCGGCCATTCGGAATCGGCTAAGCCCCTTTAGCCGAAGGCTCAGCCGACAATTCATCTGATAAATGCATTTAATTGTCTCTCTTTGTCCTCGTCAGTCAAATGGAATTAAAATAACTCAAGCTTACAAAGAGTTCGGAAGTGACGATGACCAATCATGTAATTGTTTTCTTACTTAAATTTTATCTTAATAAAAAGAAAACAAAAGAAAATGTTTAAAGTTTTTGAGAGATTTATGCTCAAATTAGTCTAAAATGTATATTAACATCCTCAATCAACTTACAAGATAACTTACTGTACATAAAACTAATTAAATTACATCTTGGTAATTCAATTTAAAGCAATTTGTCAGTTTAATCAAGCAGACGTTACTACTATCTTAACCGCCACTGTTGCTGTGTGTATGCATAAAGGACAGGCATGAGCAATAAGTTAGCGCTTGCGGAAAATGACTTTGAATAAAATGGTGCCAAAGTGTCTGAAAATTAAGCGACGACAGAGCAAGACAGCGGGCGGTAGTAGGGTAAGACGGACTGAGGGTAAAGCACGAAGAATGGGAGCGGGCAAACGAGCCGACGAACGAGCAAAAGAAAACAAACAAACAAACAAAACAATGAGCTCTGTCGTTCAGTGTTGACGCTTTAGCTTTTTTTATGTTGAGTATCTAAGTATCTACTGAACTTTTGCAGATACATTGATTTTATTGATTACTTTGTGGAAAGATAAAAATAATAAATAAATCATTTAGTGAAAACTCTAAACTAAAATCATGCAAAATAAACATTGATTTTAAATTTAAAAGATCTTCAAGATAGCGTAAAATTCACAGATAGAATATCTTTTACTGGAATTTTTTCATACACTAACTAAACAAACTATAAGGAAAGTTAATGCTTAATTAATTGAAAAAGTTTGTGCAAGTATGCACATGTACTAGTATAAACCTACCCTGTCATTAAGAATTCAGCAAATGGAATCCTTAGCTTCGGGTCGATAACCCATTAGTTGACTCATCCTGGCCTGGCCAGGTTGATCGATTGTAATTGAAAGTGAAATCTGTGAGATCTGGCTATGTGCTTCTCCTGTTCGAATATTTAATTTGCGTGGGCGAACTTGAACCTTCTGTTTTTTCTTCTTCTTAGTGGCTGCATCATCAGCAACATCATATATATACACCATATATACATATATACCATACAATAACAAAGCTTGCTGTTCTTTGTTTTGCTTTGGGGTCTTATTTGTCTGTTTGTTCGTTTGCTTGCTTGTTTGTTTGTCTTTTGTGTTTTGCGTTGTTCGTTGTGCGTTTTTAAAGGCAATGGGAACAAGACCTTTAAAATGCAGGTCCCCCTTTCCACTGCCATTTGTTTATTTGCATGCCAATTCAATGGTTTTATGTTTATCTACAACTCAATTGCGTTGCAAAAGATAATGACATTCGCAGTTTACGCAGGGTAAAAAACTGCGTGTCCAAGATTCGAATACTTTTCCCACGCCAACAACATCACACAAACTTAAATAAACTATACAGTTTGTTTATTTAATTATGTTTAATAGAGGGTATCAAATTACTGACCGACCGGAAGGCGGAATAAAGCATTCTTGATTAGAGTTTCAATTGATTCCACTGTTTTGCATGGCAGCGGCAATCCTGTCTAGAATTCTTCCTATACGGTGACTAACTTAAATATTGGCACAGTTGATAGGTCTAGCTTTTGCACAGGTTTTGTATGGTTTAAATTAAGTTTTAGCTTAAATACTTTGGGGATCCATCTTTGGATAGGATTATATTGGAGATCCAGTAGATGCAACAGATCCATGAATATGCTTATCATAACTTTACAATGATATGATTACCAACTTGACATAATTGCATTGAATATTGTTAGCTTAATTAATTTACATGGTCAACCTGGTGTGGTTGTGCTAAATTCGATGTGTGGAGGAAGTATATGACCCTTAGAAGTACCTCGCTATTTGACCTCTCATTCGCTGGTCATTGGCCGTTCGGTTCAGTGGAAAAAGTTCTTTAATTAATAAAAATGCCCCGACATGTGTGTATATGTATTGTATGTATGTATATTGGTGTCTGTGAGCCACATCCATGTGGCTTTTCCTCGCTTTGTTTGTGCTTAATTATGGTAGTAGAAATATGGAATTAGTCATTTGGCAGCTTCTCTAATTAATAAATATTTTCATTGTTTTTCCTTTGTGTTGGAGTTTTCAATTGGCTCTACCCTCGGGGTTATAGTTTCACTGCTTAAATTTTGATCGTTCTAATCAAATTTTTGATAAGTTTTTAAGAAAAGAGTTTAATAAAATAATGATCTCTGACTTTGAGATATAATCCCAAAATTAAGAAGACTCTTGAAGAAGAAGACTCTCTTTAAAAACCTAATACCAATGATTAAAGATAATTAGCACCCCCCTCCACTCAATTTAAGATGTTCTCTATATTATGTTTATTTTCTTTCTTTTTCCAGAAGTATCGACATTGGCCGAACTGGCAGCCCGTTGTGTTGCCTCCTATATACCATTCGAACTGGTGGAGCACGTCTATCCACCAGTGCCGGAGCAGCTACAGCTGCGCATTGCGTTCTGGAGCTTTCCGGATAACGAGGAGGACATCCGATTGTATTCCTGCCTGGCCAATAGCTCGGCGGATGAGTTTAATCGCGGTGAACTCTTGTTTCGATTGCGAGCTGTCAAGGATCCTTTGCAAATAGGTAAGCCCTACTAAAAGTAAACTTTAGTGGGATTACTAATTACTAACTAAATCTTATTTTTAGGATTTCATTTGTCGGCCAGTGTGGTTAGTCAATCGCCGCGTGCCACCTTCAATGTGGCCGTAACCTTTGACCGTCGACGCATATCCTCTTGCAATTGCACCTGCACCTCATCAGCCTACTGGTGCTCCCACGTAGTCGCCGTTTGTCTACATCGCATTCATTGCGTAAGTATGCCAGGGCTTAAAGGATTTATTAACCGCGTAATTCTGTTAATTGCTCTAAATATAACCACAAACAAATTTGTTTGAAAAGGAGCTCTTGGGATTATCTAAAGAACGCAGTTTCTGTTTCTGAATAGCTAACGTTAACGAGCTATTTATGGTATGGCAATCGGCTTAATTTTCATTTCATTTTTGGCTTTTATAAAATGACAAGGCATAGACTAATATCCTTGTAATTTAAATACGTAAATAATAACGTTTTTATCATCTTTTTGCAGCCCCAGGAAGTATGTTTGCGTGCTCCGGTATCCGAATCGCTGACCCGCCTGCAACGCGACCAGCTGCAAAAGTTCGCCCAGTATCTGATTAGCGAGCTGCCTCAGCAGATCCTGCCGACGGCCCAGCGGCTCCTGGATGAGCTGCTCAGTGCCCAGCCAACGGTGATCAATACGGTGTGCGGTGCACCCGATCCCACGGCTGGTGCCTCGATCAATGACCAGACCAGCTGGTATCTGGACGAGAAAACGCTGCATAATAACATTAAAAGGATTCTCATAAAGTTCTGTTTGCCCGCCCCGATAGTGTTTAGGTAAGAGTTTCTAAATATATTTTTTTTTTATCCTTGATACTTATTAATGATTATGCCTTTACAGTGATGTTAACTATCTGACGAATTCGGCTCCCCCAGCGGCGGCCGAGTGGACATCTCTGCTCCGACCTTTACGAGGTCGTGAACCGGAGGGTATGTGGAATCTGCTATCGATTGTACGCGAAATGTACAGGCGCTGTGACCGGAACGCAGTGCGTCTATTGGAGATTATCACAGAGGAATGTTTGTACTGCGATCAGATACTAATCTGGTGGTTCCAGACGAAGCTAGCGTTGATGATGGGCTCCCATGGTCATTCAGGCGGTAAGCACTCGAACACACACTCCAATTCCACGGCTCTGCAGCATGCCTGTAGTTCGCTGTGCGATGAGATTGTGGCCCTATGGCGATTGGCAGCGCTTAATCCCGGCCTGGCGCCGGACGAGCGGGATATGCTGCATGCCCAGTTCACGGCCTGGCATCTGAAGATACTCGATCGTGTGGTCAAGAGTAGAATGATGCCGTCGTCGTATACCAACAAGCACCAGCAGAACTCAAGATCGGAGACGGAACTGTTTATCGGTTTTAAGCCGGCCATCGAGGCGTGCTATCTGGACTGGGAGGGTTATCCCATTCCGGGTGTAACGCACACCCACGACACGAATCCCATCTACTACTCACCGTTCACCTGCTTCAAGCACACGGATCTCAAGGGTGAATCCAATAATCCCGGCCAGCTGAATGCTACCCAGGCACTGATGACGAACAACAAGCACTACAATTACTTTAGTGCTTCCAGCGATCATGGTTTGCACGCCGGTGCCTTCAAGCAGAGATTGGACCGACCCTTCCGGGAGTCGCGATTCTATTCAAATCCATCTGCTCTGGAGGTCTCAGCAGCACTGGCGAGCGTAGGATCAGGAAGGTTTTCCACTGGATTGGGTTCTGTTGGCGTCGGTGGATCTGGTACAGGTGGTGTTGCTCAAATAAGTGGAGGAGTGAACAACTCCGTTGGAGCATCGGCCGCCGAAGTGAATCCCGCACAGCAAATGCCTAGTGGCTCAGCAGGCGTCAGTGCCTCAGTGGCTAACGCTAAGGTAGTGGTGTCAGCTGATGGCAATCGTTCGAGTGCCAGCAGTGAGGGATTCTGTGAGAATGATGATTTCGGTGGCGACACCAGCAGCAGTCACAACTACTGCCCACCTGGACAAGCCGTTGTCCCTGGCCAGAAGTCCGCACTGACGGAATCGGATTCACAGAGCAGCTTTGATGCCGTGTCACAGCAGAGCAAGGATGACCCACCAGTCGGTGGAGTAGGTGTTGTGGCGGGCGTAGAACAAGCCCTATCAACATCAGACACTTCGTCGGCCTCCTCGGCATCGTCATCTGCTTCTACAGCTTCGGGTAGCTCGAATAGTTCCACCTCCTCTATGCTGATGGCTGGACAGGAGGCAACCGTTGAAGTTGGAGGTGCTGTACAGCAAACACCTCGTCGCCTAAGCAAAGATGAATCGTTTAGCAGCAGTAGCGATGAGTTCAACCAAGGAGCAGTAGGTGGATCAGCAAGTGGTGGAGTGAGCGGAGCCGGTGTCAGTAGATCAGTTCCAGGAGAAGTAGCTGGAGGAGCGGGAACAACAGCTGGAGGAGATCTCACTCCAGTGCCCAGTACTTCAGCTGCTGCTCGGGCTGCCTTGGCCGCCAACTCCGCGGTGCCTGCGATGCCCAGTGCACCTCATCTTGCAACCAGCGCAGCAGGTGGATTAGGAGCACTAGGCCTGGGTGCTTCAGCGGACCAGCATTGCAGCTCATCCGCGCAGGCAGCTCGAGCTCTGGCAGCTGCAGTGGCCGCCTCTAGTGACAAGCCGCAAGTCTTTTCCAATGTTCGACCCACAGAGGACGTTTGGGATATTCTGCTAGCAAGAGCTGAGGGATTACATGCCCATGGACACGGCAGTGAGGCCTGTATTCTGGCCGTGCGGCTAGCCGAGCAGATGCTGGCAAGTCCTCCCAATTTGCTCTTGGAACTGCCACCCGCACCCAAGAGAAAGGGCAAGAAGCAGAACGTGAATCCAATCTCGCATCAACTGACAGTTGTGGCCTCCGCTACGCTGTCCAAGTGTGCTTTCCTCTGCACAGTTCTGTCGGAGAATTCGGAACACTACCACATCGGTTTTCGGATATGTTTGTTCGCCTTGGAGATGCCACGACCGCCGGCAAGCACTAAACCACTGGAGGTTAAGCTGGCCAACCAGGAGGCGGACATACTGGCACTGCTTAAGCGCCTACCTCTGGGATCTGCGGAGTTGCAGGTGATCCGAGAGCGAGCTGAGCAACTGCGCAGTGGAACCTTCAAGACGCGAGGGGAGGCTTTGCTGCCGATTAACCTGGCCACGTTTATCTTCGATGCCCTAGTTACCCTTAGCCCGGCAAGTAGTTCTACGATTGGCTCTGGAGTGTCTTCTAGCGTTGGAGGAGGTAAATCTATGGTAAACCCTAATACCCGATTGCTACTCTACAAGCACAGCAGCGATGAGACTCTCGGATTCGACGCTGCAGTAGCAGCACTGGGATTGAAGGCTAATGTCTCGGAAGCAGAGCATCCGTTGCTTTGTGAAGGAACCAGACGACAGCGCGGAGATCTAGCTCTGACATTGCTTTCCCACTACAAGGATGAACCGCGCAAGATAGCCAAGATAATGGAGAAGCTGCTGGACAGGGACATACACACGCTTTTGAATGCCCCATTCCTGCCCGCTTACTATTCAAGTAATCCTCCAGTTAGGACGCCAAGTAACCAGCCAACTCGCAGGGAAGAACACGACTATGGAGGTGGCTCTGGTTGCGCCTCCTCCAACTGCAATCCGGTAGCCAATCTATGTGAACTCCTGCCAGTGGATTATGGCAGTGTCGGAGGTAATAGTCGGCCACACAGCTCGACGAGTGCCGAACTAGAGTTGAGTATGTGCGCTCTAAGCATGGCCAGCAGTGGCAGCCAGTCGGGTGGTGGCCAAGGCATGGTGCCCACACCGAATGCAGCTGGAGCTACGGGAACACCCACTTCTAGCAGCACTACGGCCAGTGGGAGCCAGAATCCCAACGGAAATCCCAGTGGCAGCGGTGGAGGAGGAAACGGTGGAGGTGGCAATGCCGGAGGCGGTGGTGGTAGCTCGAGTAGCAGCCGAAGCAAGGAAAGTCGCTACAAGGGAAAGAGGGCATACCCTTCGATACCCAATCAGCCATCGGAAGCAAGTGCTCACTTTATGTTTGAGCTGGCCAAGAATGTGCTGACCAAGGCTGGCGGCAGTAGTTCCACATCTCTCTTCACTTTGGCTAGAACCAGCCAGAATCATCACATACCGCATCGCGCCCTGCAGATGTGCGCCTTCCAACTGGGCCTGTATGCCTTGGGTCTTCATAACTGTGTTAGTCCCAATTGGCTATCGAGGACGTACTCGTCGCACGTCTCATGGATCTTGGGACAAGCGATGGAGATAGGAGCACCGGCGATTAGTTTTCTAATTGACACTTGGGAGGCGCATCTCACACCGCCCGAAGCGGCTGGCATGGCGGATCGTGCGTCACGTGGATGGGATAGCAACATGGTTTATCCGGCAGCAGAACTGGCCCTGTCCGTTTTGCCACATGCAGCTGCCCTCAATCCGAACGAGATCCAGCGAGCGATTCTGCAGTGCAAGGAGCAGAGTGATTTGATGCTGGAGCGGGCCTGTCTCACCGTTGAGACGGCAGCCAAGGGTGGTGGTGTCTATCCAGAGGTGCTATTCCAGGTGGCTCGCTATTGGTACGAGCTGTACATGAGGAACACGCCGAATAACAGTGAGCACGAGCCGCACGACGACACCATGGACCACTCCGCAGTAAGTTTGAGTGCACTGATCGAGTCCCAGCAACAGCACGAGCTCCAGCAGCAACAACAGGCTGTACAGCAGCAACAGGCGGTGCAACAGCAGCAGCAGCAGGTGGTCCAGCAACAGCAGGTGGTACAGCAACAACAGCAACTTGGCATGCCCAATCCAGGGGTGCCAGGTGGAGTGGGTCCGGGACCCGGACTCCCTGTAGCTGTTCCCCCGCCCGTTGTTGGTTCTGTGCAGAATCCACAGGCCCAGTTCCAGCAAGTGGGTGTCGCTTCATTGGCTCCCATTGGACTGACACCGTATCCCCCATATAGTTTCTTCTGTCAGGGATTGTACGCCCATCATCACAATCTTAGCTATCAGCCCGATCAAATACAGATGTACATTTCGGCTGGACCACCGCCGCCGCCACAGGCCTACGGTGGCTATCAGCAGGCGCCACCACAGCAGCCGCCCAATCCACAGCAACAGCAGCAGGTCGTGCAACAACAGGTGCAGCAGCAACAGCAGGTGGTGCAACAGCAGCAGCAGCAGGTCCAGATGGCTGGACAAGCCCCACCTGGTCATCCTGGACAGCAAGGTCATCCGGGTCAACCGCCATCTGGTTTCCAGCAGCAACCGCCGCCGGGAGCATTCCAGGGGATGCCACCGCAAGCCTACCAGGCGATGCAACCGGGTCCTCCGGGACCACCTATGGGCCCGCCACAGGGCTACTATGGCCCGCCACCACCTCCGCCACCAAACGGACCGCCCGGAGTAGGCGTGGGAGTGGGCGTAATGCCCATGCGCCAGCACCAGCACCAACATCCCGTGTATCCCTTCATGCAGCAGGCGCCGCCGCAGCCACAACAACAGCAACAGCCTCCGCCTTCGCAACCTCCCGTGCGTCAGCGGCAGCCACATCAGTTTACGTAAGTTATCATTGACTCGGTCTTGGAGCTTTGATTAATGAATGGTTCCTTTTCTTACAGACCCACCCAGCTGCGTTATCTGCTGGCCGCCTACAACGTGGGCATGCTGGCCATGGAAACGTTGGCGCGTCGTGTCCACGACGACCGGCCGCAGGCGAAATATGCCAGGAATCCACCGTACGGTGAGGATGTGAAATGGCTGCTTCGAATTAGCAAAAAATTGGGAACCCAGTATCTGCACCAGTTCTGCATCTGCGCGGTGAACTCGATTGTCAGTCCGTTCGTTTTGCACGACGTGGCCATCGAGTCTGCCCACTATCTGGGCAGGAACAACCACCAGATGGTGATGCAACACTTGCGCTCTGCCCTGACACCGCTTGTCCAGAAGTGCCAGCAGATGTAAGTATTTAATATGGAGTTTCAACGAATGATCATTGACTAATGTGAGATATTTCCATTGTGATAGGTACATCCAGTGCATCCACCAGAAGCTGTACCATCTGACCCAGGGTGACTATGAGGAGTTTGCTAGCATTGTGGTGGCAGCACGTGCCGCCTTCCAGATTACGCCCGAAGGCAGTGCCCAATTCAAGGACTGGTTGCAGTCTATCAAGCGGTAAGAAAACATAAAATATGGGAGATGGCAAATACTTTAATTATCCCAAAATATAGATCAAAATCCTGCAAGAAAGAGCTGTGGACCCAAATCAATGCGGCTCTACAAAGCAACTCCAAATGACAAAGACTTGACTCCTGCAATCTGATGACGGCAGTAGCAACAGCAACATTGGCGACGGCGGCGGCGGCGGCGGCGACAGCAACAACGGTCACAGCAGAGTGCAAGTCAACAACGGCGGCAGGCGTTAGCAGCGGCAACAACAACAGCACTGGCAATCACAATAACATCGGTAGCAGCAGCAGCAGCAGCAGTACCACCAACAACAGCAACGGTGGCAACATTAGCGACTCTGTGAACGGACATAACCATCATCATCACCACCATCACCACAGGCATCATCATCTGCTGGAAACGCCGTCCAGCAGTTCTGCGGGATTAACAGCAGTAGCAGTAGCATCAGGAGGAGGAGGAGGAGTAGGAGGAGTTGGAGGAACAGGAACAGCAAATACAGTGGCAACAACACCAGGAGGCAATATGCCAGCAACAGCATCAGCGGCTACAACTACAACAGCAACAGCAGCAGCAGCAGCAGCAGCGGCAGCATCGGCAGCAGCTGGTGTTGTCGGCTACGAGCGATCGGAGCGAAGGCCACCACTTTTGGGAGCACAGCCGCCGCTGTCAGCGATTGGCAACAATAGCGGCCGATCGGCAGCAGCGATCGCTTATCACTCATTAATGCCGAACTACTATACCAGAGCACGGCAGTTGCATATGCATGGCCATGCCCGGGGTCATGCGCACCCACCGCAGCACGGGCATCCCCATCCATCCCAGCAGCAACCACAACCGCACCCGCATCCCCATCCGCATCCGCATCCACATCCCCATCAGTATCAACTGCAGTCGCTAAGCCACTACCATCAGCAACTTTAACAACGTGTCGCTGGCACTGCCCATGGGCACGAGTTTCCAGCGGCTGATGCGTCTTCTGCTCTTGCTACAACGTCATCGCTTTGGTGGCCGCAAGAATAAGATGGCAGCGACATCGGAAGACGAGGAGGAGGAGCAGCAGCTGCAACAGGAACAGCATCAGCATCCAGTGGAAATTGTGCCTGCCGGCGATGAGAGATCATCAATAGCCACTTGGCTCTGGCTTTGGCTGCTGGTGTTGCTGATGCTGCTGCTGGTCCTTGGCCTACCTCTGATGCTGATGATGCTCCTTTGATTTACCATCCATAGCCATTCCCCCTCTCCCCTCTGCCCCCGATAACCACCGCACTTAGTTCATTTTAAACATAGTTTTTATTTTTAAACTTGAGTTTTCGTTAGGTACTTTTTTTCATAATTAATCAAGCTATACATTATAAACATTAATGAGCTACTTTTCATGTGCGTGGCTTGTGTGTGTGTGCGTGTGTGTGTGTGCACTTTTAGACTGAGATATCTGCCAACAGCAACAACAACAACAACAACAACAACACCCGATACTCATACACACGCACTCACCCACGCATAGCAACATCAGATAACCATAGAATATGGCCAAGCTCTGTTTGATTTTTCAGAAATGTGTTCAGTTAAACTAACGTATTTATAGACGATCTATCAAATAGTTTTCTACACCTACCTACAGCTATATAAACGATGAAAGAACACCCAGACCTTATATGCTTACAACCCCTAAAAACTACCTTTCAACCCTATATAATTTAAAGTTCTTTTTTCATATATATGAACATCATCAGCTTCGAAAAACGTAAAAAAAAAAAAAGAATACCAACACCTGTCTCTAGTTTAGGCTAACGACATTTCATTCATTGTTTCTATATATACTTTTTAGTCTTAAGTAAAAAGATGGAACGATTTATATATATATATACCTTATACATATTTAATACCTGTGGTTAAGCAATTTTTTAGGATTTTCAAATTTATTTGACCAACATTATCCAACACACACACATACACACACACTCACACACTCACACTCACACTCACAAGCGTAATCGATGCAGTAGAAATTCTTCGTTTAGCAGTTTGTTTTTAATATTTAACTAGCAAAAGATCTCAACAAAAACAACAACAATTGTACTAATTTTTAAATTGTGTAAAAGAAAAAAGTATGCAAATAGAGAAATTGTGGGTAATGTGGAAATGGAAGAAAATGGAAAAGCTTGAAAATTGTTTCCAAAAACAACTAAAATGTTGATTTCGAAACAGTTTTACTTGACCATATTTAACCCACAACTGCAGCTGCATCTAAGGGATGTATAACTAGGTCTATACAGCTGAATAATAGATAGCAAATATTCGAGACAAACTGCCAGAATTTCTCCAGTTTCGACAGACTTGGAAATCTAACTTTTGTCTATCTCCGTCTTACCTAATGATAATGACGATGATATGAACAAATATAAAAAAAAAAAAAAAAAAAAATTGAACAGATTTCTAGTTAAAGAAAAATCATTATGTTCACTCATACACTTTTTATGATATACAACCTGAAAAAAAAAACAAAACAAAAAAAAACATTGGTTTTTGTTGGTTAAGCAAAGCAAGTTTAGCATCAGAGAGAAGTTTCTATTTTTACAATTAAACTAAACAAACAAACAAAAAAAAATGAAAGAAAACAAATTTAAAAAATATATATTTTTTGCTTTACAAGTTTTGTTTATATTTTAAAACATTTTGAATTACTTTTTTTTTGCAATGCTTTATATATCCAGGTATATAAAACATTCATATTTTTAAACCCATTGAATTCTTTATATTTATACACAAAAGTAAAAAAAAAAAAAACATGAAAACGAAACGAAAAAAAAGATGAACAAACAATTTTTTTTATTATATACAAATAATGCTGTTTTGAATAAATATGGTTTTTTGGATTTATTTCAAAACGCAGTGAAAAGCGAAAAAAAAACGAAACAAAAACACACAAAATAATCTATGTTGGTTTTATTTTCGTTGGATTCTTTTACAGATTTTAGTTTTAAAAATTTTTTTAGTTTTTCACAATTTGAGTTGCGGTTATGCCAGCCCAAAAACCCCTATCATTCCAATCCAAAGCATCCGAACTCCATCCTAAATTTAAAACTATACAAGGAAACTGCCACTTTCTTGAGGATTCAGTAATGTTACATAATTATTATTAAAAACAAAATAATAACTAGTTATACAAGATTGCAAGCACCTGAAAAATTCCTTGAGTGCAGGCGGCGGCATAGGCTAGTTTTTCGGTTAAACGGTTAAACGGTTAACCGGTTAATCGGTAAATCGCCGCCGGAAAGCCTCAGTCCCCCGCTTAAAGGTTGTAAATACGGACGATGTCTTATATAAGTATTGTAACTTATTTTGTGTTTTTGTATTATTACAAGTAGAGCCAACCGATAGCCGATTCCGATGCGCATATACGAGTATATACATATATAATATATATATAGTGAAGTTACATCGAGTCCAGGATCGATTTGGATTCGAATTCGGATTCCGAGTTCTGTAAGCAATCGCGTAATTTGTAAACTTTTAGTAGGCAGTGTTTTATACAGAAATAGTAAAGAAAATATCGAAAAGAAAACTTAATCTATTTATATAGTAAACAAACGCAATCTGTAAATTAAAAATTTAACAAAAAAAAAATGTTTTTAAATTATACATTATAGTTGACTTTTTCCGTGAAAAAAAAAATAAGAAGACAAACCAGAAAGAAAAACAAGTTTAGAAAAGAAGACATGACGACTTCTCGCTTTGTTCACCATTAATATTTGTAAAATATCAATAATCCCCATTTAGCAAACCGATCGAAGAACGAATTGTGGAAAATAGTAATATAGGAATGCAAACTAATAGACAGATTTATGATGATGATAATGATGATGACCATTAACCCATTGACTTGAGCCACTCAATAACAATAACTGAAAAGCAAAACGAACAAACCAATAACATACAATATAAAATAATAATAAATGCGAACATAATGTTAACGTAGCCGATTAGCCTTTAGATCACATATAGCGCATATTTTACACGAGCGTAGTGAACCAATTTCCAAAACTAAACTTAAAAACTCCCCAAAACCCCCCAAAAAAAAGAATACACAGATCCAGAATTTAACACACTTAACTTATGACTTTTAAGGAAAGTTTATTTGACTTTTGAAATCAGTTTGATTTTTTTTAAAAACTTAAGTAACTTGAAGAAATCAATTGAATGTCTTTTAATTGATAAAAAAAAACTCTTTCATTTAATAATAACTAAAGTGATCACATTTCTTAATCTCAACTTTGTGCAGATTTTCAGGAACTGTTCCCATATCATTTAACTGCCATTGATATATAGGTTCATTCAAGATCACAAAATTCAGGAAGTAATACCAAAGTTGAGAATGTTGTTAAATCTTTTCGATTTAATTTCCAAAGATATAGTCATAGAATTCCGAAATTCCCACACACACACAAATATCTTGGCACACAGGCGTGTATATAGCCAAAAAAAAAACCCCCCACTAGAACATCCACAAGGACACGGATTAAATGCTGGAGAAGATCGGGATGTGGATAATGGTGCGGCTATATCGGCCTGCAAAATCAGCTTCCCCCGTTCAGATCTGCTGGTAACACATATATAGATACCACTCATATATATATTTACAGATACATATAATATATATATTATATGAAGCAGACATAAATTAATATTTAATCTTAAGTCGGAAATAAAACATTACCTCATACTTTAAAAACTTATGAAGACAGTTACAAGTAGAACACTCGAAATATATATATATATATATATATATATATAGATTATATACAATATACACGATAAATATAGGGCATTTTTTTGTAGCAATCGAACTTAGGCTTTATGAAATTCTATAATTTATGAAACGAATAACGGATATGATTTTCTTGTTGTGAGTAAAAAGGGAAAATGAGGGAAAGTGGAGTGGCAGTGGAATAGGGGAAGAACAGGAAGAACATTCCCCCAAACCCGGAAAATTCATTCATTTTCCGAACTCTTTTCTTTACTCATGACTCTTTGTACATTTTTGCACTGTAAAAAATAAAATATTAATTATATATATATATATATAAATTGCTTGCTAAAAACAAAAATTTAAACAAACGAATGGAAAACGCGCAAAGTTTAACATAAATTATATACATACATGAAGCGACGTTATTTATATATACGCCTACAGAAACATGCAAAAAAAAAACTATTATATACAAAAAATATATACATACATATATAAATATATATATATATATACAATACTTATTTACATTGCGTATTTTAGCGTTTTATTCGACATCGGAAATAAAAAATAAAAAAACCAATCGTAGAAACGCTACAAAAGTGTTCTTTTTAACAAGAAAAAAAAGTAAATAAAAAATAAATACGGAGAGCGGAAAATAGAAAATTAAATTAAGCAACAGAAAATATTTATACACTGAGAGGCAGCGGATGCAGTTGAAAGCTTGAATATGAAGCCGAGTTGAGAGGACAAGAAATTTTAAATTGAATAATTCATTTTACGAAAAAAAAAAATAAAAAATGGAACACATATTTTTTTTTTACAAACCAATCGCTGTAAATATCAAGCAAAAAAAACGTTGAACACTTTTTCTGGCGGGTTTTTTGATTTTTTACATATTTACATATACTGTCTCCACTATTTGGCCGCAGCCCCCAGCCACGCCCCCCGAAAACTAACACCACTACAATGCAAAGCTTTAATTCATTGCCATACACACACCCGAACAAACACCAACACACACACAGCAATGCTAAAGTGCTTTAAACTCGAAAACAAAACACAAAATTTAACAAAAAAATACATTTCTCTTAAGTAAAATTAAAAAAAAAAAACTTTTTACAAAACAGACGAAATTACACAAGAACAAGAACTCTGCCAAAATCAAGCTAATAACAAAACCGAAATCTTCTTTAAAAAATAGCAACAAATTGTAAACAAGAAAATAATAATAATATTGAAATGAAATAACTAATTATACATATAAAAATAAAATAACGGAAATGATGAGCAGCAGGAATAATACGAATGGAAATTAAAAAAGCTTATTTTATATATTCAAACATACAACAATAAAATAAACAAAAATGACCATTAATGAACTAAATTATATATGAACAGATTATAAACCGAATTATAGTGTATATGAATGATTTTTAACCATGTAAATTGAAATTGAAAAACTCTTTTTCGAATTTTATTCATTTTCAAAATGGTCCGACGAGCAAAAAAAGCATTCAGCACACAGAGTTAGTGACGGAGCGAGAGGAAGAAGGGCTAGAGAGCAGCGCATTATTATTAACTAATTTAATATGCAATATATCTACTATATTTAAAGAAAAAAACCAAAACAACAATATAAATAAATGAATGAGGAAAATTAAAATATACACAGCAAAGGAGAATATAAAATGAACACATTTTAAAACAATGAAAAGGAAACGGAAAAAATTTACAAAAAAAAAACACTCAAATAAAAAAAGGAAGAAAAAAGAAAAAAAAAACATAATCAAGGTTTGTTTTTCTCGCTGCTTCGTTAAAAACTCAATCGGATCGGTGGACTATAATCTATATTTGGAAATGACTATCATAGCCATTATCTTTGTTTAAGAGATTGAAATTCGACCGCCAACTTTTCCGATTGGGTGGCAGAGTGGCAACTCTGTTAAGGACGATTTCTTTATGGAAAAATATAGTCGATTGATATCAAAAAATATACAAAGGTTTTCAAGCTAATTTGAACATCCATAGCAATAGACTAATATCAATTGATTTTTATCCTTTATTTTTAGATAGAAGATAGTCAAAAGAAGAAACGGTAAACTTTATCAGCCGTTTTAAAGTGCATTATAAATTCTCCCACCACTAATATTAGTAAGCTCTGATTGGAAGGTTATTTATGGACCGCCCAACCGTTGGTACTCGACAAACTCGCACCCTCTGGTCATACTAGTGCAACACTGTTGCATTTACCAAAGCGATAGGCCCCGATAGGCCGTGACAAATAACGCCTCCTGCTATCGATATCAATCAAGAAAAAATAAAATTTATTAAATAGAGTTGCACAAAAAAAATAATAATAAAAAACTCGAAGTGAAAATAAGTCGGGCAGGCCAAAAATGCCAATCAAATTGGTAGGCTAAACTAGTGAATGTGAAAAAAGAAATTGTGAGCCAACGAGAACGCAAAGCTGCAGCACCAACAGCAGAATAAGAAGAAGGAGCAGCAGCTGACCACCAGTGGACGTGAGAGCGAGCGAGCGGAGCTGTTAGAAGTGTAGCGTTCAGTTCACCGTTTAACAAAACGGACATGAACGAGGAAATCATGCGAGAGCAGCGCGGCGGCGAGGAGTCCTCATCCTCGCCAAAAAGTGCAGCGGCGACGGCGTCGCCGTCGATGACGTTGGCCTCGGTGGCCTTGGAATCGCACACGACGACCACCGCAAATGCCAGCAGCTGCAGCAGGGCCAGTCCTAGCAGCAACCCCCCCACCATTGGAGCAGGTGCATCCGCATCGCCATCTGCATCAGCGTCCAGCGGGCAGTCGATGCAGCAGCAGCAGCCCCAACTGAACGCCATCGATATGCGCGAACTGCGCGAAATCAAGCAGTTGCTGTGGGGCGACAATGTGCGCGAAGATGTATTCAAGCGTTGGTCTCAAGGTAACCACCCAATCAACAACCCAATCCCCCTGTCACCCACCCATCCCTTCTGTTCGCACACAGAATGCACCACCCACTATAGGCCAAAAAGCGCGCCCTTTTTTTTTTTGCCCAATAAGAGAGTACGCCCAATTGGAAAGGGAAATCGCTTCTTAAACTTGGCCCAGGTCATGTACATTTATGTTTACTTTTGTTTTTACCACTTTGATCTTAAGTAAAGGGTATGCTATAGCCGGAGAAAAATTAAATTTAAGCATAAGCCTTATCATAAAACTTTAAAACTTAACCGAGGTCATGTTTATTATGATTTTTTTTCGTTTCTTAGAGCTTAAAAGATAATAGTGTCCATAAAAAACATGTTTAAAGTACTTGATTGCTAACTTCTTTAAAAAAATATATTTATTACTTGTCATAAATATTTATTACAAAGATTTAAGATGACATTTAAGGTAATTAACTGTCAAATGTTTAGATAAGTATTTGAAATTCAATAGAAGTCAGCTTGAATATGCACGAGTATACCTTTTTAGTTTATCAATCTGATAGATTAGCCCTTCTTTATCCCTATCCATTTATGACTTGCTTCAGCTTTTGATAACTAATCCACAATTTAATCCCCAAACCAGGTTTTGAATTTAGTAAAGTGGAACCGTCGGCATTGGTGCAGAAGCAGGGCGGTCCTTGTGCTGTGATAGCGCCGGTGCAGGCGTACTTGCTTAAGATAATTATCATGGAAATGCCAGGCATCAAGCTGTCGGAGGTTAGTACACTACTACTACTTCGGTTATTCCATATTAAAGCAAACATGTTAATAAACAATATTATTTAGATTCCTTACGACAAGTGCCAGAACCTGCTGATCCAGGCATTGTGCAACATCCTGAAGAACTGTCGGGCGCCGCGCTACCGCATTGTCCATCTTTTGCGCCGACGTGGTAATGGTTCAACCAAAGAGCGCTCGCCAGCCGCCGAGGCAGAATCTTCTCCAGCTGTTGTTGACCCAGCAGCCGGAATATCTGAAGAGGCAGCCGGTGCCGTTGAGGTGGCAGCTGAGGCCACTCCCGCCTCGGTCAACGTGTTGGCCCAGGAGGTGCAGCCCGAACAGGAACCGCATCGTGAGCTATCGCCGGATGAGTTTCATGAGCGCCTGCATACGCTCCATTTTGAGGATATTGCCGCCGTGGCCCGCTTCTATATGGAGAACTACGGCCAGCTGGCGCACACATATGGCGTACTGCTGTTCATGTACTCGGTGTTCCTTACCAAAGGCTTGGAGCTGGTGGCCGCCGATATATCGGACACATCGGAGCCCCTGATACACAGCACCTATGGCTATGGCGGCCAATCGCTGATCAACCTGATGCTAACCGGTCGTGCCGTTGCCCATGTCTGGGATAATGAGCAAGATGTCGGCGGACTAAAGCTGCGCGGCATTTGCGAGCAGAGCGACATTGGGTTTATAACGCTGATGGAGCAGATGCGCTACTGCACTGTGGGTTCCTTTTTTAAGAATCCACGCTACCCCGTCTGGGTGATGGGATCCGATACGCATTTAACCGGTGAGTCATAAAATTGATAGCGTTTTGTGTACATTCGCCTTGTTTCTTGTACTAATTGCAATGTTGTCTTATCTTTGCCCCTTAGTTCTGTTCAGCAACGAAAAGAGGCTTGTCTCGCCAGAGACGCCCTCGGAAACTGGTCGTCGCATCTTCAAATCCTACGATCCAGAGGGCAATAATTTCATATCGACCACAATGCTACGCGACGTTCTCGCCGCCTTGAATCTGGTCAGCGAACCGCCCTAGTAAGCTCTCTATGAGATGGTACTAAGCTGTATATTAAAAGAATACCTTCTTCTTGCAGCGTTGCCCTAATGCAGAAGCGTCTGGATCCGGAGAATTTGGGCATCATATTGCTAAACGCCTTTATGGACGAATTCTTCCCGCTGGAGCGCCGATCCACGCCGGATACATTCGAGCTGATGCACTACAACGGCATACCGGGCTCCAATGAGAACAACAAGGTAATCAATTATTAGTGATTAACTTCTGGAACCTTAAATAGTAATATATATGATATTTGTAGGTTCGTTACTATTGCGGCTCGGCCATTCTACTGGAGGGGGATCTGAAGTCGATTTGTACCTCGAACCCAATGGTTACCTGCCTGCAGACCAAGTGGCCAAACATCGAGATCAATTGGCATGATGCCCATATGCCCTCCTTGAATTGACGACGTCAAGTGGGCCAGAAAAAGCCGCCGCACAAGGATTCGCGCGGCCGTAGGAAACCAAAAGGACGAGGGGGAGACATAGGAGAAACTGGGAAGGAGAAACCACAGCTGTAGACACAACACAAGATGCAATTGCACGTTTTAATTTCGAACCACCCTTCAACAATTATTTTTCTGTATTTATTTAATAATGATGAGAACCTTTTCAAAAAATGCTGTTCCAAAACCAAAACTTTACAAAAAAAACAACAACTAAACACTAACAAAGATGCGCTTTAAACGTGAGTTGCAGCAGCCATGTTGAAAAATCGGCAGGAGTATATTAGAGATTCACGCCAAGCGTTGACTCACACAAAACTCCCAAAAAAAGGAAAAAAAAAAACAAATACAACCCATAGGCAACATGGATATACATATAAAAAATAAATACAAAAAAAGAATTGTAAAAGAAAGGGAAACGAAATAACACAACACATAAGTCATATAAGAGAGCTCCAACTTCATTTCGAAAGAATGTACGTTTAAATTTGCATTGCAAAAACGAAACTCAACTAAAAAAAACAAAATACAGGCAAAACAGATATACCTTTATGATGAATAAACTAAAAAAAAACAAAAACTAAAGAAAACTAAAAGAACAAATCGCAATTGAGAATTAGACAAAGCAAAAGTGAGAGGCGCGGCGCAACAAAAAATTTGTTTTTGGCCTTTTAACAAATTACTTGTAGTGTTAAACAATTTAATAAAATTAAATAAACACAGATGCATAAAAAAAAACAAAAACAAGGCGAGGAAAAGGGCAAATTTCAAATTAACATCAATGCAAAAGAGACAGGGACACAGGGAAAGAGAGAGAGCAAAGCAAAGATTACTTCAACATGAAAAAAAAGAAATTAAGTATAAATTAACAAAAAACAAAAAATAATAATTCAATTTAAAATAAACAAAAAACCTAAAAAATCTCATTAACATATTTTGCATTTGTTTTTATATTCTGTTATCATTCTATACGACTTTCCTTCTATTTCCAAAAGTATTACCCATTTGAATGATCCTAAAACGTAATATCTATGTGTGTTTAAATAGGCGTCCACGAGTGGCTTAAATATGAACTCCCCCCCTTTCATTAAACGTTTTTTTCGGGTATGACTAACTACATAACCCTCCTTATATTGTAGGTATTATCAAAAGATCGGTTGATTAAATCATATATGGCTACGATAAGAACCATTTGGAACCATCAAGACTTCTTTGTAGTTTTTGTGTTTTTGTTTCGTATTGGAAGAACTTTTCCATTGTGTATGTGATAAATCCAAACACCAAACCGAAATTCTGATTCAGTTTAAGATCGTTGCACTTAAGTATTAATACTGAGAAAATTGGGTAGAGCTAATCAGCTAACCAAATTAGACGTGAGATCGTAGGGACTTCTTGAGTTTACGGACTACAAATTATTCCATGTTGCCTGAGTTGCTTATTATAAATATTAAAAACTGAACATAAAAACAAAACATGAAATAGCCATCTGAATGTATTTATTGAAATAAAATCTAATTTAACATTATTTTCGGCACTAGGTTTCTTATAAAACTGTTCCAACAACGATATAATAAATCTACTATTGAAAATATCAAATGCTTCCTATCCTTTCTTCACCTTATTATCATATCATATCATCGTATGCCATTTAAGAACTCTTTAATCTTCTTGATTTCCCAAACATATATAGATAACGTTAATGGGACAAATCACTTTTATTTCGAACATATATTTTTCTGAAATTTGATATTCACAATTTTCATAATAGAGTAAACCCCATCAAGATATATTTTACAACTTTAAGCTTAATTCTACAAATCATTTAGTAATGTTCACGCCTTCCGCGTTCCTTGCCCTCGTGCTGACCGCCCATAAAAATCTGTATATCCAGTCGATAGTGACGTGGCCTTCGGTGCCGACAATCTATCTCGCGGGGCATCGAATCTCATTTAACATCGAGCAGCCTGCGCTGGAACATTTGCATGGCCAGGTTGCGCAATCCTTCACTGACAATGGGAACACTACGCGGAAATTCGCATTCCCTTGCTGGCAGACCGCATAGCTGGCGACGCAGTCTCAAATCCTGACGAGCACTCAAGGCGCGACTGCCAGGACCACATACATTGCCTACCAAACGTTGGCGTTCGACAGCAGCGCTACGTAGACCCATTTGGACGCATGCCAATGGCTCCAAATGCTGGGGACTGGCCAGGAATTCACGATAGTCAAGCAGGGGCGAAGATGTCTTAATCATTGGCTCCTGCTCTCCATCCATTTCGCGTTCCCTTTCACGCTGCTGGCATTGCTCCTTCTCCTGAATCAATTGCTGGCGGGCCTCTTCCATGACGCGACGAGCGTAGCTTTCACCCGCCATTCCAAACGATATGCCCATGTCGAGGAGTACGCGATGCGGCTGCCATCTCTGCTTGGCGGAGGTGCCACGATCCACGCCATGTTGTGCTGCCTGAGCTTCGGAGGCCTGCTGACGGGTCTCTGCTATCAATCCCTGCCAGTCAACACCGAGTGCATCGCCAATACCTGTGAAATAGGCAGAGAATACAAATTTTAGTATAGATCTTGAGGTGGGTGAATCATCCAATCATGTAACTAGAAATCTTCGCCTGTTGACTTGATTCTCGGATGATATCATCCGCGGAAAATGTACTTGTAATATTTATAGATATTTTCTAGATATATTACCGATTTCTCACGTTCTTGTTTTTCTCATGATAATCACTATATTCTTAGAGCAATTTGCACTGCCCTTCTCTCACCTTTGTGACGAGCATCCTCCTCAAGTTCACCATCGGATATCTCCTCAAAGTCCAGCACTTCGTCCACATCCTCGCCCTTAATCGGATGACCGTTTACACTGTGAAGACTGTCGTTCTTTGCCTCCTCTATATTGGTGTCCATTTCCTGGTCTACCTCCATTGGCAGCTCACTCTTGGGCCGCACCTTGTCTGTTTTATTTAGGATGTCATCATCGCTATCGCTAATCTCGCTTAGCTCACCCTCTGCGGCGCTGTTACGTATGGATTCCAATTTCACTGGATTACTCTCAGAGGTTAGGGAAAGGTTTAGATTCTGAGTTGGTGAATCCTGGGCACCCAATTCCGGTGTGCCGGCCGAGTCTTCCGAAGCATCTTCCTGCTTAATACATACTGTGCTTAGTTTGCTCACCTTAAACCGAGATCAATGGGGAAAATAGTAAGAAAATCTTTATATTATTTAAAAAATAACTTAACCATTATCTTATTAGAGGAAAATTCCACACTTGTTGTCAGCTTGCTGAACGATAGTCAAATGAATGTCCATAAGCTCATAAACAAACTTGAAACTTTTGCCAGAGAGAGCAATGCCTATAACATAAACAAAAATCTATGCTTACTTGAGCGAGTATTCCGGGATTGGTGGTGGCATTGGCCGCACTTTGAGCCGCCGCCTTTGCCGCTGCCACTGCTGTTGTTGCTGCAGCCACTGCGCTTGCCTGGGCCGCGGCATTGGGTTTCCCGGCGTTCAGAAGGGGATTTAGAAGCGGTGTCTGAGTGGGTGAAACCAGAGGTGCGTGGGTATGCTTTTTAAGGAAACCGGAGGAACCGGGTAGTCCGGAGGCTTCTCTGCTTCCGAGACCGCCGCCATCTCGGCCACCTCCATATGGTAACCTTTTGTGGGGAAATCCACGGGAATAGCCCCCTGGTGGCTGTACAGGCAATGTCATCAGTGGCGGTGGATGAGATCTGTAGCCGGGTCGTTCACCGTGATCGCCATGACCGTGACCACCACGCCGGAAACCTCTGCCAGATCCTCTTTCACCCCGCGGATGCACATGATGGTGCGGGGAAGCTGGATGTGGATGGGTTGGTGGTGGTGGGGCATCATCGTTATCTCGCCAATCGCCGCCAGAATTTGACGACTGCTGCTGCTGCCAGGCACGGGGCTTTTCCCGCTGATCGTGCTCCAGCCAAGCGGGCTCGTTCTTAATAGAAGGCCTATCGCCGCCAACGCCACTGCTTCCTGTCTCCGGACGATCCTCGCGATCTCTTTCACGTTCCCGATCACGTTCTCGTTCCCGCTCCCTTTCCCGCTCATCGGCATCCCAGTCGGGCTCCGATGCCGAATGATGCTGCTGCTGCGTGGGTGGACCTCCACCGGGATGCGTTGGGGGTTTACCACGCTTCGGTCCACCCACAAAGCCACCAGGTCGTCCTGGTGTTCCGCTGGGACCACCTGGTCCGCCACCACCGCCTTCCTCCTCCCAGTCGCGTTCCCACTCTGGTCGGAATTCACCACGGGGTCCAATATTCCGTTCCCTTTCCCGGTCGCGTTCTCGCTCCCGATCACGTTCTCTGTCACGGATCAAGCGTTCGCGCTCGTCTGGATAGAGACTATCCTCTGCTTCGATATCGCGGTATTCACGACCTTGCAGTTCCCGTTCTCGAAGCTCACGGGCCTCCAGCCAAGCTTCGCGTTCCCGCGAGGAATATCGGGCATCAAGATAGGCGCGTTTGTAGGCCCTAAAAAATGCAGGGATTGCCAAATTTTGGATTAGGAATTAGGTTTCCAACATTTAAAGGGCAATAAATAGTGTTTTGGAAAGGCTAATTTTCTGCTACCTGCTACCCAAAAAGGGTAATTAGGCTTTACAGGAAAAATTCGCTCACCTTTCACGCTCCTCCTCGGAATACATTTCCCGGGGATCTCGCATCCTGGGCGCATAGTGATCAGGCAGTGGGCTGAGGTCCCTTCGCCGATATCTTCGCATCTCATCGATCAGCCCATGACCATGCCGTTCCTCTAGATACTCTTGCTCCCGCTCATAGGGATCCAATTCCCGCTTATCTCGCACATGACGACCGCCACGTTCCCTCTCTCGTTCCCTTTCAACAGTGTCTAGGGATCGTTCACGGCTGCCATATGGTGGGAGATCCAAGTCACGACCAGGACCACCCCGTTTACCACCTTCCTCCTCCTCTTGGCGACGTAGTTTCTCGCGTGCCAAACGTTCACGCTCTCGTTGACGCTCCTGACAACGGGCCAAAGCTTCAGCGCGTTCCTTATCTCTAGCTGCTTCTCGTTCCGCGCGTTCGCGTTCCCGATCCCGGCGATCTCGTTCTCGTAAGGATAGGTCATGGCGTTCACGTTCCCTTTCCCGTTCTCGCTCACGCTCCCTTTCACGTTCCCTTTCCATGGACGGAGTGCGTCCGCGTGCTCGTGTTTGGATAATGATCTTCTCGCGTGACATTAACTGGTGGTGCATTCTTGAGGATGAGCTGCTGCCTCCGCCTCCAAGTCCTGAGCCTAAACCTATGAAGTAAATAAGATTAGTTGGTTAAGTAATCTATCAAATTTTGATTCCCCGGACTTTTCAATTTAATGTGGGAACATAGGTTAGTTTATGAGGAACTTTTTAACGGATCTAATAAGAGATTCTAACAGACACTTAGGGATCATAGTTACCTGGACTCTTTTGCCGCTTGCCCACAATATCCTGATGGATGCGTATCTTGGTGGTGGTGGTGGTACTACTGCTCGGTGGACTCCTGCTGCTGCCCAAACGATGATGATCACGTTCTCTGTCCCGTTGAACAGCACGCAGCTTGTCCCGTTCCCGCTGCTCTTTACTGGCGGCCCTCAACCGCTTCCTTTCAGCCAGCTTCTTCAGCTTGGCCCGCGTCGTGGGTGACAGGGAACGATGGACATGGCCACTAAGGGCAGCGGCAGCTCGTTTCTTGAGACGCGCCTCTTTTAGTTTGCGTTTGATATGATTTCGCTTGGCCACTAACTTCTTCTGCACATGATCCCGTTTGTCTCGTTTCCGACGCGATGATGGTTCATCACCGGATGTACTACCACCGCGCCTTGAACTCTTCTTTTTACGATGATGACGCTCTGCGGATCGCGGATGATGACCATGACCGTGTGGATGTGGATGACCGTGAATGCTACTACCACCGGGACCACTGACGCCACCGGGCCCGCTAACACCGCCACCACCGCCGCCCACGCCCTGCTCACTGTCCGTGCTACTGTACGAACTGCTACCACTGTCCGAATCTGAGGTGGAGTCTGAGCTACTCGAGTGCGTCGCACTGTGGCGGGCGGCCTTTTTATAGCGGCGCAGCGATTCCTTGGCCTTCTTCTCCATCGCCGCGATCTCCGCTAGCCTGCGCGCCTCCGTTTTGGCTGATGTATTCGCCGCTAACGGTTTGATATTATACACGATGACGTTTTCAAGAAGCCCCCACTCACTTGTTTATTCTTTTTCTTTACTGTTTTGTAATCAAATATCAATAATATTTTGCTTTGTTGTCCCTTTGGTTGGCGTTTTCTATTTTATTTCCTTCTTCTTCCTATTCCTCTTCGTAAGATTTATCAATACTTAATCTGCGGCCTATCGATAGCAGTGTTGGACAGCGTAAGCAATCGATTGTTTCATTATGCAACTATCGAATGAATTTTAGCGGTTCTTTTAAAAAGGAAATTTAAACTTTTGTTATACATTTGTTCTTAAACCAATTTTTTGGTAGAAAGTGGAACGGATCCAGAATATAGATACTTTATATGTGTTACACACTTTTTAAGAAATATAAATATTAGACTAGTATAAAATTACAGTTAAAAAATATTAGTATAAAGCAACCTAATTGGGCACCTTGTTTAAATATAAATTTTTATTACTAACAAATTTTTCAATCTAGTTACCTACGATTCTAAGTTCTAGTCTAATTACTGGCAATTTTCCAGGTAGTCCTCAGTTTTGATAGTGAGTTCGGCATAACAACACATAACATTCCCATTCTCTCCACAAACTTAAAACTAAAACAATTTTGTCATAATATATTTTATTACGGGCTTTGAAAAAAACCCTTTTTCGAAATTACAATTTGTGAAAACCGATGAATTTAGTGCGCCGGCAGCCTCGGCTGCTGTGGAAACAGGGTGCTTGGGCTTTAAGGTATCACGTGATTACCAAGAATGTGCCCAAACCCGTTTCCAATCTTGCGGCGGCTATGTCCACAGCAGCGTTACCCGGACCAGCGCTGGCTGCCGCCGTCTCAGTATCCGCAATATCCGTGGTATCCGTGGTATCCCAGTCCTCCCAGTCCAGTGCTCAAGGAGGAGGACAAAGAAGAGGTAAGTTCAGAGTCTGGAAGTAATCATTTTAGTTTTTATTTCAATCACTTTTCTAGAAGGAGGATCAGCCACCAGAGGATCAGCCACCGGAGGATCAGCCACCGGAGGATCAGCCACCGGAGGATCAGCCACCAGAGGATCAGCAACCGGAGGATCAGCCACCGGAGGATCAGCCCCCAGAGGAACAGCCCCAAGAAGACAATACTCCGGAGCAGCAGGAGCAGGAGCCACCGCCGAGTCCGGAGGAGCAGCCACCGGGAAGCCACCTGGGAGCAGTGCCCCTCCGCCACCACCACCTCCTGCATCTTTACCACCAGCACCAAAATCATCTCCACCGCCGCCTCCAAAAGAAACCAAATCCTCAAATCCCAGAATGAAGTCCTTCGAGATCTACCGCTGGAAGCCAGGTGAACAGCCTCAGACCCAGACCTATAGTATAGATCTGGAGAAGTGCGGTTCTATGGTGCTGGATGCCCTGATTAAGATCAAGAACGAGATCGATCCGACTCTCACCTTCAGACGTTCCTGTCGCGAGGGCATCTGTGGATCGTGTGCCATGAACATTAATGGCACCAATACCTTGGCCTGCGTCTCTCATATTGACCAGAATGAGAGTACATGCTGTCGTATCTATCCACTGCCTCATCTGTATGTAGTCCGGGATTTGGTCCCAGATATGAGCCAATTCTATGAGCAGTATCGCTCCATCCAGCCGTGGCTGCAGCGCAAGGATCTCAAGCGAGAAGCTGGATCGGCTCAATATCTGCAGTCCATGGATGATCGCCAGGTGCTGGATGGTCTGTACGAATGTATCCTGTGTGCCTGCTGCCAAACATCTTGTCCATCTTACTGGTGGAATAGCAATAAGTACTTGGGTCCAGCTGTTCTCATGCAGGCCTATCGTTGGGTCATCGATTCCAGGGATGAGGCTACAAAACAAAGATTAGATTTCCTCAAGGATCCCTGGAAGCTGTATCGTTGCCATTCGATTATGAACTGTACGAATACCTGTCCCAAGCATCTGAATCCAGCACGGGCCATCATTCAGCTGAAGCAGCTCCTGGTGGGTTTAAAGAAAAAAGAGAAGCCACAGTTGAATACGGATGCACTTTTCAAGGCAAAGGCCTAGGAGTTACACTAGAAAATTCGACATAACGTTAATGGGAAATGTAGTTAATACGCTCCCGAACATTATAATATTTAACTAATCTTACTAAGGATATTAGAAAATTACACTAAGCTATCTACTCTGTACACTTTCCAAACATGAACACATGATAATACACAGGACTTTATGGACTTTACGATGATCGTAAACTGAGGATATAATAATGTAATGATATATAGGGATTGGAAATAAAAACGAGTAACGGGTATAAAAACTATACATATATACAAAGCTAAATTATTTTGAAAACTAACAAAGATTTTGTTCTTCAAGTTGGAAGAATATAACCCCATTGATATATAATCATGCCAATCCAACTTCTTATTGGTAATTCCATTACAATAATGATTCTATCTATTGATGATTCTCTACAAGATCACGTAATCTATTAATTGATCAATCGAGAAAAACAATCTTACAAATGCAAGAAAGGATGTCTTAAAAACTCAATAGAGATCGTCAGCCAGATGAATTGCAGTTGGACAGATGAATCAAAGTGATCCCGATACCGATCCGCAGGCACGCCCAACACTCCAATGAATCCCCGGCATTTCCAATCCAGCACCCTCCTCGCCACCATATCTGCCCTCTATAAGACCATCCAGCCAGCTATTTCTGCACTTCGCGTTGCAATTAAGTGAGAAAATGCTGTAGCTATGTGGATGTTAATGTTCGTGTCTGCACCAGACCAATCCAAACAAATAAAGAATGGAATCGGATGAAATGAGCCACATCCCACACTGCAAACAAAAGATCAAAAAGTCTTTTAAAAATATAACTCAAAAATCAAGTTAAAACTAAAAACTAAATCTTTATTTGTTGACTTAATATCTCTTAGTCCTCTAAAATAATTAAATTCCAAAAGAAAATATTTTATCATAAACATAAAAAAATAGATTCATGTGTAATGGCAATGGAAATTGGTTTCCCAATTGGGCTGAGTATGGAGTTTTACGGAGGGCAGTGAATGAAGCCAACTGTGAAAACGGTTCGAACGCGTCTCGTTTTGGGTGTCTATAAATAAGCCACCGCAAATCTTCCGCCTGGTAGAGTCATTGAAAATGGATGGGATGGAGACTCGGGTACGGAATGGAATACTTAGATGTTGTTTTCTTTAAAAATAACAAGACCCTCCGAACTTGTCAGCAGCCGTCGCGAAAATAAGGGAAATGAAAGCAAGAAAAGCGGGAAATCTTGTCACGCTCTCGTTTACACAACTTGCACTTTTGTTGATATATTTTTTTTGAAATTTTTTTTTTAATACTCTTTGAATAAGAATGTTGTATAGAGTGATTCTTATATCAATTAAGAGGAAATTTAAGTTGAATTTTAAACCTAAATCTGAAGAAAGAGGAATAAAGCAGTAAGCTTTTTGACCCTTTTTTAAGATTTTTCAAACCTATATATTATTTTCCTATATATTTCATAAAGTTCCTGACAAAAAAGAGTATTAAAATCTCCTACTTTAGTTTTTAACATATAGTACTTGCCTTGACACAAGTTGACAGACACAAATCAGATGAAAAGCCTTCTTCGGCAAGAGCCTCTAGAAGATTAACCAAAAGCCTAGTTAATCCGTAGCTTCTCATTCTGCTGCCGGCACTGGAGAATCCATCTAGTCGTTTCTTCAGAAGCTTAGGAGACATCATCAGGAGCTGCAAGGCGAGGCGACAATTAAAAGGCAATTCCAGCAATGCGCCTGTTTGCACCTGCCGGCCAGATATCAGCGACAAACGACATTGTCAACAATGATCCCAAGCCAAGCACGATTGTTACACTAGCCTACAAAGAAATCATATATTTTAATGATTTGGCAGTTAAGAGTATGTTGGAAAAAGAAAGGCTTTAAAACATAGAAACTCGTTTGATAGGTTTCAATATGTTTAAACTTCCTTAAGACTTATACTTTGTTGACTAGTGCTTTTTAAAAATAAATACATCACACACATGGAGAGCGAACTCACTCCGAAATACATACTTGAGGCAAATTATGTTCTGGCTGAGTCTCTCGCTCCTTTGTCGCATTTCCAAGGTGTTGAGGCCGCTGACAATGTAGAGCATTCCCCCAACTCTGCAGAATTTAAGCTGTTAAGCCGCCGCTGACGTCTGACAGGTGGCAAGGAGGAATCGAAGCAAGAAACAGGCATTTTTCCAAACACATTTCATCATAGACGCGTGCTGGAATTAACACAGCGAACGAAAGAGATGGGGAGTTGATAGTAAAAAGAGATGGGGAAGAATGAGACTGATTAGAAGACAATCGAATCGGTTGGGATGTGGAGATGCCAAATATGTTTGGGAAAAAGAAGCCAAATGGTAGAGAGCTTGTTTTCAGAGGTGAGATGGTGACCCCTATGGGTTCTTTTGAATGAGAGAAAGGTGACCCAGATTTATATTAGTTAAAAAGTCTTTTAGGTGGCTCTTTTCTTTTGATCAAACTGATCTTGATCTAAGCTTTAGCATTCCTAAAATAAAGTTAGATTAAGTAATCAGTTTACAAAATCGAAAATTTATATACGAGGTGTGTTCAAAAAGTAAGGTGACTTTTCAAATTTCTCGGGCAACATATTTTCGATTATCGATTTTTTTGTTTTGTTATATTGGTACACTCTTCCCTAACATCTGTACCAAGTTTCAATGGAACATCATCTTTTGTTTGGTTGTGAGAGGCGTAGAGTTACAAGCTATTTTGCGAGCTCGGCGATTTTTTGCTATCGAAAAATATGGATCAAAGGATTTGCATCAAATTTTGTGTAAAAAAAAAAAAATGTATACCCATGATTCGTCACCAGTTATGACCCTTTTGAGTAAATCTGGGTCGTCGTTGACGTCATTCAACAGCTCTTGAGCGATGCTCATGCGACGGTTCTTTTGGTCAAAATTCAGCAATTTCGGAACAAACTTCGCTGACACACGACTCATACCCAAAACGTTTGAAAAAATTTCATGGCACGAGCCAAGCGATATACCGACATCTTCAGCAACTTCTCTGATAGTGATTCGACGATTTTCCAAAACAATTTTCGTCACTGCTTGAACGTTTTCATCAGTTGTTGACGTGCTTGGGCGTCCAGAGCGAGGCTGGTCATTGGCATCTTCCCGGCCATCTTGGAAGAGTTTGTACCACTTGTACACATTTTTTTTACTCAGAACAGTTTCACCGTATGCCACTGTCAACATTTCAAGTGTTTCAGAGCACTTAATTTTATTTTTTACACAAAATTTGATGCAAATCCTTTGATCCATATTTTTCGATAGCAAAAAATCGCCGAGCTCGCAAAATAGCTTGTAACTCTACGCCTCTCACAACCAAACAAAAGATGATGTTCCATTGAAACTTGGTACAGATGTTAGGGAAGAGTGTACCAATATAACAAAACAAAAAAATCGATAATCGAAAATATGTAGCCCGAGAAATTTGAAAAGTCACCTTACTTTTTGAACACACCTCGTATTTGTTATGGCTTCTACATTTTTTTCTAAAGACTTTTTTCTCCTTAAACCCTCCATCAAAAATCATCACCAAAAAGCTAAGCTATCAACACTAGTTAAGAGGGGCACACTATTTCCTGCTTCTTGGCAGTTAATTTGATTGCAACGCTGTTGCTGCCACAGTTACAGTTGATATAAAATCCACAAGATTTATGGCTTTTAAATTTGCAGTCATGTGGGGAGGATCTGGATGGCTGGCTGGCTGGCTGGCTGATTGCTGTAACTTCACAGCCAAAAGCGGATGCACAAATCAATTGTCATTTGGCATGGCGAGAGTGTAGAGACCTTTGCAGAGAGTGAGAGCGTAAGAAAACTTACTCGTAAAATGAAGTTTTTCAATAATAAAAAATTGCCCACTTGATGTTTTGATGGCTTTCTTAGTGCCTCGTTTTGATTTTCATCACTGGCAATCACTTGCCTTCATGCCTTCCTCCCCTCTTTCATTTGCTTTCATTCTGTTTGATAGGGAACTCAGAGTTTTAGAATGTAAAAATGCATAAATTTTTTACGAAATATTTATCATGAAATATTTATCGTGATCAGTCATCGGTCTCTAAGCTGTTTAATTCTCCCAATTCTTAAATATATTCGCCATTCTATTTTCGAAACTCACAGTCATATCTCATTCGAAACGAGAGAACTGAATACGAATAATATTGAAAAAAAAAGCTTTCATTTTGCTCAGATTTAACAATGAATCACAGATGATTGATGCTCTTTACGTTGGAGGTGTGCATTTAGGAACTACGATAAATCATTAGGAACTATGTTATTAGGAAAATGTATCACTTATGATAGAATTTTGTATCAATTTTTCTCTATTTTTCTTAAATTTATTAATATTTTAATCCATTTGTAATCTAATAAGTTCTAATAACTCATCGATAGGCTGTTTTCTGTGGAATTCGAGGCCCAGTTTTTCAGGTGGGCGAGGGCATCTGAACTTGGCCGATAACTTTTTGGCTTAAAGCTTTGGCCCCTGTCAGGGCTGTTTTTGCTCTCCCTCACTCTCTCTTTCTCTCTCAAACTTATTCTCTTGCCAATTCTGGGAGACGACTGAAAACGCTTGGATATGTAAATGAATTACTCGTAAATAGCTAATGTAACTACGAAAATATTTACATATGCGTAAGTGGGTGTCGGCAACCCACACACAAAGGGCACTTAAAGAAAAACTAGCATGTTATTTGGTTTAAAATTGTTGGGTAATTGACGGATAGAAGGGTTATGATGAAATTATTAGTATAGTGAAGGAAACTGAAAGTTAAGTCCTGAAAAATTGAATATTTTTTTGTTTCAGTTTCATAACCCTTAATTGGTGATCATGGGTTAATGATTCTAAAAAAGATAACCTAACAAGGGTAATGTAATTTTAAATATGATATTTATATAGATTTAATATATTAATTTTAATATTTTAATATTCTGTATTTGTAGAACTGCTGATAACTTCACTATCTTCACTCGGGCTTAGTCTCTGTCACTCAGAGGTGTATTCTACAAAGGTAAAATTTTACTACCACTTAAAAATATATATCCATATTATCTTTATATCTAATTTAGATATTAATATATCTTCCTATCCTTAAAATTTTATCTGTAATTTGTCTTCTAGGTTGTTTTTGGTTTTTGCTATTCTTTGGTGCCTTTTGAGACTGTGATGATCCAGTAACCCCTTTAAAGTATGAAATTTGATTACCTTTTAGATGCACCTTCCATATTGATAGATCACCCTGCTTAGATCTGTAAGTAAAGTGATAAATTCCTGTGTGATTTTGATTATAGTTTGGCTCTCCAAGGGTAATGATCCTCTAAATTAATGCACTTCTATCCACTTTAGCTGAAATCTGTAAGTAGAGTGATCATTTTTAGTGTGATTTCGATTATAGGCAGATTTTTTGTTACTTATAGATGTTTTCTCTGAGTGTAATGATCCACCAATCCTCTATAAACATGCAACTTCATCAACTTTAGATGCAATTTAGATAGTAATCAATCTTTCTGCGTAGAACTTGAAGTAGAGTGATCATTTTTAGTGTGATTCGTATTATTAGCAGATTTTTTGTAACTTACAGATGTTTTCCCTGAGTGCAATGGTCCATCAATCCTATCAACTTTAGATAAAGTTTAGATAATAATCGATCTTCTTTTGTAAAACTGTAAGTAGAATGATCGTTGTTAGTAAGATTTAGATTATAGGCAGATTTTTTGTTACTAACAGATGTTTTCCCTGAGTGTTATGACCTACCAATCCTCTTAGAATATGAAACTCCATCAACATTAGCTGAAATTTAGGTAGTAATCAATCTTCCTGTGTAGAACTGTAAGTAGAATGATAATTTTTAGTGTGATTGGTATTATTAGCAGACACTTTGTTACTTACAAATGTTTTCCCCGAGTGTAATGATCAACCAATCCTCTAAAAACTCCCAACACCATCAACTTTTACTGCAATTTAGGCAGTAACTGATGATCCTGTGTATAATTTGCAACCATAGCAATCATTTCCCCTATCATTTGCCTTAGTTAAGTTAAGTTTCCACAAGTACCACCCATTTTTCCTGCCAGTGTACTGAGCACATTGCCACGTGCTGAGCATTGGCAAAGCTTCAGCTCGACAGAGCGAGCTTTGTGGCGGCGCCTACGTCACTGGGGCCGCTTTTTGGGGGGCGGGCGAGCTTTCGGCGCCTAGAAAACAACCCCAAAGCGGTACCGCGAATCAGTCGCAAAAAAGTGCCCGTCGCCAGAACGCTGATCAAAAGAAAACTAAACAAAAAAAATAAGAAAAACAGCAAACATTTGAGATAAATAAATAAATTCGAAATAGCAATAGTAAGTGAGTGAAGAGCAGCCAAGAAGAGAAGCAGCCGAAAAACCGAGAGCTGCCTGCAAAATCGAATCTTTTGTGAGGAACAAAAAAGAAAACACACACAAAAAAAAGGTAGTTAACAAATTTGTTGTTTTGTTTTTTTTTTCTTCCTGTGAATCTGAGTGTGTGTGGGTGCTAGATGTGTATGTGTGTGTGTGAATCTTCTTCTTCCTAGCTGTTACTAATACTTGTTACCATTTTACCTTAAAAACAAAAAAAAAACAAACAAATCAAGGAAACGCCAACACGAGAGGATAACGAAGGCACAGCCACCCGCTAGCGTGCGACCCCCTTCCATCAGTCCATCAATCCATCAGTCGTCCATCCAGCCAAACTATCTTCCCATATCAGATATATATATATATATATATACATATCTGGACTATCCAGATATCCAGGAGAGCGAAAGGAGAGCGGAAATAGGAGCAGAAGCGGGAGCGGGATCCATACACAACCGACAACACAACAAACCCAAAACACACACTCCACAAAGATGTCATGGAGATATGCGGTAAGCAAAAAAGGGGGGAAATTGGGGGGAAAAACGGGGAAAAATAGGGTTACCCAAAAATAAAAAAGAAAGAAAGAAAAACAGGAAGAGTGGGCGGTTAAGGGTAGTAACAAACTGTACAGCACACTGAGAAAAAAACTAAACTAAACTCTAAGAAAAAACTACTTTTTTGGTCGAAGATCAAAAATTAAGAAATATTTGTTGAAAAATCTAAAAACATAAACCAAAAATTCTAAAAAATTATGGAGACCTAAAATTGTTCTCTTTACTATTTTGTTTAGTTAAAACCTTAAAAACTGAAGTAAATAAGTTTATTTTAACTTAACAAAAAGTTAAAAAAACAAAAACTTAACTTCCATGATCTTCAAAATAAACAAAAACTGAGAGTTTTCTAAGATAAACTCCCTTTCTAACATTCTAAAAACCTAAAATTTAAGCCATTAACTTAATAATTAATCACGAATATATTTTCCCAGTGTAATTAGGGTTTAAGGGGGATTGGGGGGCGTGGCACAGGCTGGTTTGTCAAGTGCCGCGTGGCAGGCTTTTCGACGCTGGCATTTCGGGCATCTGTCAAAAACAGCTGATGATGACGATGACGATGGCGATGGCGAGATGGCGAGCGTTGATGACCTTGACTCGCCTCAATCTTTGGCCATGTCGTCCTCCCGCTCGGCTGACCCAATTTGGCCACCCCTTTTTCATATAGTCCACACCCCTACCAACACCCTTCGCCAGCCACCCCCCACCACTCATCACTTCACCTATAACCCACAAAGAACAAACGACAAAAAAAAACAAAAAACCATAGAATCAGGCTAAGGAAAATAGAATTTGTTCTATTTTCTGTGGGACAGAGGCCTTGGCATATGTGTGTGTGCACCACCCACTAGCCAGCCGCCTTCTTTGAAGGCCTCTAAATGCAAATGCAAAGTTCAAGTGCCTTTCCAAGGCGTGGCAAGGCCCCCATCTCTCCTCGCCTAAGCTACCTACAAAAAACTATTCTATCTTAGAACCCCCCCCCCCCCCCCAACATGTGGCTCGTTAAATAACCATCTTTGTCTGTGGCTTTTATCAGGCGATTATCCTGGCATTAACTTGGTTTTGGCGCCTAATTTTTTGGGTCACCAGCAAAGCACATTGGTCTGGGTCACCTTTGGCTTAAAGTTGGTCATGTCCTTGGGGTTGGGTAAGGGAAGGCGAGCAGATTTTTTGGGAGATTTATTTTGTTAATATAACTTAGCTTTTTTTGGGTACATTTTTTAGTTAAAAAATCTTAGGAAAGTTGAGTGGGTAAAAAGGGTTTATGAATGGTTAATAAGGGAGGGGGATTTTAGTTTACTTTTTAAAGGTTTTTGGTGGGTTTCCTATTGATTTTTTGACTTTTATTTATCTTTTTTAATATTAAAGTTTAAATAATTCTATAAAAAGCTTAAAAAATGCGTAGTCTTTAAAGAGAACTCTCTTTCTGACATATTCTTCCTTTTAGTTTAACATACGATTAATTAGCCTAGTTAACAGCCTGATAATTGCCCAATAATAACCAATTAGGCCATCAAATACCTTAAAAATCAATAATTTAGCTTGACAGGCAAGCATAAATTCCTTTTGCCAAAATAAAAGTCACTAAATTAAGACACTCCCCCTTAACAAACACTAAGCCAGTTAGTCAATAGACTAGAATTAGTCACGCTGCACTGGATTTGATTGACCCAAAAAAAAAAAGAAGGAACGTAGAATCATTGTTAATAGGCTTTACTAGGGCTAACTAAAGAAGATTACTCATACGCCGCGTGGACCAATTAACTTGATTATAAAATGGAACATGAAGTGGCCCAAAAAAAAAAAACAACAGAACAAAAACCAACCAGGAAAACCCAATGAACTTGAGGCTGCCATAAAAATCAAACTTAATGAAATTCAAAAGGCAGTGAAGCGAATTAAGTTAGAGCCGCCGCCTCTTCCTCTTTGGAAAATTGTGGCTGAAAATAATTACCCGGCTTCCGTGTAATGGCCATTGTGAAGTGCTGTAAAGTCCATAACAGATATATATATATATATATATATCGTATATATAGTAAAAGCCTGAGAGCTTAGCTAAAATGTCAATGTCATCGCCGTTTTCCGCTGGCAGTGCTGCTGCTGGCTCAGTGTCAAGCCCATTGAGAGCGCTAATTGAACAATCGATAGAGCACTGCTTAGACCCACATATTATATATATATATCTATATGTTTATATATATATATATATATATTCTATGTAAATACTATATATAGCTGTTTTCTGCCGATTGTGGGCGTGTCGCATCGCAGCTGTTGCGCCTGATTGAGCAGAAAGCGAAAGGCAAACGCTTTGGGGTTACACTGTGGAAAAGAAAGGAAAGGAAATTTATTAGTTAAATTAAGTTTAAAAAATTATAAAAAATTTTGCATAATATTAGGTGTTTTATACTAAAGAATATTTTAAAATTGGAAACTAAGCTCTATGGTTTCCAAGTTTCTTAAGCAAAGAAAGTAATTTGGCATTTTTTACATCATTTTTTGACATTTCTCAAAACTTATAAAAGTTCTCTCAGGTTCTCTCTTTTTCTTCACAATTTTAAAAATATTATAAAATACCAATGGTTTATTTTTAATTGAAATATAATTTCAATTTCTTTTTGTTCTAAGATAATAAGCTAAGAAAAATATATATATAAAAATTGTGATTAAAATTCTAATTTTTTCTTTAGGCAAAACTCTATTTTTCTGACAGTTTTTTAGAAGCTTTTTTAAGTACTTTAAAATCTACAGAAATTCCCTAAGAACCACCTACTTTTATATCTCTCTTATCCTAAAGTTTTTCCTTAAAAGAAGCAGCCAACCTTTTTCTCTCTCTGCACCCAGCTGCGGCAGAAGCTGAAGTCAAAAGCGGCGACTTGAAAGCGTTTCCCCATTTGGCCTGAGCTAGAAACCCACCCAAAAAGGGGGAAGCGTTCTCCCAAGCTCAAGGTCGATCGCTGATCTGTTGTTGGCCTTGGAAAATGAAAAATATCTAAAGTAAATGTTAGAAAAATCTATCAAGATATGGTGTATATAAAACCCTATATAGTTATAAAAAATTATATAAATTCCAGCAACTTTTTGATAATCCCTTAATTGAGATGATGATCTTATAGGGTTAAAAAGTGATCTATAAGGTAAACCTTTGATGGGATATATACATGATAGATATATATATATATCTATATCTATAATGCTTTCCCAACCCATATAAACGTGGGCTGCCTTAAAAGGCAAATTAAGCATCTGATGTATTGCGCATTTAATTGAAATTTAGTTTAGTTTTTGCAATGTGATGGGGAAAATTGGGAAAATTGTACTTTTGGCTTCGTTTGTTGATTTCTGTTTTTGCTGACTGCCAAAGTTTTTCATTGGGAAATCAGCTGAGGAATGTCTCTTTTTCTCTGCTTTTTTTTCATAATTATCTAGGGAATTTTGTTTACATTTTTCTTCTCCTTGTTTGTGGGTGGGGAAAACAGAGGGGAAACCTTTAGTTCGTTGACTGTTTAATCAATAACTAAAAAAAAAACGGGAAAAATTACTGCAGGCTACTACTGGCTTGCATGTCAATGCGATTTGCATTTGTCGAGTGCCCAAAAACTAGGCAGATTATGCAGATATATAGATATATATATATAGCAGATATAGCATATATATATATCTTGCTATATAGATTTATCAATGCCATTGGCCAGACGAAAGAAACAACAAAAAGTGGCATGTAAAATTTCATTTTAGTGGAAAATTAATTGTTGCTCTTGATTTTTGGGGTTTTTTTTTGCTTGAATTTCCAACAAATTTTCCGATGAGAATTTTTACACTTTGAAAAATGAGGGGGGAGGAATTCGTTGTTGTTGTTGTGGTTTTTCACGCTCTCGTGTTGCTATTTTTGGGTGAATTTTTCTTAGCCCAAGGCCGTGCAAGTAAATTGCAAATAAATTATAAAAATCTTTTAATAAATAGATACAAATTGATGGAAAGTGTCAGCAGATGTTGTTGGGTTGGGAAAATTCCCCCTCTAATAAACACATTTTCCGACAAATCCAAGTCAAGACTACTATTAAATGCTAGTAAATAGCAAACTCACAAGGCTGACCGCATAATTTCCTTTTACGTCCTTCCTTAGTTAGTTTAGTTTAGTTTATTTAGCTGATTGCATTGTCTAGCCCAGTCGCCTTTGCCTGCCCTGCGCTCCTACCCCTGCCTGCCTGCTTTCCCACATTGTTTTTCCATTTTCCCCCCATTTAGTTTGCTGCACTTCCTGCAGATAGACTCGTAACTCGCATATACCTTATATAGAAGACAAAAACGGAACTGAGAACTGTGTCAGGCCCAGAGGTCAAGCAGCCGTTGTTGCCCAACTGTTGCCACCTGCCCATGGCTGCCTGCAACATGTGGAACGGATGTGGGTCAGTATGTGGGGTGATCCCTCCACCTCCTTCTCCTCTACAGCCATGCCAAAGGACATCAATTGCAATCGAAACGAGATTATGACATCATTAAGTGCCCTGCAGTGCGAAAGCCTCTCCATCCGAGAACTAGTTTATGTGGCTTGAGGGAAATCAGAAAATTAAATGAGATTTTGATGCAGTCCTTAAGGCAGAAAAACGGGGTTCGATTTGGGGTGGGGAAAATGTCATTGAAGTGGGTTTGAAATCAAAGATTTTTAATGGAGTTCTTAATCAAAGCGTGCTTAAAAGGGTTTATAGGTAAGGGAAATATCCGTGAAGTTTACTTTAAAAATTTGTTTTTGGGAAGACTTCCAATCATCTTTTTATAAAAAAATATTTTAAACTACTTTTAACTTTATATTCTACTGTTCTAGAAATATTTTTTCTAATCAAATTGAAGTACTTTTTAATAATATTTATGATTTATGATTAAAACTTAAGGCCTGAACTAAACTAAAACTATAAATAAAATTTATTTCGATTTTCAGAATCTAGAAAAGTAAAAATCAAGATTTTTCAATAAAAAACTTTTACAAATTTTCTTAGGCTTGGAAATTTAACTTATTAATAATCTAGAAATAGTTTTTATTAAAGTTTATAATCAATATTTAATGATTTTTTACCTAAACTTAAGTTGCCTTAAGTTCTTTGACTGTTTAGTACATTAAATAGCTTAAATGAATATTTCATAAAATTAAATCTATCAAATACAAATTATAGTAATATTAAAAATAACTTTAACTATATATTTTTTAATTTTTAAAACCCTTAAGAATTTTCTTAAATTTTTATAAAGTGACTTTAGAAAGTAATTTACTTAAACAAACTTCCCAAACTTAGCAGCTTTAAAATATTCCTTAAGCTTCAACCTCTTAAATTTCCCTACTTAAAACCCAACTTTTAGATATTTCCCTAAAAAAACATCAACAAATAGCAAATAGTTGGAAAACTTATAAGTGCCCCAATCATAGTTGTACCCCTTTTAAGCCCACACCTTTCAGGTATTTCGACTGTTGACTGTTTGAAAAAAGCGGCTAAAATAAGATACGAACGAACGCTTTCAAAGTTGCCAATAGATTCACTCACACGAATCGTTTAAAATTGCTTTTGGTTGAAGGGGGAAGAGGGACTATATATACGTCTTTGGGCTATATCTGTATAGATATATATACACATATATATGCTGGCGATTAGACATTCAATCATGCCAGTGTGTGTTTTTCACTCGCTTTTCGATTTTGTTTCCATTTGGCGTTTTGTGTTTTTCCCCCCCTTTGGATTTGTCGTGTCCAGCTAATTGTCTTGTCATGCGGGCCTCACGTCAGATATATATATATATATATATATATAGATATAGTAGGGATGAGTCAGAGACAACAAATTCGTTGCTGGTTTCCACTTTGCTCCAATAGATTTTCTCTCTCTACACATTTTTCTTGATTTTGTTTTTTCTACTTTGTTTTTCTTTTCTACATTGGTGAGTTTTTTTTTTTTTTTTTTTTTTGTTTCTTCTATCAACTATTTTTAGATGCAAATCAGTGGGCGGCAAGTGGTGGGTGGGTGTGTAGGGTAATTTTCTTGGCAAGGGGGACAAGGTCAAGGCGCAGCTTCACACTCACCTGAGCTAAAAGCTTTCCCTCTATTTCCGTTTCCACCTGAAATGCAAGTTGATTAAGTTATATTTAGTTTGCTTTTCGTACATATTTTCCGTATTGTATTTCGCTTTGTATTACTAGGTGGTTTTAGTTAGAGATTATCAATTAACTATCTATGTAATTAACCCACCTTTGGGTTTTTTTTTTGGGTTTATAAGTAACTAATTGGAATATTGGTTTTATTAATAACATAGAAGAGTACCTTAACATTAGAGGTATGTAATGAAAATGAAAAGTATAAGTAATAGTGGTAGTAAATTGTAGTAGCAAATAATAGTAGTAGAAGTAGTAATAATAATAGTAGTAGTAGTAGTATTAGTAGTAGTAGTAATAGTAGTAGTAGTAGTAGTAATAGTAGTAGTAGTAATAGTAGTTGTAGTAGTAGCAGTAGTAATAGTAGTAGTAGTAGTAATAGTAGTAGTAGAAATTGATTTCTATTAACGTTTTTTTAAAGCCCGAATTTGTTATGTTTATTTACATTACTTAATAATTATAACTATAATATAGATATTTCTCTAGGTTTTCTTAAATAAATTAAATAGGTTTTTATTTGATTATTTTATTTTAAGCTGTAAAGCATATTATTAGAATTTAATTACTTTTTTTAGTAACCAAAAGATAAATATATTTTGATTTATATCATACATTCCTTTATCAGAATATTATATAAATTTAACTATAAACATTCTCGAAATCTTTTAATTTATTTCATACTAATACTTATATTTTATTTAAAATTATATTTATATTTCTATTTCTATTTCTTGATTTTTTGAGTTTTCTTTATGATCCAATTATTATTTCCAATACCTTTCCAGCTTCTCACAGACAGATACAGCAGCAGCATCGGCGATAGATATAGTCCCCACTATTATCAGGTTTGTCCTGTCAAAAAAGCTATAGCTTCTGCATGAGGTTTTTCCAAAACGGAAACTAAACTTTGTTTTTCAAAACCCAAAATGTGCTGTCTTTTTGGCTGAAATTTCCCTAAGAAATTGTGCTGTTTTTTCTGTGCCCCCCAAAAAAAAAGCTTGATTACCTCAAAGTTTCCCAAAAACTAACCAAAGTTGAAAACTATATAGAAAATAAGTCTAGTATCTGTTGGATATATAGGCCACGGCGACTAAATAATGCTATAAATAATCTCCACATTTTGTGCGCTTTTCATCAACAGATTTAGAACAATTAACCCACACACACCTTGCCTCGGACAAGAATCTCAATCTGAGCTATATATATTATATATCTTTAAAGATATATATATATATATGCCATAGATCAGTCACAATAGATCAACTCAATGGCGAAATGTTAAAGAACTTTTGGGCGACAGATGCTTAAAATTTAGACTTTTCTCTCTTTTCTCATTTTCATTTTCAAGGTCGCATGCCGCGGCAAAAAGCAAAAGTTTTCCCCAAAAACGTGAACACCTAAAACCAGGCACATTTCCTTCCCCCCCACTCAAATGATGATGATGATGATGGTATTATGACAAGTCAGACAGTCGATAGCCAACAAAATGCTATCAAATAGGGAAAACAAAATGCCAAAAAACACAAAAGGCAAGACAAAGTTTTCACTTTCTGTCCCTGAAATTGTCAGACAGTAAATATATATAAGATATAAGATATATATATATATATAGAAGGTGTATTTGTCGTCTGATTTGTCATCTTTTGTAACCAAATTGCGACCTTCGCCTTTGCCATAAAATCTACAAGGCAAAGGCATTTTGTTTCCCGGTTTTTCATTTTCGTTTTTTATATTTTTTTTGGCCCTGATGTCATGTGGTGGAGCAGGGAAATCCTTAGAAGCCTGCCAAAAATTTTCACAAAATCTAATTATTGAAGGACTTATATATGTTTTTTATATGGCTAAATCGATTTTAGATGGTAATGATTAGGAAATATTTAAAGCAGTAAGAACTAACAAGGTTTATGTACTTATTTTTTCATTTTCATTAATTTTTTTTGAAGGTTTTTGATGTTTTTTGAAGGAATTTTTCTATGTTTCTAAACTGAAACTTAAGCTACTTGCAAACAAGTTTATTCTAATAAGGTTCTTAGGTTTTATTCACTAATAAAAAAGATCTTCAATCATAGTAAAATTACCAGGAATATGTATTATTAACTCGCATATTAAATATTTTTAAAATCTATGATAATCTAATCTAGGCTGGCTTTATTTTAAGAATATATTTTTTACAAAGCTAAAATACAAGCTGAAATAACTTAACCTTAAGATTATTGTTTATTTTTGTCATTCTTAAGAATCGCTAATTAATTCTTAAAAGCTTCTTTTAACTGTATTAACCTTAAACTCTATAAGTTAGTTAGTTCCCAAAGGCCTGAAGACTTACTAAAACTTCCTTAAAACTTACAAAATCTTAAAACTGTGCTGTCTAAGTGCTAAAAACATAAAACTCCACCTACTTCTTAAACTAAAATTGACTTTAATAATAAATAATAATCATTAAAAAAAACCTTTCCAGTCGCCCAGCCGCTTGGAGACCTCCGAACAGACCACTGGCCGTCAGCTGCAGCGTGTCCTGCACTACTCAATGGCCCCTAGCCGGGCACTGCCAGGACTCCGTCGCGCCGAATGCGCCATTCACGACGTTGACTGTGATGAGGTCTATCCGGGCATCTATATAGGCGATGCGTAAGTACTATCTACAATATATAAAAGTTTAAAATTAATTATAATTTTATATGAATAACTTTTAGTGCGGCGGCCAAAAACAAAACTTATCTGCGGATGATGGGCATTACCCATGTCCTGAATGCGGCCGAGGGATGTCGATATGGTCAGGTGGATACAGGACATAGTTACTACAGGGATATGCCCAGCATCAGGTGGGTTATAGCATATAGAAGAGATATATATATAAAGAGAGAGGATTAATCTGATAACCGACAAAAGGCAACAACATGAACAATCGAAAGGAATGCAAATTCTCAAAGAACTTTCGATCAAAATTTGTTCATATTTTGTTTTGAATCGCACAAAGTTTTCAATTTTCTTTTATCTTTTTTTTTTCTTTCTACATATTGCACATTTTCCAAAATTTCTTTTCAAAATCAAAAATATTCCTTTTTTTCTTTCTCTTTTTTTTTGGTATCTTTTTTTCCAATCCACACACTCCGTAAATCCCATTGCTGTATGGTTTTTCATTATCTTCTCATTGATTTTAACTCGAAAATCATCTCTGATCATTAACCATTAACCATTATCCATTATCACTACGTTTTTGGCTCAACTTTGTTGTTGTTGCTGTTTTGTTGTGTATTATGTGTGTGTATGTGTGTGTGGTGTGTGTGTTTACTATGTGGTTTAGACGCAACCATAAGGATTGTGTTTTTAGGTACATGGGCTTCCCCATGGTCGATGCCCCAACGACAGACATCTCGCGCTACTTCTACGTGGCCTCCAAGTTCATCGACAGCGCCATCAGCAGCGGCGGTAAGTGAAGAGGTAATAGATGATGCAGAGAAATATTTTTTGGTGATCAAGAATCTGGAAAACAACAATATTTGATAAGATAATAACACCATCATGTTTACTCTGCATCACTTAACCTTAAGGACAAACCTCTATAAGAACTCTGTGCTTATCCTCCTCATTACTCTAACCATAGGTAAAATCCTTGTCCACTGCCTGGTGGGCATGTCACGTTCGGCCACCTGTGTCCTGGCCTATCTGATGATCTGCCGGAAAATGTCAGCGGTGGATGCGATACGCACAGTCCGTATGCGTCGCGATATTCGGCCAAATGATGGATTCCTGCAGCAATTGGCCGATTTGGATATGGAACTCAAGCGCAAGAATCTATATCCCTATTAAGAGAGAGAGAGAGGGAGATCTTTGGGATTGAGTTAGAAGATACAACCAAAGAGAGAGGGGCTTGATTCTTCAAAGAATCCAGCAAACTAACCAAAAAAAAAAAAGAAAAAAATAAGATTATTATTATGAAAAATGAAAAATGAAAAGTGAAAAAATGAAAAATCGTTGTTCTAAACAAAAGATAAAACTTGAAGCCTACAAAGCTAACGACTTATAATGGTAACTTGGTCTTCTGATATATATAAACTGTTCATCCCCAAAACTGTATAATCACGGCATATACCATATATATTGTAGGATATATATATATATATATAACCAGACGACAGAAGGGAATCAAGTTATCTCCACTATCACGATAAAAAAAAAATGAAAAAGAAAACTCACACTTAGAGACCTAGATTGGTAGAGCCACGATCGTAGAGCAATATGTGCTAGACGATCAACCTATATACCTTGCCTATATACCTTAGACATACACAGATTTATATACATGTATTCCGGATCCACATCTATGCGTATATATATATATTTTCTAAGGCTCATCTGTGTTAACGTTCTGTTCCATCTCCATTATCTCCATTATCTCCCAAATCCCTAACATAATATCCAAACTTCTATATCCTCAATTCCCCTCTATATAGCAATCCCAACTCTTCCATAACCAAAACATATATATAAGAAGAGCTGAAACTAGATCATGAAACAAACCAGATACATATATATATATATATATATACTGATATATAACTGTGTAACGGATATACAAGCATGCGTTATATACACCTATATATACCATATATATATATATAACTATATACACCAAGTGTGGACAATGTAATAAAACCAAATTCATATTTTCTAGAACATGTACCATGTTTAAGAGCAGAAACAAAAATAACTAAACCAAATCAAACGAGCAGAACAAGTAACTAAAAACTAAAACTATACCTAAGAAGTGATTAATAATAAACAAACAAAAAAAAAACAACAAAAAACAAAAACAAACTAAATATGAAGTTAATTCTTTAAGAGTTGTGGCAAAACAATCGATTATATTGATGATTTGGGTGCCATCGATAGAGTACTTTCGATAGGTTTTTATTTTGTAAGACATAATCTTATATTATATCAGTTACTTGTAGAAGAAAAGCTTATAACAGCTTAAAGAAAGCGTTTCAAACTATATAAACTATAAAACAATCGATTATTTTGATGATTTGAGGGCTTCGATAGAGTGTCTTCGATAGGTTTTTATTTTGTAAGACGAAATCTTATATTAATTAACCCCTTTCTTGTAGTAGAAAAGTTTGTAAAAGATAGAAGTAAGCGTTTTCGACCCTATAAACTATGTATATAGTATTGATGATACTATTTAGCCATGATTTAGCCATGTCCGTTTGTCCGTATGAAAGCCTAGATCTCAAGAATTATAAAAGTTACAAAATTGGGACTAAGCAAGCCGACACTTGAGATGCCTACGCAGACCAAGTTTGTTTTTAGCGTCCTGCCAAGCCCACAAAACACAAACAAATAAAATCATTGACTTGATCATATAAGAGCTAGAAAACTGGAACTTGGCATGTAAAATCTTGAGATGTAAGCGCACCTTTTGAGTTCTTATAATGATTAAAGAGCTTTCTTGTAGTTTTTGGAAAGATTTTACCTGAATTATTATCTAATAATACTTAAGCTATCACCCATATTTCTGATCTCAAACTTTATAAGCCGTTAAGTTACCCCAAAACAATGCCATTTCCTTAATCCCCTCCACCTTTTCCTAAAGTGTGAAGGAAATTGAATTCGATTTCCTCTGATTTCCCATACCCATACCCCCTTTCATATAATTTCTAAACCATAAACTTTGTGGGGTCTCTGGGATATTAGCTGCCTTTTGCTAACTGCCTGGAAACACCTGCAGAGGCATCTTCTTATCGAGGTTCTGGTTTCCATCAGGCTCACCAGGCGTAATTAAAACAGATGATATTGGCTACCTGGAAGTGGAGCTGTTGCTGCTGCCGCCGCTGCTGCTAACCGCATAGTTGACCCTAATTTAGAACTATCAATAACCAAAGCGAACTGACCCAAAACAAAGAATCCCACATCCAGCACCAACACAACGAGGGACAACGACTCAAAGATTTCGATCGTGCGCACAGTCAAAACAATAAAATTAATGTCTCCGCTTCAAGGGTTCACGGGGTGTTGACCCGGCTAGGCCAAGGGGGGATCAGCGGGTGCCACTTAAGTGATCCCGAAATGGTATTCCTCCAAAAAAAAAAACAAAACCAAACCAAACCCTAAACAGGTAGCAGTTGTTAAAAGTCGTTGAACAACAAATGGAACAACACTAGGCGAGTACTTCTTCGAGTTCTTCTTTTCTAGCCACAAAATAGTCAGTTTAGAGTTCATAGAATCCCTACTAGACCCAAGGAACTTGACTCTGGCTGATATGATAAGGTGGAAAATTGGTATGCGGGGTGCTAAAACATTTAAATGTGTTATAAATTGTAATCCAAGGCACTGTGTGGGGTTTTAGATATTCTAAAGGCAAGAACTTGGATTTATTTGTTGGAATTTTTGAGAATTTTTGTGGAATTTTGATAGTTGTGAGTAAAGTTATCAGCTGACTGAGTTAAAATGTGAGAATATTCCTTAGATACTTAACAAATAGTAAAATACTGACCGTTATATCACGCACTAACCTCAAGGAACTTAACTTTCCCTAAACAGACTTCCTTACAATTTGGTATGCAAACCTGATATCTCATTACTTAATGAATTCCCCAAAAGTTAATATTAAAAAATGTAAAAAAAAGTGTATTCACTCTTCGTTAAGAACCTTCCTATATACCACTGATCAGGTCAAATGGCAAAAGCGGCGATGTCCAGCGGCGTTGTTGGTATTTTCCCGACTCAACTGCGAGGGAATGAGGGCTATGGCTAAACTAGTTTTTTGGTTTCCCAGGCCCCGCGACCTAAGCTGCTAAAAATCATTTTTCAAAGGCCAGACTTTAAGACCCGCACACACACTTTATGGAACCAGCTGGCTAGCCCCCCTCCCTACCATATACATTCCCATTGCTACTCCAAAGGGTGACACATGCTGGACGATGATTGAGGGAATTGAGGAGTGCGGGGTAAATGGATGAGGACTCTCTCTCTCTATGCACATGAAACAATTATTATTATTAATAAGTTAGTTTTGCTCCACGTGCCACCCTGCCTCTGCCTCTTCCTATCCTCCTTCTTCTTCTACTACTACTCCTTACGTATTACGTTATAAGATTAAGCATGAAAAATGTTACAAATTTTCCTGCTCTCATAATTAATCTTCATCTGGCGCTATGTTTGCCTCTTCATGTGTGGATTGGGAAGGGAGTTGGGCGTGGGGTGGTGGTTGAGGATTTTACATGCAAAAGAGTTAAATAATTATAAGTACACACACTACTCAGGGGGGAAGGATAGGGTGACAACCCTTTAATGCACAGGAAGTAAGAGGTAAGAAGTTGGATTTTTTCTACTAAAAAAATATATTTTTGAAGGTTCTGATAGAGTTTTCAAGCATAATGGTATTTTAATAGGTATTTTATGTTTTAAAAATACTAAAAAAAAATCCATTTTAATATTAATTAAATACCTTTTAATACCAACTTACTTTTTCCATAAACATCTTAAAGTTTGCAACCTAAAAAAATAATTTTAAAACATTAATTTAACATTTTCACAGCTTTAAACTGATTTTAAACTCACAAAATCCTTCAACTTATCGTCACAGTTTTCTCTCAGTGCATTTTCGCTTCTCTGTTCTGTTCCCTGTTTTTTAAATTGTCCTTTTAAGCTCTACAAATAGTTGATAGCCCAGCAGCTGTGTCCTGGCGAATCAGAAGCAGATAGATTGCGACGGCTATGGCAATGGCGAGTCCTGCTCTTCCGTTGGCACAACGGGAATTACCTTGATACCAGTTTGTTTGAGCACCTGTAATTGTTTACGAAATATGTATGTTGCACGTACATGTGTGTGTGTTAGTGTGTGTGTGTGTTGCAAGGTTATTTATGTCATTTGCAGTCAGGGAGGGATATTATAGGTTTTCTTTAGTTTTTATGGTCTTTCATGGTGGCGATTTTTGATTATTATAACGATCGTAAGTTTTATTTTTGTGATACTTTTTGGTTATACTAATAGATAATTATGTTCTTTTATAGTGTTCATTTTTAATTATAAAGATCACAATTTACTTTTTATGATACTTTCCGGTTATGTCAGTTCCAAACGCATATCTATCTTTGATCTGTCAGCTTTATGTTCTTTTAGTGTTTATTTTTGATTATTTAGTTATTTTGTTATTTTAGGTTAATTATTGATTATGTAGGATTCAATCTTATGTTTTATGATACTTTTGGGTTCTACCAAGTACAACCGTATACCTAACTTTGAATTTTTACGTTTTTTCTAAAGTGTTATGTTTTTTTTATAGTTTTCTCATTGATTAAGAAGGTGATAACTTGTATTTGAAGTACCTTTTTGGTTATCCGAAGAACAGAAAGTATTTCATTCTTTGATTTTTTATGCTTTTTAGGTAGTGATTTTTGATTATAAAGATAATAACTTAAATTTCTTTGATACTTGTTGGGGTTATACTAAGTACAAACCTAATATTAATTTTCGACCAGCATCTAAAGCTTAGCACTCTTTCTCTTATTTGCCTAAAAACATATTTAAACTAACACTTTTCCTTCTTATTATTAACAAATTTCCCATCACAATCGTTTATTGAAAATCGTGAATTGAAAACCTACAAAATAATAATAAAACTTAAGAAAATGCCAATTCATTTTTCCACACCAGCCAGCTCTAGGTTTGTAAAGCGATTTTTGTGTGTGTTTTAATTCTTGTTTAATTCCTGTTTTATTCTCGATTTTTGTTTTTCCCGAATTATTAATGAGCTCAGGAGCTTCTGGGAGTCGCAGCGTATTTGAATGGGGCTGGCTGGCTGGTTGGGAGTAGAGGTGGCTTACTGACGCTGCAAACTGAGGCAACTTAAGCAAATATTAAATGCATTTTGGGCTTTTCAACGAAAATGGTTAAATTCCAAAAGGGAAAATGTGCCAGATGTGGATGGAGGAAATATGTTGCAGAGAGAGAGAGAGAGAGAGAGAGAGAGGGGAATGAGAAAGAGGAGAGAAATTTGTGGCTGCTCGACGGAGTGAAAAACAATAAATAATGCAGCCAATTAAAACTTTGGCTGTTTGGCTTCAAATTCAACACCAACAACAAACAACAATAATAATAACAACAACAACAATAACAACAACAATGCATTGTGCAACAACAACAAACCAAAGGAACATCCATATAAAACATAACAACAAATGCAATAACAACTAATTGACAAACAACAGAAAATTGAATGCAATAAAGCACATGGCATGTGGGTTAACTTATATAGCAGATATATTTATATATATATATATATATATACATATATAGTACCGATACCAGCCATAGCTATGCAGCGTAATATGTCCGGATATATATATGTTATATGCTATATGCTATATGGTCATCTATCTGGTCGGTGTGATGTGATGGACAGAAAACAATCAATTAAAAAAAAAAGGGAAGAATAATAGAAAGGCGGGCGATAGGCTAGACTAACAGATACCCTTTAGTTATATATGATAAATATTTCTATAAAAATAACTTCTAAAATCGTTTTTTATTTTGTATTTTTCAAGTAAAAATAATCATAATTTGTAGAACAGAAGCTATACCTTATAGATCTCTATAAGATATCCCCATAGTAATCCGATTTCACATCAATTTCTTATTTAAAAAAAATCTCAAAAATCTCCCTTAACCACCTCTAACTTCTCTACCAAAACTCTATTCAAAAAAAGGAAATAAAAACCTGAAAAAAAAATCAATGCAATTTGACAGGAACACGGCAATGCAGCAGCATCATCATCATCATAAGCATCCCAACCAACATCATCATCATCTGCTGACCGAGAAAGAGAAATAAAACCAGCTATGGAAGCAGCAGCCTTCCGTCCAGCCTCTCGGCTACTCGAAATTATTATTATAAACTTCTTCACTTTTAATGGAATTGTTATCAAAACACATTAAAAACGACAGACAAGCAGAATGAGTGAGTGAGTGCCGTGAGGTTGGGTGGTTGGAGGGAGGCAGCAGCAAGGCGGTAAGAGGGAATGCGGGACTGAACGGATGGACACGCAACCCGAACGCATCGCCACGAGAACCAATCAAATGCACTTTGTCAATGCCAATTCACACAATAAATCTACAGCCAGATAGCAAAGTGCCAGACAAGGCCAAGGGGAAGAGAGAGGGGGGGATTGGAGAGTGAAGAGGGTTTGAGGGGGATGTCCAGAAAAGCACAGAGAAAAAATGTGGGTAACTTGTTGGTTATAGAACATTTTGGGTGATAAGTTGGTAAGTTTTTTTAATTAATATTTTTGAGGTTGAAATATTTAGTTTCTGGGATTAACTAACATCTATGTTTAGCTTTGGTGACCCCGACTTTCATCAATTTTAATTACATGTTAAAGTATACAAAAATCTATAAATATCTTAAAAATCATCATTATGATAATATCATAGATTTAATGTAAAAATCATATAGTAATATGTTCATCAGATTATAAGGATTAGTTTTCTAAGCCCCAAGGATCACATTTTTCATTTATTTTCTTAAGTTGGTGACTCCAACTTAGTACTTTTATATGGTAAAACTTATTCCATATTATAAATATCTTCAAAAGTTTTTTAGATCAAAAGAAATCTTATTTTAAAGCTCTCCAGATTCAGTCCTAACAATATTTGTTTCTGCAGTTGGTGACCCCGTCGAATGATTATCATATATTTAAAATGCTCTAACCAAACCTTCAGCATAGTGAATCTGCGTTTATTTATTTGGATATATTTTTTTAAAATTCAGTTAAAAGTTACACAGATTTTATATCCAATTATTAAGCAAGTAAATTATTTATTTTATCAACCTCGACAGTTTTTCTTTGATAAGAAATATGAAGTTTAAGTAATAATTTCTTTAGTTTATCCTACTTTAGTACTTCAAATATCTTTCATAATCTAACATATTTTTCTCTGTGTAGAAAGACACAAGAGGAGGAGCTGGCAAAACGGGGTATAGGTGCTGGTTTGACAGAGAGAAGAGCAACAAAAGAGCGAAACATGAGAAACGATTTGGTAGAAAATAAAAAGCGATCACCAAAAAATTAACTTAAGCGCCAGAAATGGCTTTAAAAAAAATACAGAAAAAGAAACACTAGTCAACAAAAGAGAGATATGAAAGACAAAAAAGCTAAAGCAATGGATATGTCAGATTGTTTTTTGCTTTTATTCTATTTTAAATAAATATGTTTAAATATTATTTTTAAACAAGAATATTCTCAAACTTTTCAGTTTAAAGTTTAGGCAACTCCTTTCAGAAATCCTTAAAAAGGTTTTTGGTATCCAAAAGCCCAGCCATTGACCCCGAAACCCAATGATAGCCACGTGCCCCAAGGCTAAACATGTCCATGAAAATCACAAGATCAGAGGTGAAGCACCCTGCCACATGGCATGTTTGGAGCTTTCTACCTGAATCCTTGAATCCGAGTAAATTGCGACCACGCCCTCGCCCACCTGGGGGAAGATCAGCCTGCTGACACCTAAGTTCATGTTTTTTTAGGCGGGGGGGCCACCTTCCAAACTGGGACAGCTGGTACTTGGAGGATGCCATTAGAGAGCTCATTATGATTTTTTTGGGACCTGCAAGTTGGCTCTTTCGTCTGACACTCTCTGTTGATTTTCTGCCTCAGACATTTTGTTGATTTTGCACTGATCATTAATTTATTTTTCTGTCTTTTTTTCTCAGTTTTTGGCTGTCTCTAACTTAAATTAACAAAAAAAAGAATGAAAAAGAAGAAAAATTTGGACACGCTTCGTCGCCTTGAAATGCGTGGGTGGGGGAAGGGAGAGCCAACGAATTGTCTCTGAATTAATGTTGAAAATTAAAAACTTCACACGCACCTTTACCCGGCCATGGAAAACGCGTGCGACAAAGCGTTATATGAGGGAGAACTAACAACTAAGGGGGAAATGGGAAAATAGGAAAATGAGAAAATAGCAAGATAGATGTTCTGAGTGAAGAACAAAACCACCAAAGTTTGATCGACGACACTGCCAGATAAGAGCCATAAACACAAAACTCCCACAGAAACTAACAACGGTTGAGGGCATAAAATTGAGATATATATCTAAGTTTAACCAGAATCACACACTATATATATGTACTTCTATATTCTACTTTTTTAGTTTTTTTATTATTTAAGAACCTTCAGGCGAAACTAGATAATACTTAGCTTCGGTTAATGAAAGTTGAGGAAAACAGGGGAAAGTTTTTAATATTATTCTTTAGTTTTATTATATTTAAGAGCTTTGTGAAGAAATGGTTTTAAAATATCATCCTAAGTTTAAGTACAGGGTGGCCCATGTAGCGTTTGCTTTTTGAACTATCGATAAGTTTGACTTTGACATTTCGAATGTCATTGGGTCAGATATTTAGTAGAAGGTTTGCAGTTTACAAAATGATTAAGTTTACGCTGGAAGAAAATTGGAAAATATTAATATTTTTATAGTGATTTTCAAAAACGCAAATCTTCTGTGGGCCACCTTAGTGTTAGTTTTATACCTTCCACTAACATAAAAAAAGAAATCCACTTTTCAGGTTACCTGCCAGTTTTATGTTTGCTTCATTGGCCTAAGGCCTTATAAAACTGATTGCACTTAGAGAAATGTATTTTAAATACGAAAATTCTTAAATGTGAATTAAATAAGAAAAAGAATTTAAACATAAGATAAACCAGTATTGATTATTGTTTAATTATTTATATAAATTAACCAGTTAACTATGTTTTTGGTATTTAAACATGAAATAAACCCAAACAAAGTAT